CAGCCAAATGAGCGCCAACGACTTGGGCATTCTTCGCCAGCAGGCTCTTGGCCAGGCGGAGAGATTCGAGGTGCTACGAGTTGAAGATGTCGAAAGCTTGTCCAAAGAACTTCGACGGCTCGACGAACGAGCAGAGTACCTTCGCCGCACCTACAACTCCATGAGGAACGGCCGCCGCAACTTTCACTCTCGCATCTGCCAATACCTTCGGTCGCCGATGCGAGGAGCCAGATTGAGTGCCGAGTCCATGCTCAGACAGGAGGAGGCGCTGGCCGAGCTGGATGCCTCGATCGACGGCTGGGTGATTAAGCTCGAGCGGACAGAGAACAGGCGCACACGCGTTCGACAGAAGCTGCTTGAGCATATTGCTGCCGCCGCCATCCTGTCTGTCCGCAAAGAGAGCCCCCCGCCACAGCAGCGGCAGCCATCTTCACCTGTACAGCAACCCTTGCCTGTACAGATACGTGTGGTCCAGGACATTGCCACGCCGCCGCGAAGCCCAACCCAGACGACTTTCAACAACCGCCCCGAGAGTGCCTCGCCTCCGCCTCTGCGCGTGGTGGCCCAAGTACCCAGCATGATTCTTGAGCTGCCCGCTGAGGAGGTTGTACCTGAAAATAAGGTCGACCTGTCCCGAAAGTCTACTATGAAGAGCTCGGACGGAGAGAGCATCCGCATCTACGCCGGCGACGAGCTCTTTGCTCTCCTTACCGACGTCGAGGACGAGATCATCAGGATGAACAATGCCATTCCCGAGCCCAGTCCCATCCCAGAGTCTGCCGCGCCAGAGCCAAATCCCGCACCCACACCGGCACCTGAGCCCGAAGCAAAGCAGTCCGAGTTTCTGCAAATAGGACATGAAGTGCCGAGAAGCAGCAACTTTAGGCTCAGCGCCCAGCCTGACTCTCCTACTCTCGCCCCCTCGCCGATGTTACCCAAGAGTTTCTTCTTCAAGCCGCCCATTGCTAACAAGGCCATCCACTCTCCCGTACCGCCGTCCCCGCCTGCACCGGTTCCTCCTCTCAAGGACATACCAAAGGAACCTGAAATATTCCTCACCAGCGCAGTCTTTAAGCCGAAATAAGCCTCTTCTGACTCTCGCCAACTCCACCTTCTTACTTTTATTCTTTCACTCATTCATGCCTTTTACGGCGTTTGATTCAGTCTTCTTCTCGTCACTCCTTTGCATAGACGCATCCTGGCCCTGTGCCTAGAGCCATTGATACCCGGTCACGAACCTACCATTTTTTGTTCTTGCATCAGTCACTCGTTTACTACGTGTCATGCCTAGCACTGCATGGATTATTTTTTGTTTAATGTTTATTTCTCACACGGTTGAACATCGTGATGCGACAGCGGCTGGCCAAGTTGGTGCGCTAAAGCGTTTTTCTTACACGGATATGGAGTACAGTACATACATACATGCATCAATCGCTAGACACTGCCGGGGGTAGCGAAAGTGCTGTCCCGGAAATTGACCCGTCACATTGTTGAATTGCCTCAAAGTGCTCTATTTTGATATATTCCTTCATTCTCATCTCTCCTTTGTTCTTATTTTTTATACACATTTTTTTGGACTTTCTTTTACTTTCTTTTCTTTCTTTTATATCTTTCATTGTAATATTTTTCTTTTTCGTCGTCTGAGTCAGGAAAATGGCCCATTTTGCTTATTGGATTCTATCGAGGCACCCTAGCAGGGATAGATTGTTTCTCGATAGACAGGCACTTGTACGCAACAAGTCCATGGCCCTGAAACAGACGAGGCCTGGGCATGGGAAACGAAACAGCTAGCGGGCGGGATGATATGATGGCGGATGCCGCAGCAGAAAAAAAGGCATTGGATTTGTATTTTTAGTGCTCGAGACACACACAATGTGTGCTCGTACGGCTACGATTAGGTAGATGGCGGCGGTTTGAGGAGCCGAGGAATTGACTACTGCGTTCTATCAAATCGAAACATTGTAACCCGTTCGGGCAGTGGCATGACTAATGTCTGGTGATAATCCTGGGATGGTTGTCGGCCGACGAAAGCGTGGATTCGGCCGCAACGGTCTGGCGCTGCATTAGCGGGCATGGCAAAATGTATGTGTGTGATCGTGATGGCCTCAGTTTTTTATTTATTTTTTTATTGGAGTTTTTAGTTTTCTTTTGACAGCTGTAGGGGGGGCAACCACTGACGCCATTTTTCGTGCTGCCCACCTTGCCTGTCACGCACCCGATTTTTTTCTCGCTTGTCGTATAATCTGTATCTGGTGTTTTATCTAAGACATGGAACTATATTTGGCTACGGGGGGGTTGGGTTTGTTCTTAGTCCTCCAAGGTCCGTCACGGCATCTCGGAAACCCGGTGCGGCAAAGGTGATTGGACCGGATCATGTCCGAAGAAATCACACTCGATGGGCATGGAGTGTCTTTGGCATGCATCATCACAAACGTGTACTTGTATGAGGAGGAGGAGGAGGGACGGGGAACAAAGGCGAAGAGTGACGATGTTACGGAAAAGTGTGTGCCGTTATGCAAGGCGTGTTGCATTGACAGGTGCCGAGCGTTTTAGGACGTGGATATGCCGTGCGTGTGTTGAAGGAGAGATGAGATGAAAGGGAATGGGGAAAAGCTGGGATGGACTCGGGGGTTCGTCTGCGTCTGGTGTTTTTTTTTTTTGGTCATGTCAAGTGACGGCCTTTTGATGCACGCTGCAGGGACTTGCTTGGACCGGCTGTGGATTGATGTGTGTTAAGCAGGCATTGAAGCATTACAGTGCAGTGCAGTGCTCCATAGCATATGCATGGGGGAAGCGAGGCGAGAAGCCGGCCATGGCGGCATTTTTGCTGCATGCATGGGATCGTTGAATGATGGGGGGTTCTAGATTTGGCTTGGGGGGAGAGATAACGAGGAGCCGGAAGGGAGTTCCCCGCAGAGAGAGTCACCTTTGGGATCAGTTACAGCTACTGTACGGAGGATGGGACGGGGATTTGTGGCTTGCCGGGGATAGAGGGCGTCCGGAGCCGGTTGACGAGTCTGGAATAGCTGGATGGAGGATGGGGATTCGATAGTGAGTGATTGGGGTGTTACAGCTAGGCAGGGAGAGTATTTTGATATGCATAATTTAGATTGATTGAAAAAATGAAGAGAGAGAAAAGGGCAAAGAGAGACGGAGATTGGGAGAGGATCTGATGGAATTCAGGGGGAAAGAGAATGTGTGCTATCGTGAAGGGGAGATGAAAAGATGCTGATGTGACAATATTGCGATGGGCTCTGTGTCTATCCTGGATTGGGTAGGGAGGCTGACGAGATACACACTTTGATAAAATGCTAAAGCAAGCCTTTTTTTCTCCGTATGTAATTACACTTGTTTGCGGTGGGCATGCAGACGGAAGTGGAATAGAGCCTCATTTATCCATCATATACCTAATCATAATCAAAAATCCACGAGGCGCAGGACGACATAATTGGTAAGCTTCTGGACAAGGGGGGACAACAGCGGATTAACACAGAATAGGCACTAAAATAAACGTTTGCGAGGGAGAAAAAAAGCTGGGGAAAAGGAAAGAAAAAGAAAAAACCGTTGAATAAGTGACCAGGCCAGGCCAGGGGTAGAAGAGGGACCCCGTTGTCAAGCAGGGGGGAAGGGTTTTAGTGCATGATATTGGAGACGACGCGAGAAATTGACATGACACGTCAAAATGCCTCTCTTTTCTTTCTTCTTACTCATTCGCCTTCAGGCAGGTACATACAGCATACACACGATATGCACATAAAAGCACTCATAGACCAGGTATCAGCTGCCTGCAAGGTACCAACTTGGAGAATCCTGGGAGCCGGATGGATAAAGCCAAGCCCCCCTCCACGCCCCCAGCATAGAGTCATGATCCCGGTGCCCCGGTGGGAAAAAAAAAAGAAAGAAAAGTGATATGCTATGCAGTGCACCTCTTTGTTCTTTTTTTTCTCACTCATTTAAATCTTGGCTGCACGACGGTCGATCGTCACTTTACGCCAGAAGGAAAGAAAAAAACTTGATATTGGCACTTTTTTTCCCCCCATCACTTTTTGTAAAAACCTGGATTTTAGAACTGTTCTTGTTCCCCGGACGCCGAAGCTAAAGAGTCCAATTGCCGATCCGCGCGGACATTTGACAGAACGAAGGATTGAGAAAAGGTACGAGTACTGTAGAGAAGCGAATCCAGAGGAGCCCCGTTCTCGTGCATCGTAGACCTACCTGAACGACCAATATCCGGTTTTCCCCATTTGCGCGGATGCTTCGAGTTACATTCCGAGACCCGACGGCGGCTTCAATCACACCTCACTGCTGTGGGAGTTTCCGGGGACAGAAAAAAAAAAAAGAAAGAAAAAAACTCTGCGCAAGGTATATCACGGGCTTGTGATACGAGTGGTTTGCCCCCCTCATTCTTACTTGCTTTTTGTGTTTCGAAAAAAAGGGGGTGTAAAAAGGAAAGATTCGATTAGGCAAAGTGAAAAAAAGACGAGCCGTAAACGCGAGAATGCCAGTTTGCCCTTTCTTTGGCTCATCTACTAATATTACAAGACTGCATTCTAATAAGCAAAAAGGAAAAAAAGGCCGTACTGCTAGTACTACATAATGGCTGAAAGACATAATCTGTAGGTATGCTTGGCTCAGAAAAACAAGAAACACTCGTCTCATCCCATCGTTTGAGGCAACCACTCCCATGGATGGAATGAAAGAATAGGGGGAGCGGGAAGCCGAAAAGGGCGTCCATTCGTCCATTTACTCCATTGGAAAAAAAGCAAAGAAGCATCCAGGTATCATTTCTGTTTTCCGCCCTCGTTTATCATAGAATGAAATGAAAATTAAAAAAAAAATGGCCGGGACTCCGTCCCGGTTCCCGTAGCTGAAGCATTATAAGCCTTTCCATGCACCTCGTTGCGAGGGCCCCCGAGGCCCAACAAGTCGTTAACAATACGTTCGGTGGCCAAACTCCGTGTGCTTTCGTACTAACGTTCCCGCGTGTCGTGTCGGCGTAATCAGTGTGTAAGAACCCTCACTGCCTGCAGTATTAGGCCAAAAATTAGTCCCCGCGCAACCTCCTCGATCTGCAAACAGTCAAACACACGCCCCAGCGCCTCGCCTGTGGCCGACTGTCCCATCACGCCCATCAGGGCCGCCGGCACTCCACTTTGGATCAGAAGCCTGCGGGCCTTGATGGCCAGCTGCTTCTTGTCCTCTTCGGTCGACGGCGCGGGCCAGGATGCTTGCTCCTGTTCCGTGGGCATGGTGTTCTCCCGCACTTTGCGTAGCCCGGATGCGATCCCTGCATCCGAAGTGTTGGCGTCAATCACAGATGCCTGGATGAGGGACTGCACCGTCAGGAGTGAGGGGTTGCCGGGGCGTAGCAAAAACGACTTTGCTGCCGTGAGCAGCGTGCGACGGATGTTCCAGGCCGACGAGAGGGTGTACATCTCGTTGATGACGGCAAAGATGAGCTCGACTGCCACGCGGGTTTCCGCTTCGCTTAGCTGCGTGAACTGGCGGACGGGCTTTGCCGGGCTCTTCTTGCCAGATAACGCCGGCGCCGACGCCGACCCGTTCAAGGCTGCCGAACTATTGTTGCGGCTATGATCTTCCATGACACCGACATCCTTTCTACGCGGCTTTGCATCAAACTCGTTTGATTCGTAGTCGTCACTAATCTCATCCGGCGGCGGCGGGAGCTTGGTGAAGTCTAGGCTAATCGACGATGGTGACCGGAGAGCGGCCAGGCTGGATGTCCTACTGTGCTCCCTGCTAGGTCGTGCGCTTACCGAAGTAGATATCGAGTCCACCCGGCCCCTCTGGCCCATTCGCAGGTCCGTCTCGCTGGAGTTGGGAGACTGGAAGCTCAGCATTCGCTCCATGGGCATAACCCTGCCTGGCTGGGTAGCAATCACCGATGACCTCTGGCTATCGAGACTGGCACGCTCCGACCTCGCCGGTGACCGTGCAATGCTATCAACTCGGCTTGCCGTATTTGATGATATGGATAATCGATTTGGGTTCGGGGTAAGGTCGATAGACTGAGCAGTCGACTTTCTGTTCAGGCCAGCCAAGTTGCCGAAGACGCCGCTAACGCCTCCGACAAGACTCTTGCCGCCTTCCATGGCTCCCTTGGGACCAATCGACAGAACCTCGAGCATGTTCTTACCCATTGTTTCCCAGCCAAAGGACTTGGAGTTGCCGTGCGTGTGTCCCTGCGACTTTTCGAGGAATCGCTTCATGCCTTCGCTCTCTGCTAGGGCCTGATACCAACAGGCGTCTCGTAGATACCTCTCCAGTTCGCCGCGAAGAGACTCCCGGGTGTGAATCTTCCAGCTGGGCAGTTCCTTGTGAAGTTCCATAAAGGCGGTTGCGCCCGATACGGCGGCAATGCGCCTCAAGATCTCGTGAAGCGTTTCAAAGTCGGAATATCGCCTCACAATCATCCAGCCGGGGTAGTGAGAGGACGATGGCTCGACTTGGATCAAGTAGTCCGTATTCGGCTTGTTCTTGATCTTTCCCTGATCTCCTGAACCATCATCATGTAGCGTGAAAGAAGCGTTGTGCAAAGTAAGCGGTGCCTTTTTCGGCGACTCTTCATCGCTATCTGGCTGACCCGGGGGCACAATCTGATCAAAACTCGTAAATGTCTGATCTTTGCTTTCTTGTGGAGATGATGCTTGACTGATGGAGTCAGTGGTAGATCGCGGCGTATGTGGTGTGTAAACAGTGTCGCTCTGAGTCGAGATACCATCTACAGAGGCTCCCCGAGTCGGGTACTTGGTAGAGATCGGCGACAATGTCTCGGATGCGGAACCATTCTTCTGGGCCTCTCCGTCTCCAGTCACCAACTCCATGCTCTGCTTTGAGCGCTCAGATGCCTCTGTCAATGTGGATGCCCTCTTTCGTCGCAAGTCATCCTGTGCAATCATGGCGTTCATTCGCTTCATTTCCTCCATGGCCTCTTCCAGCTCCTCATCTGCCTTGCTCAGTTTTTTCTTGTGAGAGGACTCTTTCCGTCGACCCTGGCCTTGATCATTGCTACCGCGTCGAGGCTTGGCGATGCCGATGTTACCGACATTGCCGTCCAAGTCGGCAAAGACATTGTTGGCCACGTCGCGGCCCGTCTGCATGCCAACATCGATTGCTTGATTCAAGTTGGGCTCTCCTGCTTCCAAAAGATATACAATCCACCCATTGATCCACTCGGCCCTGCTGCACTGCTGGAGCGTCTGCTCGAGCACGGAATTCGCCAAAATCTCCCGCAAGAAAATCCGAGCGGGATCGCAGTTGTAGGCACTCTTGTCTAGGAATGCAAGTAAGTCCTCGGAAACCATCTTGAATTTCGTCGCCTGCTGTCTCTTGTTGAGCAGGTTTGCAAGGCGGGAGTCGGGATTCTCCGCCAGATAATTGTATATAGCATCGGCAGCGTTCACATTTGTGTCGGCGGGCAGTTCGGCGAAGGCAGTAGCTAATTCTGAGAGAAAAACGATAATCATGGACGTCGAATTGGTGAGGAGATCGAGAAAAGCATCGGCTGGGCGCTTGCGGGTCAACCGGTTCGAGATGGCCAATAGATAGGATGTAATGGTCTTGCGGACAGCAAGAGGAAAGGCATGGTCCGAAGGCACAAGCGGACTGTACCACCACTTGATGTAGTTTTGGACAATGGCGTCGACCAAGCCGCTCAGCGCCTCTTTGGTCTCTGGACGAAAGTCGTCGAAGCCCCTCATGCGATACTGCTCGTCATCGTCGTCGTCGTCCCGCTTCTCCACGGCTCTTACAGTTTTCAAGTCTGCCCAAACTCTGTCCAATACCGCTGGTCCATCCTCGCCGCGAACTGCCCTAGCAAACTCTGGGTTCTTGGACTCCCATATGATAAAGGAGACGACGCCACCGAATGCCCCTATCAGCACGAGACCAAGCCGCCCAAGAACAGCATAGGTCACTGCAGAGACTCCGACGCCGAATCCTGCAAGAGTTGCTGGCGTAGCAGTCGCAAAGAATTGGATCGCCCTGGAGGCCAGGGTGACTTCTGGTGGCCGTGCCGGCTGCGATGGCTCGGCCCACGATGTCTTGGAATCGCATTGTACTCGTGAGCTTTTGTAAGCATGATTATTAGTGATGTTGGTGCTGTCGTGACCCGAGGGCGCAACGTCGTCGCCGTTTGCCCCGGCTCGACCGGCCGATTCGCCCGAGGCCAGCTCGGATGAGTCGTCGCGACGCTGCGCAAGGTCGGTTGCGATGGAGCTCATTGGGGTTGAGCTGGTGCTGGTTGCTAGCTTGACCCCAACGGCCGGTTTGTCTAAACTATCAGTGTCTCGTGATATGCGGGAGACGAGGGGAACATGTCCAGCAAACGCCCAATGCCGCTGATTTTCGGTGCAACAGAACAGAAGACGCAGAGGCCGGAGTGCTGGAAAGATGAAGTGCAGGGCGCAACTGGTGGCCGTGGGTACATGTACGAGTATAGCAGTATGCTGGGTCCAAGGAATTCTTGAAGATGCTCCGCCGCACGAAGCACTGCAGTCTCATAATCCTCCTTAAAGGCGGGCCCCCCTGTCTAAATTTAGAGCTGCAAGTTGGCCCCCTGGATTTGTTTCCAGGCGCAACAACGAGCGCTACAGCATCAGGAGAGAAGAACAACCCAATTTCAACACAATGCAACATATACAGCATTAGTTTATAACGAATTCCCTGTATTTTCCATTGCATCTTGATCAGTCATCAAGTAGATGGTCTACTCCCATCCAAATAAAACCATTCCATCTCATCTTACCCATCGTTGGTGCATCTTTCACGTGAGCTGGCGTGACCGTACCGCACATGCCCCGCCCATTAACGCTCCTCCAGCCCGCTGTAAAACACTTTGGGCCTGACGCGTTTCGAAGCTCCACGCGCCGCATTGAGCATCCATTCGGCTTCCCCTTGCGGATCGGCGGATATCGCAAACGCAGATTACCATCTCTCACCCTGCGATAAGCTTCTTCTTGGAGATCCAATATCATCATCATCCATCATCAACCACCACCACCACTCTAAAGCACAATCACAAACATTGAAGATGCCTCCCACAACGAAGAGGCGGCGAGCCGTTGACGACAGCGAGGACGAGGTTCCCCCCACTTCTGTCGCAAAGAAGAACAAGAGCGCCGCCGCCGCCAGTGCGCCAGATGGCAAAGATGACGAGGGCAATCCGTTCTGGGAGGTGCGATATGACTGATAGCCGATGGAACTGGTCTTGCATCTCGCTTACTCACCGCTTTGCAACAGTTGTCAAACAAGCGACGCGTGGGAGTTTCCCAGTTCAAGAAGATGTGCTTTGTCAACATTCGCGAGTACTACGAAAAGGATGGAAAGACGCTGCCCGGCAAAAAGGTGAGCCCCGCCTGTTCTGGTAGAGGAACCATTGTTGGATACACGATGCTGATGTTGGCTCAAGGGCATTTCTCTGTCTGTCGAGCAGTATCTCGCCCTGATCAAAGCAGCTCCCGGTATCAACGCGGCTCTGCGAGCAAAGGGCCAAGACGTCGATGACCCCGACGAAATGGATATTGAAGAACCCGAGGTGGCTACAAACAAGAAAAAGTCCAAGTCGGACAAGTCCAATATTGAGGCAACCAGCGATGAGGATGAAGGCGAGGACTAGAACCTTGTGATATTTGATTTATGAAGTCAGCCCCATGTGGCTTTTAATCGCTGGAGTTGGGAGATTCCACTACGGCACAGCAGGCTGGTGCCTAGTATGAGCAGGAAGCTCGTGGATCGGATCCGGGGTTGCGGCTGTCATGGCGGTTGACAAGTACATGATCTGCTTTGATTTGTATCGCGATGATATCCTGTAATGACAAAAAGGTTTCTGAGTAAGTCGCGGGCGACAACTAGCATGTTTCAGTAAAACGACGGACGCAAGGATTCTCCAGAAAAGCCAGCTACAACGCAGAGATGACTGTATCTTGTCTCATCTCACAGCATCGCAAGCGTCATTGGATGTCTCTGGGCCGTGTCGCATTGGGCGGACGCAAATGTCCAATCACGAGCCGACGATATTCGCAACGATGCCAACTCGCAAATACTTGACTACTAATTGCTACCTTACTGCCTTACTGTACATACAGTAGCGCAGCACAGCACAGCAGACTCAGTTACCTAGAGATCCCGTGTGACACATCTCCAGTCAAGTGGTGTCGCCAAGGCTGTTTGATGGAAGACATCCCGGATCCGTGGCAATGACTAAAGTAGCGCTGAAGCCCCCTATGATTGGCGGCACGGGGGCGTCATCCTTCACCATCATGCTCCCTAATGCCTGCAAAATTGTCATCTGGTGTCGATCCATCCCATCAATCTCATCTTGACCTCTTCCCCCCACCCACTTCATTGTAACAATAGAAGCCCGGTTTTCTTCATAAACTTCTCATAAACGCAACACGTGCTTCCCGAGACTGACTTGACGCGATCACGGTGCCTGTTTGCCGCCGTTTTCGGGCTCCGCCTTGGTCGATAAAATCCCCCTTGCGTCAGATTACCTAACCCGACGTCCAACTGGCAACTTGATTCCACATCAGCAGCCGGTTCTGGGTGGCTTTTATTATCTCTCTCAGCCCTCCCAGCGCTTGCATTCTTCTTTTTACCTTTCAAACTCATGGATGGCCGGATCATATAGAGCCAGACAGCAACTGTGTTTAATGACTTGATCTTTTTTTCTAATCTCTTTGGACTTTCTCGCCTCGGTTGCGCCGGCGCGACTGTTCCCTTAATCATGAACTCATGGCGGTTTAGGCTGGGGCGCACAGAGTCCGTCGAGAACTATGACGGCGTTCTGGTTTCTCTAGAAGAGGCGCATCTTCACAGCCACTCGGCGCGGGTTGGACGAGTCGAGTTTGAAAATCAGGATGAAAGCGCGGGTGATGACGACGACGACGACGATGTGAATTCGGTAAAGGACGACCAGGGAGAGGGAATGCTGCTGATGAACGCTGCCGAGTACACCATCGAAGGATTAAGAGCAGAGATGAGACAGGGCAAGCGAGGGCAGTGGACGGATTACGAGAGTGAGTGTTTGCGACAAAGGTGACGAGAGAACATGGGCACTAATCCGACAATAGTCAAATCCAAGCTCATCAACAAGGCAATTCAGGACATTGGCATGGGGCGCTACAACTGGCAGCTGTTTATCCTATGCGGCTTCGGGTGGTTTGCTGATAAGTAAGGACAATCCATTTTCTCATTACTAGTACGAATTATAGACTGACATGTGACACAGTTTATGGTTACAGGTGTGCTGAATATGCTGTGCGAAACTATCGCTTTGTAATGCTAACGAATAGAACAGGGCGTTTCACTAACCTTGCCATCATTATCAGCTGAATTTGATATACCAGAAAAGACCGTGAGATATACGACAAGCGCCTGCTTTGTCGGGCTCTCTCTCGGGAGCTTCCTTTGGGGTATAGGGTCCGATCTCTTTGGCCGCCGAATCGCGTTCAACATGACGCTACTCATTACGAGCATCTTCGGTATCCTGTCTGCGTATGCCGGAAGCTGGGGATCTGTATGCTTCCTTTACGCAGCCTTCGGCTTCGGTGTCGGCGGCAACCTGCCCGTTGATGGTGCCTTATTCCTCGAATTTCTACCGGATGCTTCCAGTTCGCTACTCACGCTGTTGTCCGTGTGGTGGCCAATCGGACAGCTAGTATCCTCACTAGCTGCGTGGTTCTTCATCGCCCAGTGGCCCGTGGAGATTGGTTGGCGATACTTTATCATGACCATTGGCATCATTACTTTCGCAATGTTCTCCATCCGCTTCTTTCTCTTCCACATGTTCGAGTCGCCCAAACTCCTCCTCAACCAAGGCCGCCAGAAGGAGGCAGTTGCTGTCGTCCACGGCATCGCCTATCGCAACGGCGCAAAGACATGGCTCACCTCGCAGATTCTCGATCAAGTCGCGGCAGAGGATCCCGAGCAATCCAGCAACAATGCTCAACGATATTCCATGTCATCAGTTCCGCGTTCCAACATTCTCAAGGAAAAGTTTAGGGGGTTCTCAGGAGATAGGTTGCGGCCGCTGTTCCAGACCAAGACTCTGGCTACTGCAACCTCTCTTGTGTGGTTTTGCTGGGCAACTATAGGCATGGGATACCCGCTGTTCAATGCCTTTCTACCCCAGTATCTTTCCCACCACGACGGCGATGCGGGCAGCGAAGCAATGCAGGACGAAACCTCGGCCATATCCGGCATCACATACCGCAACTACGCCATCACATCCATCATGGGAGTTCCCGGCAGTCTCCTTGCCGCTTACTTAGTTGACCATCCATCTCCTTTCTTTGGCCGTCGTGGAACCCTAGCTAGTTCCACCGTCGTCTCGGCTGTATTCCTCTTCATTTTTGCAGCGTACGGCACCACACCAACGCGCCAGCTCGTCTTTTCTTGCATTGAGGCTTTTGCCCAGAACATCATGTACGGCGTTTTGTATGCTTTCACGCCGGAAATCTTCCCAGCGCCAGTTAGAGGTGCGGGTACGGGAGTGGCCAGCTTCCTCAACCGACTGACAGGTTTGATGGCTCCCATCATAGCGGCCAACATTCCCGGAGACGGGTCCACTACGCCCATTTACATGTCTGCTGTTTTGATCTTGGCAGCCTTTGTAGGCATGTGTTTAATTCCCATTGAAACCAGGGGTGCGCAGCGGTTATAGGCTTCCTTTTGTGTCTTTATAGAGTCTTGGGCAGTGCTACTGGAAAGGCAAATGTGGATAAGCAACTGTTGCAAGTATATTGGCATTCATACATGTAATGGCTCTTATTTGGATATCCGGGATGAACAGCTTGTCATCATGGGCTCATTGGAATATGGCTCATTTGAGAATAGATTTCATTTTGTATTAGAACAATGCATAACGGTTACCAATGTCTATCATCATCTATCGATTGCCCTTGGCGCCAGCAGGAACATCAACACGCCGCTTTCTCAGCGACGTGCCCATCGCATCGCGAACCATGGGGTCAGCACGGATTGTGTTTTGGACCAACCACTCTCTCATCTTTCCCTGTAGATTGGATGTCGCCTCTGCATCCCCCTTGAACGGCGTCATCTCCATCTCCATTAGCCTCGTCGAGTCGGCATCAAACTGGCCAGTGATGGCTTCAAGGCGGTTCAAGCCCTGCACGAGCAGCTCGTCCTCGTCATCAATGGATCGTTTCGATGGTGACGCATCCATCGTCAGGAGCGGACCGATTTGCGACAGGGCAATGTAGATGGTGATGGTGAGTTTGCGCGCAAGCTGTACAAGTTGGAACGGCAGATATGGCGGGTGAGTCGCCGTCATGGAGAAGAGCAAGTTGAGGCCATCCAGCAATGACGGGAAACTCGGCCGCGTGACGGCTTGAACCTCAAAGACACACAGGCTCAGCAATATCAACCATCGGTAGAACTTTCCAAAATCCATGTATCCCAGCAGACCCAAGATGTAAATAGACCCCGCGGCAACAGCATAGTGCGGCAGGATTCCCGAAAAGACACCGCGCGAGACGTAGTCCCTAATCGTGACGCACTTTTGCCACGCCACAGTCTCCGGTCCGAAGCGCTCGTAGGCGAAGCGCTTCGCGGCATCTTGCAAGGTGTCGCTGGCGGCCTTGAGGTGGATGAAGTAGGCGGCCGAGTCGGAGGCGTCGCTGCCCGTCTTGTCGGGGTGGTGAAGCGCGGCGAGCCGGCGGAACCGAGACTTGATGTCGCGGTCGGTGGCGGAAAAGGGCACGCCTAGATCGGTGTAGAAGGAGCCCTGGCGGCGGAGGTCGAAGTCGGCCTCGTAGATGGTGTAGGAGAGGTAGATGGCTATGACGAGGATGTGGATGTTGCGGCGATGATGGTTGAACCGCGGGCTGCCGGGCTGGGGCTTGGGATCGCCGGCGCGGATGGTGAGGCCATAGTAGATGGTCTGGATCCAAGATGTTGCGATCTGGAGGCACAAGTCAGCTGGCTGGACTGTGTCTCGTGTGTGGCTGAAGCAGTGAATGAATGACGAGATGCTGCGTTGTCGAGATAGCAGAGAGCGATACTTACGTTGGGGAGGAAGGACCACCCTATAATGGACAGGAATTGCGACATGATATATCGTGCAGCATTGTGGTTTGAGATGCGAAGCTGCGTGGCTCAAAGGCAAATAAATAGGTATGCATGTTGGTGTTTTCTTGAGGACAAGCTGGCCGGCGATTCTTATCGATAAAGCCTGATGTAATCTGTTTGCAGGGGTCTTTTTTTCGATCCGGCGCTTTGTTAGCGAGTACGTGCCGAGATGTTAGTGGCAAAGGCAGTTGATGGAACAATGTTCGAATGTGGTGGTTAACAAGATACTGAGGCGTAAGCTATTTCTGCCGGTTGCGATACTAGTCGAATGTTATTTCAGGGAATTTTTCTGGAAATTAGAACAGAATTTGGGGAGAGGAAGCCATCGGATTGTTCGTCAGTTGCGACTTATTGCGCAGTGTTATATGCTGATATTCTGAATCTGGGCCCAGCATAGATGTGCGTTGTATCTTGTATTAGACTTCTATTATTATTAAACATTATGGTAAGGAAATTACTACAAGAATTTAAGTCAAACAATATAGTACACTTTCAAGGGCTCTGTTTGTGTGTCGAAGTCGCCAGTGTTCATTGGTATATGTACCCAATCAATAGAGGGCTAATGGACGTGTAGAGACGTCAACACGCTCACTGGTTGATGGTCCAGTATCTCTAAGACATCAATGTCATATTGTGGCAGCTAAGCTAAACCTCGACTTTATTTCTGGTCAGCTTTTCTCCATCATTACTGTTGAGGTTGGGGATTATGTGTAAGCCAACCCACTGCATTGTTGCATTCCGCTTGGCCGATGACTCTTCAACCCTCGAATATCTCTCTCTTCACCGAACGAATTAGTATAATTTGGCGCCCAACTGACATCACACTAACCAGACTCGCATCGATTCGCGCCAGCTACTTGTACGCAAGGCTGAATGGCTAAATGCAGCAGCTAAATATAAACCGATCTACGGGATGTTAAGCCTCTACTGGTGAGGCATCACGTCAAAGCTGTGTTATGGTTACTGCATGTAGTTTACTCGCTGGCGAGTGGGAGGCTTTAAACGCTGAAAAGAAAGTGCTTGCAATGTAACATCCTTACACTATTGGTAATGCAATAATGCGGAGGATGTTGAGTCGTTGCCGGCACTTCTAGAATAATTTGATCTCCGAAAGTGCTGAGGGGATCGATGAGGCTGTATCTGGAAATCTGAATTGTTAGGATCAAGGCTACTGTTGTCACATGGGCTTATGCCGGACTTTGCTGATATTTCCAGCCCCTCCTAAAAGACTGCGACAATGGAGAATATGCAAGGTTACATCAGAATTTATGTGTGGGCATTCTGAACAGGTATATTTGAGCGTGACCAAGCTTGTAAGAAGTGGGTGACTCTACATTTGGGATCAGTCCTTAGATTATCGTCAAGCGGGAGTATCACCCTTAGAATTCAGTCCCCAAGGCCTCGTTGTACTCAATACCACTCAATACCATGAGTCGTGAGTCACTATCAGTTGTCGTTATTGGCATCGGCCCGATGGGAACCAGCCATCTCCTCGCATATCATCACAATCCCACGTACAAGGTCATTGGTATCGTGTCGAGGAGCACTCTTCAGCTACCAACCGAGTTGAAAGAATACGAGAGCCTCGCTCTTTTGAACCTCAAAACAGCTCTATTGCTTAAGCCAGATGTGGTATCAATAAATACCCATTCTGATAGCCATGTCGAGTATGCAGTGGCTTCAATGGAAGCAGGCGCTCATGTGTTTGTTGAGAAACCTCTAGCGACATCCGTTGCAGATGCAAAACGAGTCGTGGAAACAGCCAAACGAACTGGGAAAAAGATTGTCATTGGTTACATTCTCCGTCACCATCCGAGTTGGGTTGAATTCATCCGACAGGCAAGGCAATTTGGGCCACCTTTCGTCATGCGCATGAACCTCAATCAACGCTCAGAAGATAGTGCAGGGGACATTCACAAGCGCTTCATGGAGACGACTAGCCCAGTGGTTGACTGTGGAGTGCATTACATTGATGTGATGCTGCAAATCACAGACAGCCGCGCTGTTCAAGTCAGAGGAATGGGAGTTAGACTCAGTGATGAGATTGACAAGGATCAAGTCAACTATGGCCACTTGCAGATTACCTTTGAAGATGGGTCGGTGGGTTGGTATGATGCTAGCTGGGGCCCCATGATATCTACAAATGCCTTTTTCATCAAAGATGTCATGGGGCCTAGAGGTGCCGTATTGATTGTCATGGATAGCGATGCTGATTCTTCGGACGTGAATGCACACACTAAGACAGCAAATATCAAGGTGGCTCCGGTTAATGAGAAAGCTACAATAATCTCCATGAAGGGTGAGCCTGTCCATGATGAGCTCTGCGCACTAGAGCAAGAGTATCTGCTAGAGTCCATTCTAGAAGATCGAGACTTATACAGGCATATGAATGATGCTGTTCAGTCCCTTGCAGTTGTACTGGCAGCGGATAAGTCAATGAGGGAAAATAGGGCAATTGATCTTTAAGAAGACAAATAGATGCTGTAAAATGACTCATATAGGTACTATGATAAGCTTATAATGTCAGGGGTTATGATCTGTACGGTTGAACAAAGTCGGACTAGGTGCAGGTAGGTCGAGCCAACCTTATAACCTCATTAGAGACTGCGCACAACAAAAGCGTCTTAACTTTATAATGTATTAGTCAGTTCTTGAAGCCCTAGGCATGAAAGATAAGCTACGACTTGCAAAAGCAGATAAATGTAGCGGGAGCGCAATATTTTTCTCTTCGGCTGCAGCGTGTGTATGCGGATCTTGTTACAGCGGCATATATGTATCTCCACTAAAGCCATCCAGGGCTAGTTTCATGTATACACGGGTTTGAATCCTGCAGTTTAATAATAGTATACTCATGTGCCGCCGCATACATGTAAGTAGGCGCTTAAATGTATCTATTTTAGGCAGAGCCCCTCTCCTATTCGCGCTCAAAACAAATGCAGTTTATACCACGCAAAGTCCTACCGTTGTCTTTCACGAAGCAATAATGAGCAATTGTTGTCGACCCTGTTCAGGCCTATCCGTTGAGGCCTTAACTAGGCTTGCGAAACAAGAATTCTCGGGCCATGAGTTTCCGGCTTCAGCGTACTACCAACACCACAACTCGTTTCATGATCTAGAACAGGCAGCAAACGCTGGTTGCGATTTTTGCTTGCTCATAGTTGACTGCTTCAAAGGAGTCCCATGGATAAGAGGTGAGAGCTATGAAATCTCCTCTTACCTATGGGAACATCCAGAAATAGACATTGAAGATTCGGCTTACCATGCGGCAAAGCAGCTTGCTTTGTCTGATGTGAAGTTGAGTATTAATACAGACCATGTCTGTTCAAATGATAGTTTAGACAAGGTTCGGTCTTTCACTACCCTCTTGGTCCAAATTGGTCCGACAGAGCTACCGGAAGAGAGCAGTGATTATGCATTTCCCTTTCTCACTCTCTCATTAAACGATCCAGGTAATGGTGGCGGTCTTACAAATATTACCATGTCCTTTGCTAAAAAGTTTAGGCTGTTTTGTGGAAATCGAAGGCATCAAAGTTGGACGCTGCAAGACCCATCCGGACTTGGGCTCTCCCTATCAGTTCAACGTAGCTAGACGCTGGCTTCAAGAATGCCGATCTCATGAAGCATGTCTGATGAACAAGATCCCAGAGCTCCCCACTCGCGTGGTAGACATTGGGCTACCAGATGTTAAATCTCTGCCGCGGGTATTCATTTCTCACGGCACAAAAGCAGATTATATCGCACTCAGCCATTGCTGGGGCGGCAAAATAGACTCTGTCCTCACTTCAAAAACGTATCACGACTACCAACAAGCTTTACCACTCTCTGAAATATCGGCAAATTTTAAAGATACATTTCGTATTGCGAGGGAGCTCGGAATCCAATATATATGGATCGATTCATTATGTATTATTCAGGACTCAAAAGAGGATTGGGAAATCGAATCTAGTAGGATGGGAGCTGTATATCGCAACGCTACGCTGACCGTCTCAGCCCTTGTTTCAGCAAAGAGCACAGTAGGGATCTTGAAAACTAACGACAATCGTTTCCTGGGAGCCCCGAAGAGCGCAAAGCTTAGGGTCTATGAAGATAGCTCGAAAGATGACGAGGTCGAAGTGGACTGGAAGCCACTGGAGGAAGAAACTTTACGAGATCTCATGCACAAGGGTGCACTTGCTTCGCGAGGATGGGCCTTACAAGAGTACATTTTGTCTCCTCGGAATCTTCTCTACGGCGAGAGGCAGATATACTGGCGGTGTCCAAGTATGGTGGCTTCAGCAGATGCTACGCCAGAAGGCTTTCTGTTTCCGGCTCGAAATTTTCAGAAAGCTTCACAAGTTATTTACTCCGACATACTGGCTGTGGCACCTGAAATTGAATCACATATAAAAGCTGTTCTTCAGGACTATTACGAATTAGCAGAGACGTATTCCGCGCGCCAATTGACTTTTGGGTCAGATAAACATGCTGCATTCTCCGGTATAGCTCAAATGGTACACCCATCGATTGGTGGACAATACTTTGTGGGCCTTTGGACAGTCGACTTCAAGCATGGGCTGCTGTGGTATGGGGAAATGGCCTCTTGCCGGCATGTTGAAACTCATGGAGCTCCATCCTGGTCGTGGATGGTAACTGATGCTCGGGTTTTGTTTTCAAGCATTCGAAACCTCGAAGCTACTCCATTCGATGTAAAAATACTTCAATACAATGGCATTCCTCAAGATGCGGTAAAACAGTTTGGTCGGATTGAATCAGCCTCTGTGGTCGTGGAAGGACTCATAATGCCATTAATACGGAGCAAACAGCGCGTTCGAGCAAGAAATCGGGATGACCTGGTGTTTGGTGTAGTACAATACGACGAGCCATCATCTGCTGATGATGATCATTCGAGAAGTTTAATTTTCCCAGCAGAGGATCAAATTTTGGGAAAGGCTTTGATTTCTCTGCATGCTGATCCTGGGACTGATGACATCGACATCAGCGCAAATCTTTTCCTAGAAGATGACCTCTTGGTTTTGCTGGTTCAGGCAGATGAAAATGCCGATAATGAGATGGAACCTAGCTTTGGCGAGGGCATCGTTTTACGACCGGTTAAGCATGGCTTGGAAGACGTTTATGAGAGAATAGGGTATGTTGATTTCTGGACGCCGAGCATGGATTACTTTCGACAGTGGGGGTCAAGGTCCTTGAAAATGATATAACCTCTTTCAGCCGAAGCTACTGCCTTTAATAAAATATATGTTTAGCCCCTGTCTCATAAGCACTCAAGTACAGTCAGCTCAGCGACAAGTTTAAGCTTGTTATTTTCTACTGTCTTGGCAAACAAATGATTAGTATTGACACTCGTGTATGCAACAATGTCATTGATTAGTATCTATGTCTAAATATGAGTTAAAGATTATATAGAGTAAGACAGATGTACATTGTCTCCATGCTAGTGGAGTTGGAACAATTATTCAGACAAGGTTACAAGAATGCAAAGTGTAGATGAGAATCTGTAGCCGGTTGAAGCGGAGCAGGCATCCATAGTTTCAACGGTTACTGATATTGCAACCTGCAAGTTGTTTAAAAGATGTCGGTCTGGGCACCAGCAGTGAAGCCCATTCGGGAGGTGTAAGTGGGAACTTTCTGGGGACGCGCCCACTGAACGTTGTTTCCCTCAGCCTGGAAAGCAGCAATCATCTGCTTGGGTCCCCTGACGTTGGGGCCTGGGACAAGAGAGGGAGTCTTAGGCTGCTGACCGCCGTTGGGGTTAATGATCTTGCACTTGTGGGGAGCCATGTACATGTTCTGCTGGCCAAAACCATCGGGGATCCAGCTGCGTAAAATGGTTAGTAACGAAGGCCTCGTAATATCTTGCAGAGGTAAGAAACTTACACAGTAGCGCAGAGGCAATCGTTGCAAGCCTTCAGGTTGGGGATGTTGTAGGAAACCAGACGCTCAAAGGGGGTCTGAGGAGCAGTGGTGAAGACGACAAAGTCCTCCATCTTCACATCCCAGATGTTGGATTTGTAGGCGATAGCCACGGCAGTACCAGCGGCAGTCGACTTGTTACCAGCGTGCATGTTGGGGCTGTTGATTCCTCCGGATGAAGAGACCAGGCCAGCAGCGATGACGGCAGGGTTCGTGACGGAGAAGGGCTGGGGGCGCTCGTTCAGCTCCTTTCCATCGGCGTAGTAGCCGTGCGAGTTGTTCGAGTTGGCCCAAGGGACTTGGATGACCGAGTTGGCCTTGATCTCCCAAACGCCAACGGGGGGGGCAAGCCAGCAGTTACGGCCCTTGGACAGGAACCAGGCATCCTTTTTGAGGCCGACTAGGGGGTCATACACGTGGAGGGTTTTATCGGTAAAGTTGGTGAGCGGGCCTTGGTAAGTGTTCTACGGTATGAGTTAGTTAATGTTGGCTTTGGCTAGATGTCACATTCATGTTCGATAAATCGTACCTTGGGGCAGTACATGCCGTTGGTGTAAGCGGCAAGATGGGCTGAGGCGCCCTGGATGGCAGCCAGGCCACACAGAGCGGCAGCGCGAAGAGAGAATTCAGACTTCATTGCAGTTGAGAGATGAAAGAATGTAGTTGAGAGATAAAAGAATGTGGTTGTGTGTAAACTTTTGGATTGATTCAAAGACACTTGAGATGCGAGAAGGTAGCATTTATATATCCTCGGGGTGTTGGTGATCAGCGTTTACTGCTGTCAAGGTCGCATTAGTACTACTGGGGTGTTCGGCAAACTCATCACAACCTTGAACCCAGCTAGTTTGTCTAGGATACAGCGTGGATCTGCCGTGGCTGCAGAGGATCGGTGCCGCCAACTTAAAATTCTATTCATTAAGGAGCTGGTGACATCAGGGGGTTTGGCCAGGATTATTTACCAAGGTTGTTATTCGGCCATGGCATCGGGCTCTGCGAAACACTTACTGTGGAGTAGGTTGCAAGGGCTAAAGACAAATTGGCCATCACACGGTTGAGAAAAACTAATCGTCAGAATACGACTGACACGTTAATGGAAGCTCTTTGCCGCTCTTCATCTTTTACGGGAGGTGACTTATAAGCTTACCGGCCAAAGCCGAAGCTACATCACATACACGGGGATTATTTTGTGAACAATGTGACACTAAGCGTACAAGCACCGCCCAGCAACCATCTGGCCTAGCAACTTCTTAATCAAGCATCGATTGTTTGCCACCGCTACATAAGTTAGGGATCAGGGTCTGGAGTTCTAGCGAGTAGTTAATCTACTGTTCTCCAAGTGTCAGATATCAGACCCTTGTTGTGGCGCCCGGCCCTCGGCAGATTCTGGTATAGATGTAACTTGGCCTCAGCTCACGCTTAGCATCTTCTAGAACACATGAAACGCGTAGTGCCTAAATTCGCAGTGTCTTCTGGCGCCAAGCTACGAAGCAATCTGAAAGACATCGCCTAATTATCTCCGAACCTCAGCTAAGCCCCTTATTTACGGGCTGCCGACTCTCCTATTACGAGGCGCCCCCATATATCTCCAACAAGGAGGCATCGTTTATGCCTAATTAGGAAACCTACGGCTGCCAAAATAAGCTGCTGCTCGGTGGAACTAACCAGACCTCTAAAAGGATACCAGCAGTCTAAGATTCCCATACTCCCAAGGGACAATCACTTGCCCAGACTATTCTAATCACGGCAGTACTACGCTTCTACAGCTTGGCAGTTTGTGGGAGATGAAATACTCGTACAGGATTCAACATACGGGTCTTTTGCCCCGTATTCTACGGTAGGCCAACTCATACGAGTAGCCCCTGACAGTCCTAAGCAGTGTAGATCCTTTACAGATACGGATAGCTGTGCTCGGCGGCTAGAGTTCGCGCCCGATCGACCCCGATTACGTTGCTCCAACTCACCTCTCAGTCTTTAGACTACTGTGTCGTTTCGAAACACAAAATCCACTTGCTGAACGCCCATCGAGCCGTCTCATTTTGCAAACGGGTAAGCGGCTGGAGGGGGGGGCTTCTTTGCTTCCATTTCCTGATGGATAGAGCTTAGAGATAGCCTACTAGAAAGGGGCTTCTTAGCGTCCTAGCTATTGTGGATTGGATATATTTATAAGTGTAGTCTTGATTCTATACCTAACTACCAGTAGTGCCAAACTGATTCTTGATTCTTTCATATGAGAAGAGTTGGTAATCTTGTGGGTGATTTTCTTTTTCTGCCTTTCACACTGGACTTTCCAAAACATGCAGAGTATAAACTGATATCTACAATGTCTTGGAGTCTCTTTGACAAGAAGGGGAAACAAAATTCAAGTGCCGGTCCCCATACAGAGTATGATTTGTACTAAATGCAACCCTCGGAGCCAAATCAGTGTGAAACAGTTCACAATTAGGCTAAAGGCTTTTGCGCCAGCAATGCCAATGGAGTGCAATGAAGTGCTCCTCCCCGATTCTTGACGGCATCCAGTGCCGCTTCTAGCACTGCATCGCCCTCGTGACGGGGTGGCAAACTTGGGATACCGGCTTTGTATGCTCCGGCAATGAGACTCGCGTGGAAGGCAAACAGCGACTTGGTGATGATCGGAACAACAGCTTGTGAAATCGGGTCTGCCCGAAACTCCACGACATTCAGCCCGGCCTTCTTTACACGGTTGGGAATATCCACAAGCCAGCTAGACATGCTTTATTAGCGTAAATCTTGAAATAACAACTTTAACTGTGACTCACGAAGGATCAATGTTTAATTCTTTTCGAATCAAGGAAGCGAAGGAATACAACGCCTCGGCCTCCTCTCCTTTGATGTATGCTCCATTTCTGTCAGGGTCGTAATCATCCCATTGTAGGTAACCGCCCGGCTCTAGTGTTTTGGTTAGTACTTGGGTATAATACGGCGTCCGGAGGAATAGAGGGTGGCGAGGACGTACTCAGCAACTGCGTGACGTGTCTAATCAAGGCAAATGTATCACACCCCCTAATGATGGCGCACCAAAGTCGCATGTGTACTACGTCGTATTTCTGGAAATGCTCTTCAGGTACTTCCTCATAAGCATTCATAACCCGTAGAGTTATGTTACTGGGCAGGGTCGACTTTGGCGGAAATTGTTCATCGGAGATGTCAAAACCGTCAAGTTGAACAGTTGAAGGGACCTGGGAAGACACATCCAGAAGCCATATTCTATCACGTTATGAGTCAGACAAACTAGAGGGGAATCTCTCTCAAAGGTAAACTTACCCGGTTCCTGTGCCTATTTCAGCAATCTTGGTGTCCGGGTTGATGGGGATTCTGGGATCGATGGTGTAGCCGTTTTGGAGGTTGAATATGAAGTGTTGACCATCTAGTCTAATATCAATTAGGCTATATCCCAATTGGATGCCAGGGGAAAAGGATTGTATGTTACCTTATGGTCTCTATAAAGCTCCTGCCTAAAATGTAATCATCGCTATTATCGGTAACAGCCATTTTGTTTGAAGTGACGGCGGGGAACCCTGAGGAGGAAATATTATGCTTCAAAGAGAGTGACTCTTTGTATCTGAAGTGCAAAGGATGATTTTTCGTCTCTGACATTTTCAAGAGAAAGGGGAAAAGCCCTTCTCATATAGTCGCAAGACTGTTCACCCCTTTTGGTCGGCGACCTTTTTCATTGACGTCGACTGTCTGAGACTTTCAGGGCGAACACGGCACGATCTGAGACTAGCGGCACAGAGAGTTGTGAGCTGAGAATGGTCCGCTGACAGTTATACTACATCAGGCTTGCACAAATGCATCAATGCTGCTCTATTGAGGCAGTGGAAAAAAAGAAAGGCAATGTACTCCGCACGCTTCCTGATGTAACGTCAGTTTGGGGTACCAAATTTGGAGCACCCCATATTGTAAGACGAACCTGTCTGTTAAAGTACGAGGAAATTATTGGCAGCATTCGCAGTTCAAGATTGGGATTCGTATCCATTGAGATTCTATTATAGACAGGCTTGCGAGAAAAGTCATGTTTTTGGCAGTGTTTGGTCGAGTTACATATCCAATCATAAATGTGTGTTGTCTCCAACAAAGAGGGCGGCAAAGCGGCTCACGTTATATCCGAGCCTTGTTTTCCGACCACACCGGCATGCAGGAGAGCTGATGAATATCCCTGCATTCAGCTGCCTTTAGATGGGCGCGATCGTCTTAATGATTGGCGTGAAGCAACTCAGTCCAGTATCAAGTTGTCTAGCATCATTGCGGCACGCCAGCGTTCGAAAACCCGATGACGCTTGAGTGCGCAAGTTTGATGACCAAATTGGCGACGGGGATCGGGTAACTGGATCAAACAGTCTCAAAATGCCGGCTTGAACTCAAACTTCATATACTTTAATGGTAAGTTGCTGTTTTTACCAGCTCGGTGCTGATTAAGACCTCGCATCGCATGTCATGAGTACATGTAAGGTGATTCGTGGGGTCGCATACAGGTACAGGTAGGACAGAGCACCCACGCGAGCCAAACTATCAACACATACATACATCATGCATTCAATGTGATGGAGTGCTAATGTGAGTAATATGACAGTAATTCGGCTGAGATGATTGATGTAATACAATGTATGCAAGGCAGCCCAACCTGATTGCGGCTCCAACTCATCTTGACGACAGATACGTGTAACGACTCATTTTCTCCGCAGCGAGATCGGATTGTGCAGCCACAATTCTTACATATGTCTCTTTTCCAGTGTTGTATGGGTATAGGTTGATGCGATGTTGTTAGTGTCCATATGAACACGATTTTTACTGTTTCTTGGACAGAATAAATGGAGGGAAGTGGTGAATCTCAGCGCCCAAGGGATATACAGTAGCCAGAACTTTTATTCAAAGTCACCACCAACTCGACGCCACATCACAAAGGCTATCGTCAAGAAAATTTAATTTAACGGAATAAAAAGAGCGTACCTTTGTAAAGAATTGCCCAATGAGAAGAGAGAAGGAGAAAAAGAATAAAGAATAAATATCGGTGATTTCCGCGTGGAATGAGAATGTACGGGGACAAAGGAGGAGCCGAGGTTCGAGACGAGAATAAAGAACTCCAGACAACAAGTAGAGATCTTGTTGGGCCTCTGATACCATCCTTTGATTGGTTACCAAGTGTCCGGGCGGCGCAGCTGCAAATCAAGTCAAAGTGAAGCACTCCTGAAGACATTCCCATATACCTGTGCAGCTGCAAATGGGTGTCACTGCGCCCGCACCAACTGTTACGACAAATTGATCGAATTTACTACCTAATTACCTATCTCCCTATGTATTTTGAAGAATAATGTACGTATCGGCAAGGATAAGATATAAAGAAAGCAGCAGTGTTGTGGAGAAGACACCATCGTCAATGAAAGAGTCTATACTGGTGATGGCTGCAAATCACTATAGTAACAGCCATCTTTCTAAAGCCAGAGCCTGATGGTTCAAAACCTTCTGGTAGAAATAGAATTTCTTTGTGATATAGTTTAGAGGTTAAAATGCAATTCCTTGTATTCCAGAGAGTGAGGGGGTTTCGAAGAAGCATCGTGGCGGCGACTCCACAGATTTCAGTTCAAACTCACTCCGTTTGTTATCTTTTTGTCCCAATTTTCCCTTTTGTTTTGACGCCCCAAATTTTGGCATTGGTATAAATACGGCCTTCTCCCCCTTTGTTTTCTTTCTGGTTTCCCCATCTGCATTCACACCATCTTCCAATTCCTCGCAGCCAGCCCACACATCTTCCAACAACTTTGTCCACCTGCTCATCCTAACTCGTCTCTCTCGACACTCATATTTTGACAGTCACCAGACAACTTTACCAGCTCCAGCTTCTATTCAAGAATTGCCATCTTCTTCTTCTCCCTCTTCTTCTTATTGTTGTTGTTTACATATATATCCGACACAATGGCTCCCCGCGCTACCCTCCAGAAGACCATTGAGAAGAAAGGAGGAAACAAAGCCGCCTCCGACAATGCGAAAGTGGCTTTGCTGCAGATGCCAGTCGAGCTCATCTGCAAGTTTGCCAACGTCTTGCCCTCCGTGGACAAGATGGTCTTCGCCGAGACTTGTCGGCCAATTCACAACTCCCTCGGAGTCACCTCCTTCTCCAAGCACGAAGGAGAATCCCGCGAGGAGAAGTTCGAGTATCTCGCTCGCAGGTCGCGCGAGACTCCCAACCAATGGGTCTGCGAGGAGTGCATGTGCCAGCACGATATCGACACGACCGACACGCCAGCCACCCCAGTCCTCAATTGTCCCGTCGGCAATCTGTACGCCTCGAGGTACAACTTGCCCCTGAAGCTTATCGCCAGGGAAAACTACTGGCTGGGACGACGCCACGTCCAGCTGGCGTTGAAGTACACTCGGCTGTACAACGAGATATCGGATGGACACCGACAATACCTGACGCGACTCATGGCGACTCGCATCTATTCCGAGTCACACGTGTTCGATGGCATGCCGCTTTACCTCGCGGCCAAAATTACTCCCCGCATCATCGAGGGGCGATTCTTCCTCAAGAGCGTCTTCGAAATCCGGCAAAAGTCGAAGCCAATCGACAAGAGGCTCTTGATTGGCGATCACATCTGCCCTCACCAGACCTTCTGGACAGTCGAGCTTACGGGAGATAGCTCCATCTCCAAATTCACCATGGCGGTGGAAGACGCCTTCAACAAACGGGGGCATGAGGTGTGCAGCTATTGCCCTCACTGCTGCACCGACTTTTCCGTTGAGGCCTCGCGTCGGAGCCTCAGAATCACCATCTGGAACGACCTTGGAACAGAGAGCTCTGCCATGGATCTCGTGTGGTTGGCATCCGTGCCCAACTCCACGATGGCTTCAAGTGATCTCGTCAACGAGGCGCCGGGTCGTGTCAGGGCATGGTACGACAGTGTGAAGAAGGATGTTGTTGCATAATGGCATTGCAGTCAACGGGCGAAACTTGGGTGCAGGAAGGGTTTGAGGATGATATTCCCATCAATGAGAATTTGATTCAACAAATTGTATGATGCAACGAATTTTTCACGGATTACTGGTCTTTTTTATTCTGATTCGAATGAAGTTTGATTTGTCGAGAACCTCATGTATATAGCTAATAATGAAGATCACAATTTGCCCAATCTATCTTCCCACGAAACCAAGTGATTGAAGTCCATAGTCTAATAGTTAGAACACGTCCACCATCATTTCCGAGAACAAATAACATATATGTGTGATGGGTATATGTGTGCTTGGAGTTGTTAAAGAGTAGAGCCCACTCCCTCCGGTGAACAAAGTGTATGATGGGGAGATGCTTTTTGGAGTTGAATAAACTGGAGGTGTTTATAGGTAGCTAAGAGTCTGTATCATCAACTTTGGAAGCAATTGGATGGAATAATCATCTTGAATCTCCGAAACCAAAAGACTACATAAAGAAAAATCCACTTCTTTTATTCTTCTCATCCGATCAATTGTCCGAAGTACTGAAGTTTGTCGTATCGCGAAGGTATAGGGTGAGCGATACACGTATAAAGCACGGAGTCTAATCCACGCCCCTGTGCTTATGTACCTGCACGGCCGCTAATCTGCTCCATGGCTGAACTCAATCTCCAACAAGTTCCAGATTGACTTCAAATATCCAAATTCATTCGCTGTTGGCGCGCGGTACTTGGACCTTGTCTGATATCTTTGTTCTCAATCCCTGCTAATCGTCTCTTGAGTTTGTTTCCTCCTAGATAACGCGCCGATCCCTTGCATTGATCGCGATCACCGCCATGAGAGCCTCTGCTTGCCTCGCCGCCATCATTCCCGCGCTGGCCGCTCAGTGTGCTCGTATAGTCCAGTCCAACGATGATGGATGGGCCGAATCGTATATCCGATCTTTCAACGACGCGTTGATAGCCTCTGGTCACGACGTCGTGCTATCCGCGCCCGCAGATGACCAATCAGGAACCGGTAGGTGAATCTCATTGTCTTGCCCAGAATCTTCAGTTCTATATACGTGTATTTGCATGCCATGATACGGTCTTTAACTAACAGATGAAACTTGTAGGTGCCAGCGACTCACCGCCAACTCCACGCAATGATGCATGCCAGTACAATTCTTGCATCCCCGACGGCAGCCTTACCGGCCACAACGCCACCCGCCCCGATCTCAACTGGGTCAACTCCTTTCCCGTCACCTCCATGAAATACGGCATCGACACCTTTGGCCCCCAGCTGTGGAATGGCTCTGCCCCTGACATCGCCGTGTCAGGCATCAACGTGGGCACCAACGTCTTTGTCCAGTTGCCATTCTCGGGAACCGTCAACGCTGCGACTTTTGCTGCGCTCGAAGGCATCCCTTCTATCGCATTCTCCGCAGCCTCTGTTGGCAGACTGCCTTTCGACGAGGAACCGGTGCCTCTCCGTAGCATTCTGTATGGCCAACTCGCCGCTCAGTTGACCAACAAGATCATCTCCTCGGGATCTCCATATCTCCCCCGAGATGTCTTCCTCAACGTCAACTTCCCCAAAGCCGAGGGCAACTGCACCGAACTCTCCAGCTTCCAGTGGGTCCTCAGCCGTATCAACCCTGGTATCATCTCGCCACCAGATGTCGCATTCTGCGGCGGTAAACGCCTACCAACCGAGCTGTCCGTCATCACGCACGGGGGATGTTTCATCTCCGTTAGTGTTGGCAACGCCAAGGACAAGACAACTGCATCTACTAGCGAGCAGGCTTTGGTGCTGGATAAACTACGCGATATGCTAACTTGTCTACATGTGTCTAGCGGAATCCGTCCTCAACCAGATTTCTAGACTAGCGTGCGCTATTGTATATATATAAAGCAACTTTTATAGAAGACTAACAAGTAATGTAATACAATCTAATACCATTCTGTTTATTTCAAGATGAAATAAGTACTGAGAACATTGTTTACAGTTACCTAGTCTGCCTAGGTATATACCTGCGTTGAAAAATTACTAGGACAATGAATCGAGCCGATACTCTCCCTTGCCCTCTCTTATCAGGATATGGATACACTTCCTCGCCTGGGCACGGCTATCATGTAATTCCGTAGTAGTAAAAGCGTGACGATACTCCTGTGCTCATTCTCAACAACCCATACTGCATACAGTCCCATTGGCCTCCCAACGCTCTACTAGAATGTGGCGCCGTTTTCTTGCAGCAGTTCGACGACTGCCGCCTTTCCATTCCCAGCAGCCCATGAAAGCGGCGTCCGGCCAGACATATCTCCACGATCAATGTTTGTATCTTTTTCAATTAGTAACCTCACGGTAGACTCTCGCCCGTTTCCAGCAGCCCATGAAAGCGGCGTCCGGCGAAAATCATCCCGAGAATCAATAGCTGCGTTTTTTCTAAGCAGTAACCTTGCGGTAGACTCTTGCCCATTCCCGGCGGCCCATGAAAGGGGAGTCCGGCCAGAATGATCTCGAGAGTCGATATCTGCTTTTTTGTCAAGCAGTAGCTTTACGGTAGGCTCTTGCCCGTTGCCGGCGGCCCATGAAAGAGGAGTCCGGCCGGACCCCGTCTTGATATTGACATCCACCCCAACTGATATTAATATTTCGGCCATGACATCAAGTCCACCTTTGGCAGCAGCAATTAGTAGTCCATTTTGTAAATCTTTCGGGTCCAGTGGCACTAAATGTGAGCCAGACCAGCTCTCCAACAAATAATTGAAGGGGTCGTTGATCCAGTCACATGTTACTTGATCTGCGAGTTTTTGAGTATCAGAATTCTGGTTGGCGTATTTCATATACCAATTGGCATGGTATTCTAAATGATGGGAAGCATAGAATGCCAGCGGTCTTTTATCGAGATACTCTGCTAAATCGTCATAATGGTTAGCAATTCGATATTCAGAACCCGGTACCCCCACTCGTTGAGAGGTGTGGGCAGCGCAAAGCATTAGATATCGAATGCAAGTTGTGGCTATGAACATGTGTGCAAGTTCTTCATCTATGCGAAACTCTGTTTTTGAAACCGCCCCATGAGGATCGCGGAGAAACTCAAGGGCAGTCTGATGTATGATTTGCACTACCCTATGTCCTACAAGTACATTATTAGCTATTGATACAAAATATTGGGCGGCGTTATGTTTATACCATCGTTCCGTTGTTTAATCTCTATGAAGTTACCACCGCAAGAGACAATAATTCTCTCTGATAGTGGTACTCTCTCCTCGAAAATCTCATCAGTGAGGTTAGAAATCAAGGTGGATTCAGTATTGTCTGGAATGGCGAGACTGTGGAGAAGTTCGTTCACCCTAAGAGGCCGTCGTGCAAACAGAATGAATCGAAACATCTTCAATCCATAGGACAGGCTTGACTTGTTTTTTCTCATCTTATCCAGCATGAGTTCATAAAGTTCTTCGAGTTCCGTCGGAAGCTGCTTAAGCATAACAAATATGTCGTGTTCAGAATATCCATCTTCATGGAATCTTAATAATTCCTCACCAACCAGTTTGACCCAAAGGAAAATTCCTTGAGCATTTTCAAGTATATATGCAATCGCTCGAGTAAGATCAAGGCCTTGAAGCAAAGAATTGGCGAAATTGGAAATATCAAGTGTCGTTTCATCCTGTAGCCTAATAAAATTCAGAAACTGGTCTCGGCGGGCTTCTAGCTGTGTTACTGGTCGACTTGCGATGAAGATTTTGACAACACAGTATTTTATATTGGAACATAAGTTGTAAAGTAAATTGAGAATGTCCCGTCTGTCTGTCTCTTCAGATTCATCAACTGCATCGATAATAACGTAGATTCGCTTTGGTGTTGAATAGTAGTTTTGTAGTGATACCAAGATTCGTTTCAGAGATTGGTAGTCCCATTTCGCTCCAGAGCAACGATGAGCCCGATATTCGGCTTGACAATGATGGTAAAAGAAGGGTTTCTCTTGATATAAGATGTCATGCAGAAGTGAAAGAAGCATGCTATAGTGGCTCCTTTGAGGTTCGCCCTCTCTGAAGCTGTAAAAGAACTTTGCCACGATAGCTTTCTTTGCAGCTGGCTCCCTAGTTGGGAGATTAGAATCGAAATATTTGGCGAGGGTGCTTTTGCCACTACCAGGTTTTCCTTGTATATAGAGTAAACGAGAAGTTTCCGAATTGGACCAACGTTTGTACTCGTCATGCGCCCAAAGCCACTCGAAGGAGCCGCTTTGTTCTGGTGCAATCTTTTCATAGCGCGTGTTTTCGAACTGGAGGCTAGATAAACACTCTATGACCATTACTATTAGTAGGGTTCAGATTGGGAAAGAGGCTATTCAAACCTTTGAGCTCCTTGTCATACTCGATAAACACACTCTCTTGAGAAAGAGCAGTAATATCACAAATTGTCGGGCCTACAAGTAATGCCTTGATAGCTGAGCTTTGTCGTCGAAGATCATTTATGAGCACACCAATAAGGTGAAGAAACCGGCCACCCTGGTATGCTTTTTCTATTCCATCGAGAATAATCAAGGTGGGTTGTGGTTTAGCATAATCCAGAGTGAGCTGGAACCCAGCTAAATGATCCTCCGTTGCGGTATTGTCAAGGAGATCACCCAAACTCTTTGAAAGATCATTGTCATCGAAACCATGTTGCGTCCAATTTTGATTTGGTTTTTTTTCGAAAACTTTCTGCAGCAGGGCATTGAAAAAACTTCGCATGATTAATAGTCTTTTTTCTACTGGTGAAAGAAGAATAATTTGCTTCAGAAGAGTGTAAATGAGGGCACTGGCGAGTTCAATATTTTGACCTTCAACAGTTTGGTCACCGTCGTTAACTTCGTCATCAGTTATCTGTGAGCAGAAATAGTACAGAATAGGGTGGTTAGCCTTCTCCTCTTGGCCCACGATGTAGGATGTAACTTGAGATAAGTGGTGGCCTAGAGGGCTAGAGAGACAAAGGATGAACCGGCTATCATTGGATCTCCAGGATTTGTAGTCAATATTTTCAAATACCCAAGAATATTTAGGATCCCGGGGATCTAAATCTGGTATTGCGGATTTGCGTTGGCTTTGTTTCAGTGCTGGTAGAAGTTGAAGCAACTGCTCTAGACTCGACTCGGAAATAAAAGACTGAAGCATGTTCTATATGGAGAGCAAATTAGCCTATACGTCGATGATATCAGTCTTGATCGTTTATGGTTCTCGTACATGTATAGTATCAATATTCATAGGGAATATTGGCGGTGCTTCTGCTGGAGGGATGACAGACAGGATTTCTTTGGCGTAAGCAGCAGCAGCCGCTGCCGCATATGGCTGCCACCTCTTATTCTTGTGTGAGTCCGCATAATCGCAAATGCCTCGAATCGCTAAGCAAGGGAGGATATCCATAAGCCCTGCAGCTTCCATCTCAAAACAGAGTATGCCCTTTTCTTTTCGAAGCTTCTCTCGGGTCATTCCATGCCTCATGACTTGATTAGCCGAACCAATGAGACCATAATGGATGGCAGGGTCTTTATCTACGCGCGGCTTGCGAACCAGCAAGGCTCCTCTGTCGCAAGTCTCGCAACTTGATTCGCCGTCTGCATGGTCGTAATCTGCTCGGAACAGCTGGTCATGTTCCAACCCCGGGTGGTCGAAAGAACCGCGCATTTTTCTGTTGGATTGGAGCATAGTTTCAATATGGAATGAAACTAGGCTGAACTCCCTCCGATGGCGTGCTCGAAGTACTGAAATGCCAGTCCTCAATTCTATGTGCGTTTTGTTCAGTGTGCCGGTTTGAACAAATTTGCCCTCTCTCATTGTTTTTCCAAAATCGTATTGTAGAACACCGCCTGGGATACCGTTAGTCCAAAATAAAGGAACAGAAAGACCGGATTCGTTACCTGAATCGACCGTTGGACAGCTAACGACCACATCTCCAAGCCTGATATCGTCACGAGGATCATCGCTTGGCTTGCCCGGAGCTCCGCCTCCAATACCTACCATCAGACCAAAGCGAATATTCGGAAAACTCCGCATCATGTTGGTAGCTGTCGTCGCCGCAGCATTCGTACCTGTTGTTCCTGCTGGAAGGCATACCAAAACAATATTGTGCTCTCCTATGCGCCCCAGAGTATAGGTATTTGAATCACCCGGAATATAGGAGAGATCGCGAAACTCCTCGTCGAGCATAGCTACAGACGCAGCCAGTTCCACCTCCAAGGCACATATCCATCCTACAGTGAACGCATCCTTTGACAGGCTACATGGTCTGGAGCCATCGCCTGGTGTTGTCTGTGTGGGACGAAATGCTGACGACGCATCAAGGCGCTTGCGCTTCGCGGTCGGCTCCGCGTTCGTTAGGCGTCTCTCATCCATTGATCAGACGTGCGAACTTGATATTGAAAAATCGCAACGGGAACTAGAAACCGGATCATGAAGACGTTGTAGTTGCTCAACTTGTGGAGGGGGTTAGTAAAAATGGCAGAAATGGCAGACGTGAAGCGCCATATCAAACTAAATATCTGGGGTTAGGCATTGATGGACGAATATTTTGCGTGTTCGTCCATTTTCAGTGCGACGCGGCTGTAACCCCCCATCCTCTGGCGCCCGCGGTATTGATTGGCTATTTCTATGGCAGCTGGATAACGGCGTGCTATGATTTGCTAGCCGCGTATGGATACAGCCTATCACCAACGGGCAGGACATCATTGTTCACGCATGTTTAAAGGCCCCTATTTGTTCATGTCGCCTTTAAAGCAGACTTGCTTCGCCTCATTTTATTTTACTATGTGCTCTTATTTAGGACCAGTCTTTCCGGTGGGGATGCTAAACAAGACCACTCTGGGTCCCTTCAATCCGGCCTCGCCATCAGCCCAGTCATTCAGACCCTTGTCTACTCTGTAGAATCCTCTTCGCTCGAGCTGGATAATGTCATCCTTCTTCAGCTCGCCAACACCGGCATCGCAGACGGCATCCTCCATGCTGGCCGTGTTGGGGTTCAAGAAGTCCTCGAAGTTGTCGTCTTCCTCAAGCTTGTCCTTGGTGATGAGGTAGTCAAACTCCCATAGCTCAGCAGGGACCAGCTTGAAGCCTTCAGCAGAAAGCCAGGTAACCTTCTTCTCAGTGGTCTTGAAGTCACCCTTCAGGTTGAGCTCGAGCTTGAAAGATGTGATGGGGTCATCTGAGGTGGAGATGTCTCGAACAAAGGCATTGCCCCAGCCCATCAGAGTGATCTCCTCGTCGGCCTTGAAGCTCTTGGCATCGGCCTGGTCAATGTGAAGAGTAGGTGAGAAGATGACCTTCTTCAGGCCAACGCTTGCGTTCTTGGGGTGTTTAGGCCGCTCCTCCACGGTAACGCTGGCGGGGGCCTCCGATCCCATCACGGAAGCCTTGGCCAGGTCCTTGAGCAGAAGGGCCGTGAATCGGGGAACGACAGGGTCGATAACCTTCTTGTTGTTAGCCCAGAAGGTGGTCCAGTCCATGTTGACCACGTTTCGGCTAGGGCCCTGCTTGATGATGAAATCACGGAGCGCTTCGATGGTCATTCCTCGTCGTCGGATACCGCGAATGGTGGGCATTCTGGGGTCATCCCAGCCCCAGACCTTTCCAGCGTCAACCAGCTTCGCCAGCTTACGCTTGGACAGGAAAGTCTTGACAAAGTTGATTCTGGAGAAGTCCCACATGTGAACCTGGCGCAGTTGAAGGGTATCAATGAACCACTGGTACTGGGGGTTTCGGTCGGTGTACTCGGTGGATCTCAGAGCGTGAGTGACACCCTCGTGGCTGTCGACAACAGGGCAGGCAAAGTCGTACATGGGGTACATCTTCCACTTGTTGCCAGTGCGGTGGTGAATATTTTCGACGTTGCATCGGTAGATGACGGGGTCGCGCATGGCCTTGTTGGGGTTGTCAAAGGAGATCTTGGCACGAATGCAGTGTGCAAGACCCTCCGGGGATGCAATCTTCATCTCCTCGAAAATTCGCAGGGTCTCCTCGACGGTTCGCTCACGGCGCTTTGAAGGGATGCCATCCATTCGCTGAGCACGCATAGTCTCCTGGTCGGTATCATCGGCATAGGCTTGGCCCAGAGAGATCAGCTTCTTGCACATCTCATACAGGTAATCGAAGTAGTCAGAGGTGTAGGTCAAGCTGTCAGGCTTAATGCCCATAAGAGCGAGATCTTCCACGATTGCATCCTGGAACTCTTCCTTCTCCTTGGCAGGGTTGGTGTCGTCGAGTCGGAGGCGCATCTGGCCCTTGTAGGCAACATGACCGAAGTAGTCGCTGAGAAGAGCAGCCTTGGCGTGTCCAATGTGAAGGTAGCCTCTATAACGGGTCAGTTAGATATACCGTAAAGTATACAAGCATAGAATGAAAAGTATATCATACGAAGGCTCGGGCAGGAATCGAGTAACGACGCCCTTGTCGGTATCTTGGAGGGCAAGATTGTAGTTGGCACCGCCCTTGGTGGCCTTGACAGCGGCATCGGCCTTGGTAGCCTCCTGGATCTCAGGGTGAGACTGCTCAATGAAAGTGAACCATCGTGTCAGGTTAGGGAGGCCATTCTTGCGGATGAAGCCAATGGCGACCTTGTTGGCTCGGAGAGTCTGCCAGATCTTGGTCTCGAGGTCTCCAAGAGTGTAGCCCTCGAGGTAGGATCGCAGCGTCAGATGCTTGTCCAAGTCCCTCAGGAAAGGCTCAATGGTGCGAAAGTCACCAGCCAACTTGGCGGAGATGGCGTCAAGCTCCTCGTGCTTCATTTTCTCGGCTTATTTCGACACAGCAATGCGATGAAGGTAACAGAAGCAAGACAAGCTCCTCGTGACTCGAACAACGATTTTCGGCCTGGTGGGGGGAATGAAGGGGCTGAGCTTTAGCGGGACGAGGGGCCGGACAATCGTGCCACATATTATCTTATCGATAACCTGGCTGCCAAATTTTTAGCCTAATTTCCGAGGCACGACACAGCAGAATATGGCGAGGTTGAGAGTCTGGCGCAAGTCTGAAATCCCATCTTGAGCTGCGCTCCGATCACGAACCAACCGCAAAAATGGCACCAATTGACCGGTGTCTGGCCTCTGTGGCCAGGCTGACGCTCGCACATCCATCAATACGACCGGCCGTGCCTCTGATACCCCGGTTCCTCGCACCGGCGCTGGTTCAGTCCCGACAAGCTTCCGTGGTACGGACGAAGAAGACGACGAAGAAGAAGGCCGTTCCCAAGGACTTTAAGCGACACAACTTGGAGAAGAGAGAATTTCCCCAATACGCACTATGTGATGCTATGCGGTATTGCTCACCTGTCTGCGAGAAGGGAGTATTGTTCAAAGTTGCTGATTCGGTTACAGAGTTCTACGAGCTGTGGAAGTCGGCCAGCCTCCCGCTGCGATCAAGTACGAGATTCACATCAACCTAAAGACTGCCAGAAACGGCCCCGTCATAAAGAACAGCATCAGGCTGCCGCATCCGGTACAGAGCGACTGGCAAATCGCCGTTATTTGCCCCGAAGGAAGCGATATCGCGACTGCTGCCACCGCCGCCGGCGCTGTCGCTGTTGGAGAAGAGACTCTCTTTGAAGCTATCCGCCAGGAAAAGATTGATTTTGATCGTCTGATCTGCCACGAGAACAGCGAAAAGGCGCTAAACAAGGCTGGCCTGGGAAAGATCTTGGGTCCCAAGGGCCTCATGCCTAGCAAGAGGATGAAGACGATTGTAAACGACGTGGTAAAGTCCATTCGCGACTCGGCTGGTGCTGCGGATTATCGAGAGAGACAGGGCGTCATTCGAATGGCCATTGGACAACTTGGCCACACGCCTGACCAGCTCAAGTCCAACATCCAGGCGCTCCTGAAGAAGGTGAAATCGGAATGCGCCGAGATTTCTGAGGAGGTTTCGAAGGAAGTGCATGAGGTTATTTTGAGCACAACAAATGGCCCAGCGCTGAGCTTGAACGCCAAGCTGAATGATCCAGAGAGCGGAATCACTGTTGAGTCACTGTCAGGCGTCATGTAAATCAGTAACGACTTGTATAATGTACAATATCCAATTCAATGTATAAAATAGAACGCTTGAAGTCAAGGTTTTACCATGGGGTATCATATTTTTTTTTTCGTCTTATTTAAAAGGTGATATTGCAAATCATCTTCCGCGAAGAGTCTTGACCGCATCGCCCTGCGCATCAAGAACCCTGTACACACCAAGATAGCCCAAAACTCGGCCCTGACCTTTTATCCCAGCAGCTCGAGCTTCTTTGAGGGCATTATTCAAGTCCAGCAAAAGTGTGTTCCGGCACTTCATCAGTCGCGCTCTTAGCTTGGCGACAAACACATTCTTCTCATCCAGCTTTCCAATCAGGATCCCAACTTGGCTACACTCACGTGCCGACGCCAGCAGTTGTGAGGGAGGGCTTCCTATCAGGCCTTCTACAGCCTCTGCTTCAAGCTCTTCGTCATCTTCACTATCGTCGTCCCACTCTGCAGCTTCCTTCTTCGGTAGGCTGTCTAATGCTAATGTCTCCTCTAAAGAAGATAGTCGTTCAGATATCTCCAACATTGCCCGTGCTTGCTCGATATCTGATCGTACATCTCGCAATTCGTTGGTTAGCGACTCTGCGTCTCTTCTGCGCTCCGAAACCTTTTCCTTGACCTCTTCAACGGCCCTTCGAAAACCTAAAAGCGAAACTTTTACATCCTCTACTTTCTCGTCGCCTCCTCGCAATTCTGATCCCAGCGATAAAAATGCTGTGTAGTTCGAATTGACTAGCTCTAGGAGCTCGGTGCTAATTGTTGCCGTTCTCTCGCGCAGGTCTGAGCGCAGATCCTCTAGGGTCTGGTGGCGATGTGGAAGAGCTGATAGATATTCGGCAGGCTGAAACTCTGTTGCTAGGAAGTCGGTTCGTGGAAGGGCGGCAGGGAATGGCAAGGGAACATCATCTTCGGCATCTGAGGAGTCGGAAGAGGGGAGGTTGAAAGTTGATATAGCCGGTCGGCCAACTCGCTGTGGCAGAGACAGAGGAGGGGGGATGTTGGCCATGGGAGAGGAATATCGATGCAATTGGAAACTTGGTCGCCGTTTAATCAAGAAAAGGCGAGAATTACACAATACAGTTGTGACGACACTTGCGATACTGTCCTCAGCAATGAGGTGGACATCTTTAGATGGAGCTCGTTGGCGACACGGTCTTAGCATCCCGCATTAATGAATAGCCCCATTATAAGCATATACATCAGCTCAAAGGCCACACCACGACTCAAACTGATCGTCACGATGAGCCTTCGATGGAGAATATACCATCATGATCTTCACCTGATATGTTTCCATGTTATGCACCATTTGACAGTTAGCATGTTCATCCGGCAATTTCTAGCTAGCGATGTCGGTCAGGCCCAATATTGTATGATGATCCCGTGTACGGAGCTCGAGATGCTCCGCCAAAGTCTGGGCAGCAGACACTAGTCATTGATCCTCACCAATCGGGCTATCAAGGTGAGTAAGTGGATGCCGCCTCTTTGTTGAGTAAAGGGCGGAACAGTTATTGTTCGTACTGGGTATAACACGAATACGAAGATGGGTCGATTCGCACTCGAGACGGCCCGGAATATACTACAGGACGGTTGCCTCAGTAGCAGATGCAGGATACTGGGCTAGATTGATGCTGCAGTCTCTATCGATAAGATGATGCTAAATGGGTATCGATATCCAACCCGGATAGAAAAGGCGACAGAATTAACGCAGAAGTGCGCTGTCTTTGGTCAAACATGTGTCAATACTATGGAGCACGTAAAGACTCATTGCGGAGATCTGAGTAGCTGAAGAAAACTGATTGGCTGCCATCACTGGAGTGGAGCGGATGGCGCGTCAAATTTTTATCAATCAAATCTTATCAATCGATCAAGCCCACTCCCAGTCTCCTGGAATCGGACCAGTGAGACCGTTATAAGAACCAGCCGGGTACGCTCGGGTAAGGAAAATCTACAGCTCGCAAATCTTCTCGAGCCCCGCATCCATCTCTCTTTCTGCATCTCGCAATCTCTTCCATCTCGCATTGCCAACTTTATCGTGGACGCAAGACAATTCTTTGCACAAGAACTGAACTGAGTCGATTCCCGCAGTGATCGGGCAATTCTCGGTGTAAGACCACGTTCAGCTCACAAGAGTACATAACCACTTGCACGCCCTGCGCTGCTTCCCCGACTTCCGAGGCCTGACTTCGGATATTCCACATACACAACAACCTTCATATCGGGTATTCTTATTCCCAACACTCCATTTCTAGACAAAGCAGAGTCTAGAGAAGAGACAGAGAGAGAGACGAAGAACAGCCAACAAGCACAGCCAACTGCGTGCATAAACGGACCCAGTTTTCCCTTCTCGGGCTTCCGAGCTGCAGCCGACAGCGAATCACGCATCATCCTCGTCCGAACCCACTCGACTCGCACCACCATGGCGAGCATTTCACCAACGTCATCTCCTCATCTCCAATCCAGATCCCTAGAGGCTCAAACGGCCAACCAAGACTTGCATTCTATCAAAGTCGAACCTTCACCGCCTGAGGCATCGTCGGCTCCTCGCAAACGCGCGCCTCTGCCCTCTCAGCCAAAATCTGCCGCCCCGCCACAGGCTCCATTTGTGCGCATCTCACTTCCGCCAGTCAACAAAATGTCCATGACGGCGGTCATCAGCCCCAACCCGCCAATGGAACAGCCTCAGCCAAAGATGTCGATGACTTCCAAGGAATGGGTCATCCCGCCGCGGCCAAAGCCTGGGAGGAAGCCGGCCACTGACACTCCGCCCACCAAGCGCAAGGCGCAGAACCGAGCAGCCCAGAGGGCGTTCCGTGAGAGACGGGCTGCGCGGGTTGGCGAGCTCGAGGAGATGCTGGATGAGCACAAGAAAACTCAGGATAACCGAGAGAAGGAACTGACCGATAAGATTCACAGTCTGGAGCTGGATGTGCAGTCGTTTAGATCCAGATGCCTGCTGCTGGAGAGTATGCTAGAGCGAGAGCGACAGGAGCGCATGCGCGCCGAGATGCAGGCCGAGACGCTCAGTCGCAGATACGAACAGGCCACTTTCCGATCAGACAGCTTACCTTCCATGCCGCACCAGTCATATAATCGGCAGCAGCATCACCAGCCTCCCCAGCAAAGGCACAGTCTATCGGACAACCTGTCGGGCAGTCGATTGGCTCAGCAGCAATCAACGGCACGGCACTTTTCCATCTCTCAAATAGTTACACCGCCTGAAACGTTGGATGACCACTCTCCTCATGATCTATCTGAAACACATCTCACCTGTGGTAGCTGCTCACCAAATGGACACTGCGCCTGTGCTGAGGAAGTCCTCGCATCAGTGGTCAGTGGGTGCGGCAAGTGCGGCTTCGGAACAACCTGTCAGTGTCTAGACGACACTGCGAAGATTGCCAGCCACGTACCAGACTTGAAGCGGCCCATATCTCCCTCAGGAGGAGCATCGCAAGAGAAGCGCCAGCGGTCAATGGCGGCCGCCAGCAGAGAAACAGACTTTAGTTCTCTATTCCAGAGGACGACACAGCTGCCGCCACCTCAGCCCAGCTCCATCATACCACAGCTCCCTTCCACAGACTTTAGGGATAGTTGCGGATTCTGCAAAGATGGAACCTATTGCGTCTGTGCCGACACCGCCATGGCAACTCCCGCCATGACACCGGCAGACGCCTCACCTCCAGTGACAAGACAAACCAGGACACCACCTCCCATGGAGTCTGACGTTGTCACCCCGCTGCCACCCATGGCAATGGAAATGACAGCCGACGGAGCAGTCAAGCTACCGCGCCGCAAGCAAGCGCGCTCCCAACCGCAGACAGCCTCGGCCTCTCGCGGTAGCTGCGGCCCCAACGGCCCGGGCACATGCGCTCAGTGCCAGGCTGACCCGAAATCGGGCTTGTTCTGCAGACTGATGGCGGCCAGCTTCAACCGCGAGCAAGGTGCCAGCGCAGACGGCTGCTGCGGCGGGAAGAGAGCCGGCGGCGGCTGTTGCAAGTCCAAACCCAGCCAAGAGAAGATTACACTTCCCAGCCTGCCCAGTCTTGGGCTGAGCTGCGCGGAGGCCTACCAAACACTGTCCAGTCATCGCAACTTTGAGCAGGCGGCCGACGAGATTGGGTCTTGGCTGCCGAAGCTTAAGGCACATCCGGCGGGCGAGCCTAGGGTGACACAGACGGGCAGGATCCCAATCGAGGTCGAGGCGGCAAGCATCATGAGCGTGCTCAAGGAATTCGACATTCGATTTGGAAGGGACTGCTAGACGGTGAGCTGCAAGTTAGGCTCGGTGCAGTAGCGGCCATCGCTTGTTGCGATCTGAGTCGTTAGACGAGCTGCGCAGCTCTGTGTATTATATCACATATCCATTTTTTGAGCGAGATACAGCAACTCTGTTGGTTTGTTCGCTGTCGCATGCAGTGCTACGTTTATGGTAGGAGTTGCGTTTGAAACAGAAAAATCCGATTTCTCATCATATCAAATCAAAGCATATCAGATTCCATGGTTCCATACTTGCAGAGTGATTCGTACAATATCCAGGGTATTTCTCACAACATCGATACCTATACGGTCCAGCAAGCGCACCACATTACCGCGTCTTCACAACAACAATAAGAAAACAAACAAACAAATAAACAAAACTCGACTGCATGATTAAACGCACACAAAAAGATTCTTTCAACCCTCTCCCAACTCCTATCCCCACCCCTACCACAAAACAAAGCTCCATCGCCACCGTCGTCCCACCCCCATCTCCATATCTGCACTCGTACGTATTGGCTCTGAGTCTCTTCTCTCCTCCACCCTTTCACCGATTTCAACAAGGCGACCACACACATTCCACTTGCCTGCACACGCATCCTGATTAATTGACGCAACCTGCCCGTACGGGCGACGTGGAGTAAGATGCATGGCTGGCTTTATATGGGTCCTTGTTTTTTTTCTTTCTCAGTCTCTGTCGTTCTTCTTTTTCACAGCCCAGCCTTGTCTGACACGAGGGCCGTCGTGACGCAGCGGTTACACGGGAGGCCGTCGATATTGAAAATGAAGAGTGTCTGTCTTTCTGGAAGATGCATACAGACTACGGGTTATGACTGGTAGACGTCTTCATTCACCACCCAAGCAGTAAATGAAGATGGTCACACACCAAGTGATGAGGTGAAAAGACGTGCTGTTACTGGCACATGAATGCGTCTGCGTTCATTACTGCTGTGCGTTCGTTGCCTGGAAAAAGCCACAGCCGAGATCAACGACGGCCCCCCGGTTGGGCTGATTTTTGGATATTGGATCCAACAGTGAATAAGCCTATTGATACCCTTGGGGGTCGTAGGCCGCCCAATAACTTGTACGAGGATGAGGCAAGGTTTTTTTTCTTTTCCTGTTTTTAAAAAGCATACCCCGGCCCCCTTTGTTGTGGCCCAGCCATGCTCTGATGGATCTCACGTACTAGTATGGATACTGCCACATGTTGGATGAAGCTGACCCACGACGACGACATGTCATCACCACCCTCCACAAACTCACCGAGCGTGTCTAGCTCCACGGGGACGGACACGAGATTGAGCCCAGATGCGAACGAACGAGAGAGATCCATTTTGAAGACTTATTTGCTCCAGAATGCCCCAGAGTATCGGCACCTGGTTGCCCTGCGACAAAAGGTATGTTTGATGTTATGCCATGTACTTGCATTAGAGTGTTGTTCTCAAAAACAACCGACGTCTTGTTTTCTAGCCAAGATTTCATAGATAGTGTTGCTCATCAATATGCTAGGGATGGGAGAACAAAGCCGGGGATGTGTTCTTCCAAAAACAAAGACAGCAAGCAGACCACGCCGATGAAAAGACGATCAAGTTCTTCTATAAAATGATGAAGGGCATTGCCAGCGAGATGAACCAAGCCACCGGCGCACTCCGAGTCTACGCAAGGTGGCCCGGCAAACCCCGGATGCTCGACTTTTGCGCAGCTCCGGGTGGGTTCCTAGAATCAGCCCTCAAGACGAATGCCAGAGCCGAAGCCACGGGGTTCTCGCTGCCACCCACTCAGGGAGGACATGAGGTCATCATGCGGCTGGGCCCAAACGTAGCATTCAAATACGCGGACATTACCATGTTTGCTGGGGATATGGGTTACACGGACATTCCTCCCCAAGACCACCCAGACGCCGAGAGCTTCGTGCTGGAGCCAACCATTGAGCGTGAGCGGCGCTTCGATCTCATCTTCTGCGATGGGCAGGTTTTGAGAACCCATGCTCGGGCTGCCTATCGGGAGCCGTGGGAGTCGCGGCGTCTGACGGCTACGCAGCTCGCCATTGGGCTCGAACACGTCTCGCTAGGCGGCACCATGGTGGTCCTACTACACAAGCTAGAGGCCGTGGACACTGTGAACCTGCTCTACACGTTTAGCAGGTTCTCCTCCATCCAGCTGTTCAAGCCCAGGAGCGCCCACGCCAAGAGGTCCTCGTTTTACATGGTGGCGACGAACATCAAGAGCGATTCACCATACGTGATGGAAGCCATAGAATACTGGAAGACGCTGTGGAGGGTCTTGACGTTTGGCTCCGACGAAGAGCGAAGCAACAAGATATCGGAGGGTCACATGGATCAACAGGCGTTGGTGGAGCAGTTTGGGCCAGACCTTGTAAGGCTCGGGAAGAGAATATGGGAGATTCAGGCCAGAGCCCTCGAGAAGGCGCCGTTCATGCAGGCCGGGCAGAATGAGGATCCAAAGACCGGCTGAAGGGGGACCCTCTCATCTTTCTCATCTTGGCAATGGGCAGGGGAAAAAAAAGCTGTATAAGCAGAATATCCGCCTGTATGTACCGTATCGTATCGTTCTCCGTTTAGCACTAGCAGCAACTTCTTGTAGCGTTCCACAAGAGAGCAGAAAAGCTTCTTTTTCGCCGCCCCCTGTGCACTAGCAGACTTGATTTAGGCCAAGCCACGTCCCAATCCAGTGAGTCGAATATGTGAAGCTTCCTGGAACGGGGATGGCACTCGCCAAAGGCAGGCTAGGTTCGTTCTGCGGTGAGTTGTCAAAGAGGCTCTCCCACCCCCCAGTCACGACAATTGTCAGCGCACCGACCAGAGCCTCGGAAAGCCCTCAGCAGCCGCTAGTTACACCGCTTGGGCGGCTGGACAATCGAGCGATTGTTTGGCTGTAATTGGAGGATGCCAGGCCGAGAGGCCACGGAAAGGAGGTCAAGATGGTATGAGTAGGATGGGGGGGTACCTATCAAAGTGCGCATGCCGGCGGCGGTTGGCCAGGTACCTGCGAGGTTATTAGGTAGTCCGGGTCTGTTGCAAGTTGCAGGCACTAGAAGATGCTGCAGCCAAAGGATCCCGGGAAGATGCAGAGAGCTTCTGAGGTGCAGGTGATGAATCATGTGACGCGGCGGCAGCTCAACTTGGGGGGAGGTCTGGAATACGGGCGGCAGAAATTGGTGCAAGATTGAATGACATCCAATCCATTCGATTACGGTATTACACTGCAGCGAGCTTGAAGAAGGAAGCTGTGGAGATGTTGTCTGTACATGTAAGAGGGCACTACAGTAGGCGAGGCCCGCCGAGGGAGGAAGAGAGAGAAATACCCACCACTCAAAGCTCGAAATGGTATGGATGTTGATTTTGGTGCTTCGCCTTGCTGACTGGTACATGTTTGGATAGTCACGGCATACTGTAGCGTAATAGGGCAACGGCAAGGTTCTGGTATTGGGTATTATTCACGACACACTTGCTCGCGGTTGTTGCATGTCAGGCGACGCGGCGCATGACGGAAGACGAACGAACTGCCTGGGCCATTGGCCGAGAGGGCGGGTTTTGTCGTGATTGATCGGGGCGCTCGGGGGCCAAGGAAGAGAAGCAGAAACGGAGACGGAGAGAGCAAGACAAGGCAAGACAAGGGAGCGCGCGCGGATGGCGATGCGAGAGGCGGTTGGACGGACATGCCTTTTGGTGCTACTGCCGGTGCTTGCTGGGAGATGCTGGACGGGCTGGGAGGCAAAGGCAAAGGGGAGCCGTTGGGACGCATGGAGGTGTCGGGCGCGGCGCCTGATTGGGCCCTTGTGCGTGAGCTGGCATCCATCTCGTTGCTGCCGCATGGCGTGGACGACGCAGATTGGGCGAGGGCTGGGGCGGTTTCGTGGTGGACATGGATTGGCCGGTGGATGCGATTGCGTCCCGGATGGGGTTTGAGGCACGATGCCAATGCAATGCACTGCCAACTCATCCATCTGCTGCTCCCGACCACTTGCAACCAGACAACCGCGCGCACCCCTCGTCGCTTTTTTCGAGTCACTTGCGCGCACAGTCTGGCTCCCACGCTTCCCGTACGGCTGCATGCCATGTATCATGTATGTATGCGTGGTGTCTGTGCACCAAAAGCGGCGCGCGGGAAGCGTGAGGGCATGAGGAGCGTGAGAGCGTGTTGTGTGGCCCAGCCCAACGCCGCCAGTCGAGCTGTGTGCATGGATGGATGGATGGATGGATGCATTGCATCGCCCTCGTTCGTGCCCTTCCCTTCTCTCCATGTCGTTACCGCAAGGTAAGGTAAGGTAGCCATGGATCCAGGCCGTATTGATTGTCACTCGTCGTAACGATTGCATCAATGCTACTACTGTAAGGCAAGGCAAGGTGTTGACAGAGTGAGGCACATATGTACGAGCATGAGTACCTACCTGCTCAGGCTCAACTGGACTGGACCGGACTGGACCGGACTGTATGCAATGTGCCATGGATGGAACATGTAAGCCCGCGCTGCTGCGTGACGGACGGGTGCGGGTAGTATATCATGCCTCCACGCTGTTTTTGTTTGTGTAATTCGTATCTCGTCTCGTCTCGAAGCCACCGCCACTCTTCCCTTCCTCTGCCTGGAAAAAAAAAGTATCGATCGTATCCTACTTGTACACTGCCGTGTCTGTTGTGAAATTCCGCTGGCTGCTCGTGCCCTTGTGTAGCGCCGGCCGTTCGACTAAGAGCCATCGTATCATATCATCGCCACTAGGCCAACGAGAGTGCACCCTTCCATCCTCGCACCGAGATTTGCCGTCTTGATTCGAGACCTACATACCGATATTGCCCTGCCTCAAGGTGCCTGTGCCCGTGCCAGCAAACTTCGCCGTTGGCGACTCGTGCTCTCTCTCTCTCTCTGTCTCCCGTTGCGTCGTCTCTTCGTCAGCGCCCCCGATCCAGCTCACAACTCACGTCACTCCCGTCTTCTATTCGCTCTGCCTACACCGCACCTGCACAGAGACAAAAGATGGCCTGGTCCAGTCCGGCACAGCCCGACGTCTAAAATAGCTACCTTTGGATATACGAGTGCCAGCAAGCACTTGAAAGTACTGCCAGGGGCAGACAGCTGTCAAACACCAGCACAGCAAAGCAAAGCCAGCCGAAGGAACATACTACCTAAGAAGAAGAAAAAAAAAACACTCCACCTCCAGCCGCCGAACCCTCGCGATCCAGCGGCGACAGGCCCTATAAACTCGACCCTAGCAGCTCCATTGCCGTGCTATCGGTGGGGCCCAAGCCTGGGAGCAGCGCTAAGCACCAGGCCTGTTTTTGCTACCCCACGCCGGCTCCAGCGCATTGTGCCTTACAGCTTCAATCACTTCCAGTCCCTCGCCCTTGGCACTCGACCAGACCTTGTCCAGCCTTTTCTCTCGCATCCCATCTTAATAATAATAATAGCAGTATTATTATTAGCTCGTCAGCTGCTGCCTTTGGCCTTGGCCGCAGCCGTCTCTCCTATTCCTGCTGTTTTTTTTGTTTTTTTTGCATCGAATAGCAAAAGGAGCTGGCTCTTCGCCAGAGGCCTGTTTTGATACCTTCTACTTGGAATCCCTCCCATCCGTACTACTTTTTTGGCCTTTGCCTGCGAAACCTCCGCACCCGAGCCCCTCCAAAAAACTGCCGCCGAGCTCTTTTACCTATTAACCAGCCCACCACCCTCGACCTTCTTTTTTTCCTCCCAACCTCCTCCAACTCGCCGCCTCTGTCTCTCTCTCTCTCTCTCTCTCTCTCTCTCTCTCTCTCTCTCTCTCGCCAGCTCAGAGCCGATCTCTACATCTGTCTACACCTGTCTTGTACCCTCGGCTTCTTCTTCTTCTTCTTCATCGCCCTCGACCGCTGAAGCTGCAAGCCAAACCACTGCTATAGCCCGTCTCGGTAGTCGCCGGTCGAGCCATAGTTGCAACGGCCTTTGAGCCCTACTATACCCACTCACCTTGTCCAGGGAACAAGAATGATCCCCATGCAACGCTCTCTCTCATCGCCAGACTGCATTCAATCCTCCCCACGTACGTTGCCGCCGTCCTCTGGCCCAGCTTTCTCCCGGACATTTGACATTGCACTCGTGTACTGATGGTTCATGCCACTGGTTCAGCCGTGTCACCCACGGTTACGCACGAATCGAGATCTTCCACTCCGTCACCGGACAAGAACAACGGCGCCAATAACAGCACAAGTAACAATAACAACAACGGCGTGGATGCTCAGCGGCCAAAGCGGTACGAGTCGCGAAGTCCCAGCCCGACGCCCACTCGCTCCTCCGACATCCCCCAGACCTTGGCCTTGCGCCTGAGCGATGATGTCCCTCGCCGTGGACGTCACCCCCGCCATCAGTCTCCCATGGCCTCTCGAAAGGCCATTGTGGCACAGCCCAACCTGCCAAACTCGAGCAACGCAAGGCATGGCTCCAACTACCGCCCGCTGACTCCGACGAGCTCGTCAAACGAGACTCTGCCGGGGTCAAAGTTCACCAAGAAGCCCCTGCTGCACGATACGTCCATGTACACGAATACCCACCTGGTGCGGGACAGTGACAACACCACGCTTGAGGAGCTTGCCCACGTTGTGCGCCTCTCCAAATACCAGGAGCGCAAGCGCGCCAACACCCGAATCCGCCTGCAGAGGAGCCTCATCTCCACTGCATTGAGCGCCCGCCTGACGCGCTGCGGCGAGATGGCCCATCGCTACCTTGTTGAGAGCTTTCGGAAAGACGACAAGGACAACTTTGCGGCCCTGTACAATGCCATCCACGACGTCCGCAAGAGCTGCGATGAGCTCCGCCGATATGCTCTTCTGGAGCCGGAGCTGGAATCTCTGTCCTCCTCTGCCGCCCTGGGCTCGTCCGAGAGCCTGGACACACCCACCAACTCAACAATTGGCGTCGTCGATCCGCTCAAGTCCATCACCCCGTTTTTGCATGACATCTCTGCTTCCGCAAGAGAGACCTTTATCGAGTTTCTGACCCAGATCCGAACCAACCCAGACTACCTTGCCACTCGCATATGTGCCCTCTCGAGCTCGGAATTGAATGTCTTTTTGAATTTCCACAAAGGTTTGGAGCCGGTTGAGTCGGTTCTCCCGTTCCCCACGAGGAACCCCAACCGGCCTCATGCAAGTGCCTCGGGACGTAGCACCTCTAATACAGACATCGAGAGGCTCCTTTCTTTCCAGAGACATGACCCCCTCTCGATCCTGATCCATGCTTGTTTTGCCAATTCGGCCGGCCCGGATAGCTCCGAGGACCAGCGACGCACCGACATCTGGGCCACGGTCCTGGCCAGGCTGATTGCCGAACCCAAGTCCGCCGGTGAACACTTCCTGATTTGCGTGCTAAACATCTGGACAGCTATGCGCGATTGGTCTGGTAAATCCAACATGGAGTGGTACCTGATGAAGATCCTTGAAGATGGTGCTTTCCTGCTAGATCGCGCAGAGGATCAGCACGGCACTCGGTTCAACCTCTCGGACTGGAACCAGTCGGATGAACTCGCGGCCAAGGACTTTTACGACCGCGCCGTCAACGGCTTGTTTGAGCTGGTCGACGACGAGGATGCTACCGGTATCCCTGAGGGCCTCCTGGAACTTGGAAATGCCATCCTGAGCAAGCTCGAAAACAAATTCGTGGAGAACACCTCCAAGTGGCTCGTCTGGAGATGCCTCTTCTTTGTCTTCCTGCTCGGCGTCATCATCCACCCCGAATACTATGGCATGCTAGCTGAGTATCACATCACTCCCTATGCCAGGGAGAAGATCCTGAAAAAGGTTGCCATGAAAGCCCATGAATACGTTTCAAGCATGTGGAGTGGAAAGCCTTCGGCCACCTGCGTCCCCGTGAACATCCCGCCCAAGATCAAAGGCCACGTGGAGAACATCCTCGCCAGGTTCCAGGGGACCCGGTCCAAGGTTCCCGCCGCTAAGCTCCTGCCGGCCAGATCTATCACCTCCCTCAGGGAGACTGTTGAGGTCCGCCCCTACTTGGTCATCAGCCCTGCCGACCTGGCAACGCTGGTGAATGCTCTCTTCCCGGAGAAGCGACCCCATTCCGCACGTTCTGGCCCAGCCTCCATTTCCGGGCTGTCGGCCATCTCCCAGCCCATCTCCATGGCCAATCACCACAAGAACAGCTTTGATACGGCCTCGATTATCAGCACCAGTGCCTCATCCATCATGAGTGACGCTACCACGTCTCGCGACTTCATCTACGACCTCAACACTGCAACCCCGCGCTACTCTCCCCCTGCCGAGGACCCCGAGGAGCAAAGACGCCTGAGCAAGTATGAGGATGATGGCTATCGCCTCAGACTCGCCATCCATGAAATGCAACAAAACCTCGGTTCAGACGTTGTTCGCGGATCAAGCCACCCATGCGCCGAGAGGTGGGTAGTTCTCTTCATCTCCCCTGACGGAAAGAGCCTATCTACACAGATGACCTACGATCCGGATGACGAGCTCGAGGATGAAGAAAACTCATCCAGCACTGATACCGATGAGGATGAGACACCGCAGCGCCCCGAGCTGGACAAGGACTATCATCAGCTGCGCAACTCTGTTCTGAAGCTGGTGGAAGATTATGAGATTCCTCGCAGCCTGGAGCCTGAGCGTGGACGAGCGCAGCTCAGCAATCGGGCTTCGGGTCTCAGGAAATACACGTCACGGAACAGAATCATCCAGCCAGAGAAGACCGTTGCCAGCCGGAATCCTTACCGAAAGCAAATGGGTGTCGACGGCACAATTTCTACTACCGACTTGACGCCGAAGGAGCCCGAAGAGTCTGAGCCCGTCTTAATCACGATGCTAAAGGCGGCCTCGTCTCAGTCAAAGGCTCAAGCAGACTTTGTTTCGGCACACATGTACTGGAAGACGCTGAACCAGCTTACGGCGCTGGCATCGAGCTCACTCAGACAGGACGGATTCGCTGCTCTGATCAACATTCTAGCTAGGGGACCACGCGACGCCATTCGCCGCTCTGCATCTGCCATCGAAGAGTATGATGCTTGGCTCGTCTGGCTGAAGCAAAGCCAAGAACGCCACGAAGGCCTGATCGACACCATGATGAAGCGCGTCAATGCCATCCGCGACAAGATGTGGTACGTGACCGACGTTCGCAATTCCAAGGAATATGCGCACAGCCGTGACATTTGTCAGGCTCTCAAGACCATGGGTATGCCGCGTCGTTGGAGCTCGTTTCAGCGGTCAAGGGCTCACAACAACCGCGGTCCTAGTTCCTCCTACCTCTACCGCACCGAATCGCAGATTATGGACCTCCTGGCCGCTTCGGAGGAGCAAGGCGGGCCGAACAAGCTTAGCGATGATCAGGCAGAGATGACCTCCGCGTGGCTTCACCAGTACGGGATCGAGAACTTTTGCCAGGGAGAGGAAAGGATCCACCGGTTCTGTTGTGAGGTGGACCGATGCGTCAATAAGCTGGTTGGAGAAACTATCCGAGAGGCGCCAGTGCTCTGGTCGGGCGATCTGTACAAACGTGACAAGCTGGTATACGATCGCAGCAAAGCAAGAGACCGCGATCACTCGTGGGGTGGTGACGACTCCACGAGCATCATCAGCGAGCAAGATAGGCGCCATACGTCATCGTCATCTGGGCGTTCTAGTTCCTTTGCCCGCGATCTGAGATCCATGACAAACAACAACACCAGCCATCACTCTTTGGACTCGTCGAGGCATAGCCACTCGAGGACTGGCGGAATGCTCGCTGATATTCCCGATGGGCAAGAATACTTTGACAAGGCGTCCCCTGTCGATTCTTCGGGCACATTTTGGTCGCCGTTCCAACCGGCCATGTCTACCAGCTCGGCCCCATCGCGATACTCGCCCACCACCAGCCTGACCAACGTGTCGACAACTTTCTCGGCTCCTCACCACACGATTCCGTCAATCACAAGCGTGTCCACCGGCCGACCAAGCACAGCTGCTTCATCCAACGACACTATTCAGCAGTATCGCAATGATGATGAAAAGACGAGATTTTTGAACGAGCTCAAGCAAACTCTCACCAGCTTGTTGCTGTCTGATCTGGGCAACCAAGTTCTAGCACGGGGCTCGGAGACTGACGGCTGGTTCAACAAGCTTGGTCAGCAATGCATCGATAGGAAGGACGCCTTGGAGAGACGAGCTCGTCGCAAGTCTGACAAGAAGTCCATGTCGAAATCAGGAGTGGGTAGGCCGAGGGGTCTCGAAAAGAAGAGGAGCTTCGGAAACCTCAGGAATCCGACCGACAATTCTGACAGAGCGTCCGAGCCCGCCGACAACAGCCCCGTAGCTTCTCCAGAGTCTCCCATGGCTACGATTGATCCACCCCCCGTCCCCAAGGAAACCTCGAATGAATTTCCCTTTAAGAAGGCTTACCAGCGTCTTCTGAACATGTTCTGTGTCCATCCCAACCCTTACGCAAAGCTGAATGCCCTGAACGAGTTGGAACAGCTCATCATCGCTTCGATGCTGTCAAGTGGTCCGAAGAGGGCGCGATGGAACAGATCTGATGCAGGTTCCAGCATCGTGGAAGATCACGGTTCAACCTCTCGCCCCACTCCGTTGGAGGGCATGATTGACAATGTCAAGGAGCGCCGACTACAAGCTATCCAATCCGGCCTTCCGTCGACCGGATTTTCTTTCACATCTCGCGGATCCAACTCGGAGACGCGATCTATTGTGTCTGGTGGTGCATCCAACTCAGACCTCATCACCAAGGAGCTTTACACTCTCTTCCGAGACGCATCGATTCGACCAAAATCCCTTTTCCGTGACTTGCAGTTCATCGCTGCTTTTGTCCCTGCCTCGACCCTTGATAGGCCAGAGAAGGGCAAAGCCTTCTGGAATGCAGGACTCGCAGCGCTCAAGCTGAAATCGGAGGTGTGCCGAACCATGGTGGAGATGGCAGACGAGGTGGTTGCAGCCCATGCGCACGCTCGCCAGTCATCTACTGATAACGCTTCTCCCCTCGACACACCTCAGTCAACGACCGGTACTCCCCCACCCCCCTCCACCACGTATGGACTGAACGATGTTGGTAAAATGTGGACCATTACCGCTAAAGAAGGATACCCCACGGCGCAGCGTGAGCTGGCCTTGTTCTACTTATCTAACCCCGAATCTGTTGAAAGAACAACGCTTCCCTTGTCCAAGCCGAGGGAGGTGTTTAAGCAAACGGTCATGGAGAAGTATGGCCGCACCAGAGGCGGCCTCGGCGGCTCTGGTGCTGGCGGTCTTGGCAGTGTAGGTGTTTCCTCGAGAGGCCCGGGATCCGGAAATGGCGGCTCTGGCGATGGGCCGCTCTCCGGTGGCAACGAAGGTGATGTTAGAACTGATCCAGGTTTGATGTGCGTCGCTGTCCACTGGATGGAAGCGGCAGAGCAGGGTGGCGACGAGCTTGCCTCGAGCTTCCTGCGACAAAACGAGTTTATGGGACTCAGTTGATTGGCCTCTTTCCCCACAGTATTCGTATACGAGTACGGTAGCCAAGTTGGAACAACAAAGGACTCTCTACTTGGCTATTGCTCTCTCATGATGATTTATTCATTGTTTTTTTGATCCTTTTTCCCCCGGCGTTTGCGTCCATGCTAAGGCGACACAAATGCATCTTTGAACAGAGGGCATACTCTTACCATATTCCCTTTGTTCGTCTCTTACCAATCTGGCCTTTTTGCATCATGAAGCACGCAAACGCGGGTATGAATTCACGACATGGTATGATGGCATCTATAACGATCTCAAGCCTTGTTTTTCTTTGACGAGAGAAAGATGATGTTTTTTATTTGCATCTGAGTCATGAACCAACCAACACACTTACACACACAAAAACAAGATAAAGCTCTTTTTTTTTCTTCTTTCCTCGGCCGGTATAGAACATGAGGGAACAGCGGGCTAGCTGGCTGGCTCCTCTGATTTTATGATACCAATCAGTAACGGACGAAAAAAATGGTGTTGGGATCATTTTTTTTTTCAAATCATTCATCATTATTACCCTTTTTATTTTAAATTTCGTGCGAAGCCTGCCTTTTTAGCTCTTTAGATAGACGGACACCCACGTTCCTTTTTTTTTATGCTTCTTTTGCTTGATTGCTTTTGTTTTGGATTTTGTTTTTTTTTTGGTATAAGATTTTTTTTCTTTTTTATTTTTTCTTTTTTTGGAAAGATGAAGTTCATGAAGTTGAGGTGTGGCGGAGGGTATACCATGAGTTGAAAAAAAACTTGTTGGCTGGCATTTGTATAGCATGCGCGCTGAATTTTTTTTAGAAAAAGAAGAAGAGAGATCCAATACAATGAATGAAGAAAGAGTTGAAAACACGGTTGTGTGAAGAATGTCATGATTCTAGATGTTGAAAGCAGACACTGCAAAGTTTGTCGTCGTTATCTAGATATAAATTGATGCACTGGTTAGAAATCCCTTGGTGACCCTAGTCTATGTAATTACAAATCCACTAAGACTCCTCGTCCTGATCCATATTGTCATTGTCATTGTCGTCGTCGTCGTCATTTTCTTCATCCTCTTCATTTTCATTATCCTCGTCTTGAATTTCTTCTTCGTCTAATATGACTGGTCAGCAAAAGTAGCAACATGCCTGCCATCCAAGCGATATGCTTACCTTTAACCCTAGGTGTGTATAACCGAGGAATCATCTCGTGGGCCACAAAATGTCTCCAATCTGGGCCGGTATATTGCAACACCCCAGTCACGCGTTCGACTCCAGCATCGACGTCTTCATCCGTCGTTTTCGCAGTAGGCTTAAAGTCCACCTCCTCCAAGATGTACTGCCCGTCGGAGGGGTACCATATCTGCTCCATGCTGCCCAACTTGATGTGTCGAAGGTTGAGGTTGGGTACGTTTAGCAACTCCTTCAGCATCCGGGCGAAGAGAATCTGTCTGTTCTCCAGTATCTGGCTTTTGTTAAGGCTGCGGTCCTCAAACACCAGTTTGATTCTCCATATTTCGAGGTGCTGGAGTGTGTCGGCGAACCTGGCAATGAGGCCCACGAGATCCTTGACGGTAAAGGACGTCATGCCCAAGCTTATGTTTTGCAACCGAGGGAACTTTATCGGAGCATGCAATGAGAGATTGCTGTTTCGTCCATCGAGAGATAGCGACTTGGCCACTTCCCGGGCGTCCTTTGCCGATGCTTCCTCTGCGTCCGAGAACCAGTCATAGAGGTTTCTGAGGCTGTTGCGAATATCGTATGTGCTAGTGTTGTGCTTTCCGTTGATGCGGAGCTCCTCTAACCCATCGCAGTGTCGTAGGAACTTGGTCAGGCTAAGCCGTTGATACGGCCTATCGTCATAGCCGATGGCACTCGCGTTCGCTTCAAGGGTCAGGTGCAGTCTTGTAAGACCTCGGAGAACAGGGATAACGGCAGCTTCGAAATCTGGATGCACATAGAAAGCAGAGTCGAAAAGCGGGTGGCCCTGTCTCTCCATGACTTCAATGGCCGTCGGACGGGCATTCGCCATTCCTAGCGCATGGACGACGGCCTTGAACATTTGGTTGACGAAGCCATGCTGTACTGAGCCCTGGCCGAAGAACCCATAACTGGAGGGCCGAACGCTGGTTTCCCTCAGCATGGTTTGGGTGCCGTAGCTCAACCAGTGAGCGTGAGGGCCATCCCGAGATCTCCTGTTGGAGTTGAAGTCACGGACAACCACCGACTCTAGGTTTGGCAAGCGGCCGAAAGCCTCGGCCATGTACTTGGGAACCAGCCCGAGCGACCAGAGCGTCTCCTGCTCGAGCAAACGCTGTGCAAAAATGCGCGCTTGGTCCCCGTGCGCCGAGGGGGTGGTGTTCGTGCCGAGCTGGTCAAGGCCGAAATGGACGTGGCGCAAGTGTGCGGCCAGACGACTTTTGGAGATGTCCATGAGGGCCCTGAGGCTGAACTCGGAGACCATGAACTGCTTGCGGGTGAAGAACTCGGTGGTGAAGCTGTAGTAGAGGGCCTCTTGGACGGATTTGCAGGTGATGCGGAGGTTGCACAGCTCGGGGGTGGTGAGGTGCCATGTTATCCTGTCGAGGATCTCTGCCGGGACTTGGAGAAGACGGCAGGATTGGGCGTTTTGGCTGGTGGCCGTGTCTGCGGGTGGTTGAGACATGATGGCCAGTGCCAATTGGTATCGAGAGATGAAGGGGGATGAAGTTTGGGAAAGGGGGTGGCCAGAGTTGTAGATGTAAACAAACACTGCAACTATAAAAGCCGTGGACAGCCGCAGCTGAAGACGGGAGGGTAGCGTGTCTGGTGGTGCTAGAGCTAAGGATTGTTTATAGTGAGGTGGCTGATGCTGCTGGTGAGAGTGGTAGATGGGGGTATGTGAAGATGGATATTGATGCTCTTGGCTGAAATGAGAGGAAAGGAGATGATGGAAGGGAAAAGTTGGGAACAAAGAAGAGACGGGGGAGGTGATGATTGGTGTGTAGGTGGTCAATGTTTATATACAGGTACATGTGCCACTGAAGAGCTGCACGTCCATTGTTCACAGCGCTGAAATGATTTGATGCTGTTCAAAGTCAGACCAGCTGCTGCCTGCTGTTCAATTCCAGTCTCCACCGCCGTCTGTCACCCGATTGGTTGGATGCACCATTTCCCGACATTACAGCTGTACGACCAACAGATGCAAATCACAGCTACTTGCAGCGATAAAAGCAAATATTCGGGATGGATTACTGCAGTAGATGATGGAACAAAAGTAAAATATTCAGTGATAATCTGAGAGAATTTATTGGCGAAGGAAGATACTTGTGCAGACATTAAATTAGAGATGAATGAGCTCTACATGTATCTACTCGTTGTATGATGCTCATGAGGATATACCACCTACATGTAGTACAGCCAAGTTATCGCTGGGTTGTGACATGCAGTTTGCCAACTCGGAATGCTACCCGGTAGCTATAGTAGTACATACATGTACAAAACTTCCCATTTTCGTCATTGCCATCGTAAGCCAAGAAAGACAAACATACGCCGTGAGCCAGTGCCAAACTATCCCAGTGAATGGCGGATCCATATGACCAGTGCTTGGAAAGTAACTTTGGGCTGTGGGAAGCGTTCAAGACACTCGACCTACCATGTCCAATTCACCGATACAACAGGTACTTTTGCTATAATCCTTGATTCTCTTTATCAAAAGCATAAAAATGAAAGTGGGATAGGTGGAGAGAGGGTGAATGCGAGGGAAAAGCATGTGACTTTTGGAAATTTGCATTCAATCTCAATCTCCATCCTCAAGGCTGCTAGCCCTCGAGTTGCCTTGTCGAGCATTATTCATCGCATACTCGAGTATGATCCGTGTATTTTTTTTTTTCCTTAAACACTTCCCATTGAACAAGTAGTTGAAGCGTCGAACAGTGCCCCATGACCCGAATGTAGCATGCAAAAATGGTATGGTATCGGTACACTTATTAAAGTTGCACCGATGGAAATATGAGGCGACATCTAGCTTCGCCAAATGGAACATGAAAGTGTCGAATGTTACGACTACCTTAGTAGTACTTTTCATGGGCATAGTACATGTACAATAAATTTTCTTGACACCAAAAAAGCTTTTCCCAAGATTGGCGCTGTATCTCGGTGAATAACTCTCATACAGGTGGCTTACGATAGAATTTTTCCTCGAAGTATAACAAGGCCATGATCGGTCCTCTCCCACCACGATGAGCCCTGTACCATCTTTTTCTTTTCCTCCACACGACTCACGCTTGTCCATTACTCACCCTCAATTGTCGAAGCAAAACAATCATCATGAAGGTCTCTTTATTCCTGGTGTTTCTCGGTTTTGGGCTCCCTAGCCTAGCTCAGGGTATCCCCTTTCCGTCTCAAAACCCTCGAAACTTGCGAGTTGACCGCGTCGTTCAGAGGGGCTTCAAAGACGGCGAGTGGACGCCGACAGAACCCCCTGCGACCAACGACATCATCTTCAAGTGGTGCGGCGATTACAACATGACCATGACTTGCTCTCAGGAGAGGCTCAAGCACGGCTGGTGTTGTAAGTGCTCTTTGTCCCCTCTGCTAAAGCTCCCTAGCTTTGCTAACTGTGAGCTGGTAGACGAGCTCGGTGTTTTGGATCCCAACCTTAGATACCAGCTGGAGGATGTTGGCACATCTGCCGGTAAATGCATGCTATTTCGGTAGGTTCATGCTGAACTCCATCGTTGTCTCTGACCACCACTCATCACTCCCATCGACTTCTACCGTTCCCTATGATCACGCATTGTTACCATCAATCTGCCATTCTACCAAATGAAGGGCAACATCTAGGCTGGCCGTCTCATCTGACACACTCACAGGCATTCGAATTGCAGGGGCGAACACACGGCCATGTTTGTTGGCGAACATTTGTACACAAGGTTTCTGTGCCAAAAGACGAGGACGAAATGGCACCGCCATGCAACGTCAGTACGCTGCTGTGCTGGTTCGCCGGCGGCGCCGTGGTGCGATGGGAAGCTCAGGAGCCCGGACGGATGCGCCAACCAGCCCTAAGCGATGTATAAATGGTTGATACCGTTGGAAATCAAGCCCAGCTGCGATTAGGATACGGCTTCATGTTGGGTGGTTGGGTGGTGGTGATGCTCGTTGTTTGTTGAGGGACGTGTACTTGTCTGCAAGTGTCCGTATACATGTAATTAGTACTAGATCCTCCGTATCTAACATGGATCATCACCTTTGAGCAATGCTGATAAGTACTTTAACAAAGCTCAATTGGATAGGTAGTACCATCTCCATCTCAAGCAACCCTTTGGCCAATTGACTTCCCTTCCTCATCCCGGACTGAGCACATGCGTAACATCAATGAATCGACTGATGGTATCAAGAGATTGACCGCTGCAGCTGTTAGTCATCCCAGCACTGCTCCAGCTCGCTCATCCCCATAAATCCAGGCAGCAAGGCCACTGAGATCCCGGCTCTCGGCCAGCCACGTGATGCCGCGTTCTTCTCGCGCGCCCCTTCAGCGAGATCTGGGCGCGCTGGTGCCTGGAAAGCCCGCTGTAAAGCCTCCCCGGAGCCACAAAAGCTAGGGAGCTGCAGCGCTAATCAGCCCCGGCCGTAGTGGGACAGCTGCGCAGCTTCTGGCGGCTGGGCTCCACTAAAAGCTAGGCAGCTCCGGGCCATTTGCGCCTGTACCTGAGAAATCCGTCCCAACCCGAGCTAAGCTGCGGGCTATTAAAAAGGGCGTCGATTATCAGCTTCAGCCCCGAGCATCAAGCTGCTCAACTCCCATCTTTTCTTCTTCTTTTCTTGTCATTGAAAGCCCAATTGAATCCTGTTGACGCGTCTTTTGAATCCCTCTGCTTCGATGCATTGAACCAACTAGGCATTGCACAGAAGCGCAGCATTCACCACTTCACCACTTCTATTACAAAAGCCGGCCATTACTCGTAGTTGTTCCTCTACTTCCCAATTTCCATCCTCTCCTCAAATCCAACCTCATCACCAACCGTCATGCCTCGAAGAAAGGCTGCCCCTGCGGCTCCTGCGGCTCCTGCGGCTCCTGCAGTGCCGCCGCTGGACGGATGCGTCATTGCCATCAGCGGCAAGTTTGACACCTCCAAGCATACCCAAGCCTCTCTCGAGCAGCTCATCAAATCCCTGGGCGGAAGCGTCACCAAGACCGTCGCCAAAACCACAACCCACATTGTCTGCAGTGAAGATGATTACAACAACAACACGGCAAAGGTCGCCGCCGGCAAGGCCAAAGACTTGCCTTTGGTCAGCCCGGCCTGGATCTTCGAGGCCGAGAAGGAGAATAAGACAATCGACCCACAGACCCATGTCTGGGGCAGCGACAAGTCTGCCGGCCCGCAAACCAATGGCAGAAAGAGACCCATCATGGTGTCCAAGAGCGACGATGACGAAGAGCCCGAGACCAAAAAGGCCAAAACCACGGGCTCCAAGGCCGCGAAAGGAGCAAAGGGCAAGGCGAAAGCCGCCGACCCTGAGCCCGAGTCCGAGTCCGAGGTCAAAGAAGAGAGCCAGGTGGCAGAGGGCCAATTTATCAAAAAGAAGGACTTCACAATTCCGGTAGACGAGCATTGCCCGCTGGTCCACACCGTGGTATACATTGACCCCGATTCTGGCCTGATATACGATGCTTCCCTCAACCAGACGAATGCATCCAACAACAATAACAAGTTTTACCGCGTCCAGGTAAGTTTGAGTTCTGCTCATGTCTATAGACCACATACTAATCCGCGTCTGCCCAGGTTGTATTTGATGCCAAAGCAAACCAGTACAAGACATGGACTCGGTGGGGCCGTGTCGGAGAAACCGGCCAAAGTGCCATTCTCGGCAACGGCACGGCAGCAGATGCAATCAAGAACTTTGAAAAGAAATTCAAGGACAAGTCTGGCCTCGCTTGGGACAACAGGGGCGATAACCCAAAGCCAGGAAAGTATGCCTTTGTTGAGCGAAGCTACAATCCCGACTCGGAAGACGAGGACGATGCCGACAAGACCGACGACAAAGCCGCGGTGAAAAAAGAAGACGATGAAGAGGTCAAGGTTGCCGATTGCACTCTTGAGCCCCAGGTCAAGTCTCTTATGGAGCTCATCTTCAACCAGCAGTATTTCCAGGCCACTATGACTGCCCTGAATTACGACGCGAACAAGCTCCCTCTAGGAAAGCTGAGCAAAACGACCATCACTCGTGGTTTCCAACAGCTCAAAGATCTCGCGGCCTTGATGGACGACGCCTCTCTTGCGGCCAGCAAGTGGAACACTACCGTTGCTAATGCCACGGAAATGCTATCCAACATGTATTACTCCATCATTCCTCACGCATTTGGCCGCAACCGTCCTCCTATTATCCGAGACAATGCCCTGCTCAAGAAGGAGATTGAGCTGCTGGAAAGCTTGTCAGACATGAAGGATGCCGCAGACATTATGAAGATTGACCGCAAATCAACAGACAATGTCCATCCCCTCGATAAGCAATTCCAGAGCTTGGGTCTCAATGAAATGTCCGTACTAGACCCCGAGAGCACTGAATTCCAATATCTGTCAGACTACCTTCACGGCTCCAAGGGAGAGAGCCATGGCCACACCTACAAGGTCCAGGACATTTTCCGAATCGAAAGACAGGGAGAGAACATTCGCTTCGACGACTACGTCGAGAAGAGCAAGATTGGCGCCAACCGTCGTCTTCTCTGGCACGGCTCGCGCGCTACAAATTTCGGTGGTATCCTTAGTCAGGGTCTGCGAATCGCGCCGCCGGAAGCACCCGTCTCTGGTTACATGTTTGGCAAAGGTATCTACCTGGCCGATATGTCATCCAAGTCGGCCAACTACTGCTGCTCGTACATCTCCGGAGGCCAGGCGCTTCTGCTTCTCTGCGAAGCCAAGCTGGGTGACCCTATGCAGCAATTGACCAATGCGAGCTACAACGCCGACACTTCTGCAAAGTCGCAAGGCATGGAGAGTACCTGGGGCATGGGTTTGACTGCGCCGCCAAAGTGGAAGGACGCCGGGGAGGTGCACGAGAGCCTCAAGGGCATTCAGATTGTGAGTCGATTCTTCCTCAAGTTGCTCCATGCATACAAAGTATGAGTATCAGTTGCTAACACAGGTCATAGCCCGACGTTTCCGCCAAGCCATGTGCCACCAACGTAGACGGCGCATATCTCATGTACAACGAGTACATCTGCTACGATGTCTCTCAGGTAAAGCTGCGCTATCTCTTGCGTGTTCAGATGTAGACGAGGGCTCGAATTCCACGTAGCATTGTAATTTTTCTTCCATATCGTCTATGATGGGATGACTGGGTGTAATGATGGAAACACTTTTCGGTCCACAGGGGGCCATTGGAGTTCTGGGGTGCGGCTTCTGTGTAAAAATAGCTTGCAGATTTGTGTTTTAAGTATTACTGATGACAGCCTAGACGGATAAACTGACTATTTCATGATCTGCTGTTTCCCCAATCTCATACTGCGGCCTCCATGCTAATCTGTGAGATGCTTATACTTAATCACCGAGAGGATATGCGTGTAGAATCTGCCCGTAATACAACTCGGCATCCTTGGACGCGAGAAATATGAAGCTGGGAGCAATCTCGCTCGGCTGGCCAGGCCTTCCAATCCCAGATTTCTTCCCGAATCCCTCCATCTGTTCCGCAGGACGTGAGGCAGGCTGAAGAGGTGTGTGAACAGGGCCAGGAGCTACGGCATTGACTCGGATGCCCTTGGGCATGAGCTGTTTTGCCAGCGACTTTGTAAACGAAGTGATGGCGCCTTTTGTAGATGCATAGTCTACCATTGCAGCTGTGCCTCTGAATGCAACAGTCGAAGTTGTATTAATGATGCTACGAGTCACATTCAGTCAATGTCGATGAATATAAAAGGGCTAAGACTCACGAGCCACCCTTCTCCATATGCGGCACAGCATACTTTGTCACAGCAAACATCTGCAGGATATTGCTCCTAAACGTGCTCTCCACCACGTCAAGATCAATCTCGCTGATATCCTCACACATGACCTGCTTCGAGGCGTTGTTGACGAGGACGTGCAGCGCACCAAACTTTTGCATGTGCTGCTCGACGGCTTTGCGGCAGGTTTCGTTGTCCATGAGGTTTCCTGGGATGAGGAGGCATTGCTTGCCTTCGTTTTCGACCATTTTTTTGGTTTCTTGGGCGTCGGGTTCTTCGGAGGGGAGGTAGACGATTGTTATGTCTGAGCCTTCGCGGGCGAAGAGGACTGCAATGGAGCGGCCGATGCCGGAGCTGTGAAATGAAATTGGTTGGTGTTTTTTTTTCCTTTTATAGTTGGGTTTGAATGGTATTATTTGATACTTACTCTCCGCCGGTGATGAGGGCTTTGTTGCCTTTGAGTTTTCCGGCTGCTAGATATTCTTGATGTTCATGTTTTCCCTCTAGAGCGGTTGCTTCACTGGTTGGCTTCATGTCCTTCTCCAAGCTGGCGTACATGTTAGTGGGATTTTATATTTCGTGCAACTCGAGGACGACAGCTTACCCTGGGAGATCCTGTCTTTGAGCTTCCTCGACAGGCTTAAAACTTCCAGATTCCGTGCGAGACATTGTGTGAAATTTGCTTCTTGAAATTGCTGAGTTGGGGTTTGGTGTAGGGTATTTGCGAATAGCCGCGCTGTACTCGTAGAATTGGCGTTTGGGGATTAAGTGCCTGAGGGAGATGCGAGCAGTGGTACTGATCATGTTTTTAATGTTAAAAAAACTTGTATATAGTCCATTTATTAACAATTCTTTTTAATTCGACTCTATTTTATTCTAATTCCTCGCGTTGTTAATCTGACAGGGTTGCGTTTTCGTGATGTCACTTACTGTGGTATGGCATCATGATTTTGCATGACATCAATGTTGGCGAATCCGAGATGTCAATGATGCTTTCCATTGCGTTCGCCCCACAGACATAGAAGTATACAAATTTTACTGGGAAATAGAGTTCATCTTCTATAGCTACCAAATGTCAGCTCTGTTTCACCGGGACAATGGGCTCATTGTGGCTCTATTGATTGTCTGCGCAAACATGAAGTTAAATCCTCCTCTTACACATACAACTCTCTACTAGATAGCATACGCAGACAAGTATTTCCCCCGACTTCTAATTAGATACTGGATTAGAAACAAATACCGCAATTATTGCAGCGTAGGCGGCAGTAACAACCATCATCTCTAGGTTCGATGCCCTCAACAATACTGATACCAGACACGCAAACACCACGATACAAGTCGAAATAATGACAATTTGGATGCTCTTCCGTGATTCATACGACAGGGCAATAAGAGGAGCTATCAAAAAGATGGCTGTGACCACCCCTATAATGACTCGAGAAATTATCTCTGAAATAAGTGTGGCATTTTGGGAAGACGATGCCTGGTTCATTCCGATGGGACTGGTGCCCTCAACGTTATCTTGAGACGATTTAGATAACCGTAAGTAACGAAACCATCGTAGCAGTTGATGAATAGAGCGCTGTAAGGGGTCTTGTCGAGTACGAGGTGTCTGATCCACCCTAATAAGCCTTGTTTTATACATTTCGTATAAGCTGATGTCTGTTCTGAGGCTGCACTGCTTTTCGTCATCAAGGAGCGCAAATGTATCCATGGACATGATGGTGTTAAAAGCAATCACTGCCTCATCTAACTTAAAATTAGTAAATTACATAAGATTATGAGAATCTATACATACCATACTCCTTTAATGTTTGACGGAGTCTCTGTATAAGTTCTTTGGAGACTGTTTGGTCAGTGGAAGGGAGTATTTCGTCCCTTATACAATGTTTCAACCCCAGCCTATCCGTCGCGGATGGTTCCACATTTAAGCCGAGGCCAAGCTGATAGATGAGATGATCTATTTCAGCAACCTCAGCCTCAAGGTATCGCAGATTCAGTAAATGTGTAGTCTTGAAGCGACGGAAGCCATGTAGCGTAAGGTTGCTGTCGGCTGTGCTGGCCTGCCAGTGGTTGGGGAATTGTTCGCTCAAGCTTTGGCTGGATTGACTGGGCTCCATGGATCTACTCCTCTGTAAGTTAATAAGCCAATTAATAAGCTTGGATCAATCATATTAATGCACCTGAAAATGCTTTAATGGCCCTTAAGCTTCGGGTGTAATATCTCTGTCCTGGGAGCCTCTGTGGATGAAGCCTGGTTGTGATCTAGAAATTAAACTAGCTTAGAAATGGGGAAGAAATTGATATACGCAACGATGGATACTAATTGAGTGTCACGATATTGTACAGGAATTCGTCTCGAGTTTCGCCGTAGTGGAAGATCTCAGCTACCGAGTTGTTTGGTGCCCAAGCTGCCTTACCATATGGCATGATGCAAGGTAGAGACAAATAAGTGCTGATACACATTTTTATAAGCGAGACGCAAGTTCAGCTGCTGAATGATTTGGTGCCCAAGCCGCTTTATCATCTGACAAAGTACAAGGCTCACAGCCCCAGAGACAAATGGTATAAGCACACGTTTAATAAGCGATGCATCTTCAGCTCCCCTCTCTAACGCAACTGCATGTATGGAACTAACGCCCAACCTTGAAACCCGACGGAGTGGACGAGGTTGAGCCTCATCTTTCCAAAGGATACATATATATGACCCAACCAATCAATTAATATGATTGATTCACGCATCCTATAGTCAACTCTTTGTTTCTTTTTATCGCGACCGTCGTCCAATTACCTTGGGAAGATCATGTCGGATCCTGAGATGAACACCTTTCCCAATGTTAGGGTATGCCTGATGGTCGGTATTGCAGGCGGCGTACCTAGCAAAAGGCATGATAGACGTCTTGGAGATGTTGTCGTTAGTAGTCCCACCTATCACGAAAAGAGTGGCTGCCATAGTGGCGTGGTCCAATATGATTATGGGGAAACGATCCGGAGGAAGATATTCGAACCTGTAGGAAACATGAATCAACCGGACATAGCTTTGCTTAATACGGCGAACGGACTCAGCACAAAGTATAAAGAGCGAGGGGAATAATATCGACACAGTCATTAACGACATCCTCGGGAAAAATGAAAGGCTACGGGAAGAACACAGTCGGCCAGATCCAGATTCTGATAAACTTTATTCAAGCGGCTCTGAACCAGAACTAATAAAACGACCTAAAAGGTCTGAACGGAAAAATAATCCAACAATTCACCGAGGTCTGATTGCTTCGGCCGAGAGCTTCATGGAAGACGCTCAGATTCGAGATATGCTTGGCGAGAAACTTGACGTCTTGTGCTTTGAGATGGAAGCTGCGGGGTTTATGAACAGCTTCCCGAGCATAGTAATTCGCGGTATTTGTGATTATTCGGATGGGCAGTGGGAGGGGTTAAAGGAGTGGCGAGGGTATGCAGCCATGACGGCAGCAGCATATGCAAAGGCACTCCTCGGGATGGTGCCAGTACGCAGGATTGATACAAAGACGACGATCAAAGGTAAGTGTTCTCCTGATATGTGAAGAGAGGAGATGCTAATAGAAACAGATGTCGTCCCACCTGAACTTCCGGAGAGAGCAAGAAGCTTCATCGCGCCGCTTCGGGGTGACAAGAAGGAGGAAGCCGTTTCTGTGTCTGGTATGCCTTTGTTACTACATGTACATACAGCAACATCTTTATATAAACGCTAACATCTGGACATAAGTAATAGCCGGCCCTGAAGAGACTCAGCCAAAGAATGGAAGCAAAGATCGGCCCTACCAGGTGCCTCCAGGCCAAGTAACGAAAACGCCGCCGGCTAAGAATGGCTTCACTAATAGCAAGACTGAGATCAAGCATTTGTACATTGCAGTGATGGGTGTCACTGGCTCTGGGAAGAGCTCTCTCATCTCTCTATGTACTGGCAAAAATGTCAAGATCGGCCATAGCTTGGAGTCATGTGGGTATACAGCGATCATTCTAGTCTTTGAACGGGCTAACTAACAACATTGGCTGCTAGGCACTGCAGATGTCGAGGACGTCGAGTTTATGTTTAACAACCACGTCTGCGTCCACCTCATCGACACACCAGGCTTCGACGACACAAGCCGCTCTGATGTGGAGGTGCTGCAAAACATTGCCGTCTGGCTTACCGACTCCCTCAAGCAAGACATAAAGCTCAGCGGCATCATCTATCTGCACCGCATCATTGATGTCCGCATGGCCGGCTCCACGCTCCGCAACCTATCCATGTTTAAGAAGCTATGCGGTGAAGAAGCATATTCGTCAGTCGTCCTTGCCACCAGTATGTGGAGCCAGGTCGATGAGGCTACTGGCACGCAGCGCGAGCGGGAACTCATTGAGACGAAGAAGTTCTGGGGCTACATGCATGAGAAAGGTAGCCGCATCTTCCGGCTTGACCAGACGCGCGAGAGCTACCTCGAAATCATCAAGTATATCCTCTCTCTGGGCTCGACCACCCTACTTGAGCTGCAAGATGAGATCGTCAACCAGGGTCTCCCAATCGAGAATACCGAGGCGGGTGTGCAACTTAACCAAGATATTATCCGCGAGCGCGAGAAGCACCAAGCTGAGCTGCTAGCCTTGAAGACACAGATGCAGGAGGAGATGGCGAAGCACGATGCTGAGCTGCAACGCGCTTTGAAGGAGGAGTACGATGAACTCAAGGACAACATTCGCCGCAGCGATGAGGAGCAGGCTAAGCTTAAGCAGGACCTCAAGGATGTTCACGAGCGCAAAGAGCGCGAGTTGCTCGAGCTCAAGAAGCAGGTGGAGGCTGAGCGCAAGAGGTACGATGATAACCAAGACCGGCAGGCCCTTGAGAATGACAAGCGCGCGGAGTCCTGGGCCAAGCATCGCGATACGCCACTTCACATTGCAGCTCGCGAGGGAAAAGCAGATGTGGTTCAAAAGCTTCTTATGCAAGGAGCCGACGTTGACGCGAAAGATAAATATGGCGGCACAGCACTTTTCGATGCGGCTCACGGTGGAAAGGCAGATGTGGCCAAATTGCTACTGAACGAAGGAGCTGATATTGAAGCTAAGAAGAATGATGGTGATACAGTTCTCCATGAAATGAGTTTTCATGGAAGAGTCGATATGGTTAATCTCCTTCTCAAGCATGGAGCTGACATTGAGGCCAAGACGAAAGGCGGCAGAACTCCACTTGGTGTTGCAATTGATAATGAAAAACCAGATACGGCCAAGATTCTGCTTACTCGGGGAGCTGATGTTGAAGCGCCAGGTGTTCATGGTTGGACAGAGCTTCATAAAGCAGCTTCTAGGGGGGACACAAATATGGTCGAGCTCCTTCTTAGCCATAGAGCTGCCATTGAAGCCAAGACGAATATAGGCGATACTCCGCTTGGTCTTGCGATTAATGAGAAGGATACAGATATGGCAAAGTTGCTGCTTGACTGGAACGCTGATATTGACACGCAAGATGAAGATGGGGATACCATACTTCATAACGTGGCTTCTCGTGGAGAAAAGGACATGGTCAAATTTCTTCTTGACCATGGAGCCGATATTGAAGCCAAGGGGAATGACGGCAACACGCCATTTTGTTCTGCAGTTTGGAACAAAAAATACAAGGTGGCTAACTTGCTGCTTCGTCGAGGAGCTGATATTGATGCTAAGCAGAACAAGGGCGGGTGTACGGTGCTTCATATTGCGGCTTCTCACGGAGAGGCAGATGTGGTCAATTATCTTCTTGATAATGGAGCTGATATTAACGCCAAGTCATATAATGGTCGTACAGCAAGGGGCTGGGCAATTTCGAAAGGAACATCAGACGTGGTCAAACTGCTGAAAAGTCGAGCAGCGGGGCGTTAAATATAAGGCAACAGCTGTGGTTCGATGGTAAATTTGAAATATATATACACATACGCGGAGACTTGATTAGAATTGCGCGGTGAGGATGGAAACCATTTGCGAGTTATATGATTGCTTCTTAAGTTTTGTCTTTTTCTCACTGCTGCCCTTCTAATATTGCGTCTACCTGATGCACTTCGTCACATGCTGCCTTTACTCTGAAATTGCTATAACAAGGGCCATGTGGCTGACTTGTAAGGACTCGTGAAGAGAACTCTCTTCTTCCGTCTATGGTAATTTCCATCCCAATTCCAACTCTCTGTGGTTGATACATAACAATTAGAAGATTCTATCAACCTTAAAATGAGCATTCTTGACACACAGAAATCAAGCAAATGTCTAGTTCTGAGCAGGTTTTGTCTATGAAACCGATTAGCAATGCTTGGTTCCATCATTAACAGATGTGATGTCAATCGCAAATACCTCCCAAATATCAGCAACAAGATATGTATCTTGGCCATCAGCAGGCAGCTCGTAAATGCCCGTAGCAGCGACAAAGTTCAGCCACGTGTAGTTGGCATGCCCCGTTTCATACTTGACTCTCACGATGCCCCGGTGGCCATCCGCTTGGCCCTCGGCATTCTCCAGCTGTGTCCCAAAAAGCTGCAAGTAAATCAATGCGCCGTCGTCGGTTTGTACATTTAAGCGTGCGTCAGGATGGTAGAACCCCTGGGCATCATATGACCCCCAGTCGGCGCCAAACGATAGGACTTTCCCGTAACGCTTGGTCCGCTGACGGTGCCCCCATTTATCGGGATTGTTACTTGCTGGCCGAGCCCAACATCTCCTGCGTCCACGGCTGATCCGAGTGTCACGTTCACAAAGCCAAGGTAGTTCAGAGTTGGCTTGCTAAGTGCTTGACCTGCGACTGTTCTGGCACAGGCTAGGAAGTAGGTGATATAGTCGGCGGTTCTCATCTTGGATTGATATGGGCGATACTGTTCGTGAGCCAAATTGCGAGTCTGTGATAAGTTGTCAAGTTTGGTATGTTCCAACTTTGTGAACATATTGTGGACTAGCTTGACATTATATAGCTGGAGAATGGTATTCCGCATCTCTTTGTTTCTTCTCCTTTTCCCCATTTTCTTCTCGGAGTCGGAGTTGGAATTTATAATGAATTAGCAATCAAAGATGAATAGCCTGACTGTTGTTAACCAATCTTGCGGTATGGTATGAAATCATGGCGCGACAGCGGATTTCGCTACTTCCGAGGATCTGACAGTTTTTCTCTTTGAAACCAATATTGCGTATAATAGAGTGAGCACTTACTAAGCGGGAGTTGGAAAGCACGGAGTTGAGCAGGTGAGAATTCAGGAACCCTGCAGACGGCCGGGGGAACGAGGGCGGAGTCCGACAGCTGGATAAAGAAGCGGGGAGTGCTGAACAATATTATTTGATATACGAAACTTGCTCTGGTGGATTTGTAGCCGACTGCTTTAACCCTCCTCTTAGCGGGCTCATCTCGTGTTCTGTGGCTTCATGGATCGCACTCATACGGAGTGGACGGAACTGGACCAATTATACGTCTCACAATCTGTCCCAAAACTTTGCTTTATTTTGACCAATATTAACAAGGTTGACTTGATACTACAGCTTTGGTTACAACCCGGCAGCGAGCGTGTGTCCACCATCAACGACGACCCTCTGGCCATTGACAAACTGGTTCCCAGCAAGGAAAAGCACCGCCTGCGCCATATCCTCGTCCTTACCCGGGCGATTAGCAGGAATCTTACCCTCATACTTGCTCTTGTCTAGTTGGCTCTTCTGGCCTTCGTCGCTCCCGTCCGTAGTCATCTCGCTAGGGAAAACCCCCGGTGCAATGCTGTTGACGCGGATCTTGAGTCCGGCAGCGGCGAAATCTGCCGCCATCATGCGAGTGAGGTGCTCTGCCGCTCCCTTGGAGACGTTGTAGCTGAAATGGTGCTGGCTCGTCTTGACCAGGCCGGAGATGGAGCTGATGTTGATGACGGTGGACGACCATCCGGGATGAGTCTCGGTCGAGGTTTGGAGCAGCGGCAGCAACGCGGTGGTGGTAAAGTAGACGGCCGCGACGTTGGTTCGGTACACGTCGAGCCAGTCATCAAAAGTCGCCTTCTCGCTGTCAAAGAGCGACTTCTTGAGATCCTCGGCCGAGTCCGCCTCGGCGGTGGTGAACGTCTTGCCGCTGATGCCGGCGTTGTTGACCAGGATGCAGATGCACTTTTCGCGCGACTTGATCTCGTCGACGAGCGACTTGACGCCCTCCTTGGAATTGATATCTGCCTGGATGGGGATGATTTCTCCAGGCGCGTTCTCGCCATGGGTCGACGCGGCGGTATCGAGCTTCTCCTTGGTGCGGCCGCAGATGTAGACTTTGGCGCCGTTGGCAGCGAGGGCTTGCGCGGCCATGAGCCCAATGCCGGAGCCTCCTCCTGCAGAACAGGTCAGATTACTTGATTCATCCTGCGGTATGGTGATGGATGCGACGTAGGAGAGACAAACCGGTGACAAGAGCTACCTTGCCGGTGAGGTCAAAAAGGGTCTGTCCCTTGAGAGATTGGGTGCTCGCCATGGTGAATTTGGGAATTTATTTCCTGTTTTAATTCTAGACTGCTCAATACTTCAATGTCTGTCTCTCCAAGGTTTCATCAAAGCTCGTTTCAACAGACAAAATCACAGTTTCAGCGCTTGGATATGAAGCCCATTTCTCACAGCCTACTTATACCTTCACATATGTATGTTTGTCGCCAGAGAGACGTCATCGATTTAAGGACATGGGTAAAGGTGGGCACCAGGCACTTCAGTGGCGACGCGAGCTGCAGCAATTACATCTCGGAGATATCATGACTGCTTGGTTCATTACGTTGGAATGGTGCAATTGCTCCGGCTTGCATCTGACAAGTCGTCACGTTTGCGCGCGCTAGTGCAGCCTTTGAGAGCATCATACGGTCACTCATATTCCTATGACTTCAAGTTTTCGTTGCTGTCTCAAACAATCACATCTCGTCAATTCAGATCGGTCATTTTAAAGAAAAAAAAATAGATGACGGCTCTGCCGTGAATTTTAACCCATGCTGACTGGCCAATGCATCATGACGGCGAAAATCTTGTGGTTGGTGCTGCAAGGCGCAGCTCCGGTACAGGTATTCTACTTCACATGTGAATAAGGCATATGCACTCAATGCATCCAACCTTAGGAATAAACATACAAGTAAACAATTGAAGGGCGGTAGTCGTAACTGAGATAAGAAATTGCTCATACAACTGCGAACATGCAGCAGATCGTTCATCATTTTATGTACATCCGCTTGTCGAGAGATTCCAAACGTTCTGGTTTCTCGTGTCAATCCATGATTAAGGTGAATAACTTTCTTTTTGCTATCTAATCCTATACAGGTAGGTAGTTCATTTAAATCATTGCGACGTATATACATCCTATGTACAACCGTAGTCCATCTACAGCCCATAAGAGGATCGATCCAATCATTTTTTTTTTTCCTATTTGAAAGGGCTCAAACTTCAAATGAGCTTTGCTCCATTCACATCATACCCCTTATGATGAAACAAAGCGGAAACCAGCGGCAGCTGCCTCCGTGGCCGCGTTGTTAACGAGCGATCCATCAGCAGCCAGGCCAACCCACAGCTTGTTGCTACCAGCCTTGATGGTGTACACGCCAGAGGCAGCACCAATCTTCTGGCGGATGGTGAAGACCTCCCAGGAAGAAGCAGTAGCACGGGCAGCCTGCAGGGCAAAGTTGCCGGACTGGTCGGCCGTGACGTACTGGTTGTTGCTGGTGAGCTTGAGGGTGCCGGCGTTGGGAGTGTATGCGCTGACGAAGACGCCGGCGTTGGCCTGGCTGCCGGAGGCAACGAGGTTGGAGGAGGCGCTGTTGGGAACAACCCACTGGCCGGTCGTGGCGGACTGGATCTTGAAGTTGCCGTAGGGGTTCTGGGGGAAGTTGGAGCCGCAGATGGGCTTGCCGCTGGGGTTGGGACGAGTGCCGATGAAGAAGAGCTCGTTGGTGAAGGTGTTTCCAGATCCTGTTTAGGTGGTTAGTATTGTCGTCCCCAACTTCATCCGTTATAACACGTCATGGAAACTTACCCCAGGTGGTGAGGTTGGCACTCCAAGCGGCAGCGGTCTGGGGGTTGGCGTTGGAGTAAGCAGCAATCAAAACACAACGCCTAAGAAGGTTGGAATGTCAGTAAGATGAACAAGGTATACACGTAGTTGCGTCAACGTACCAGTCATCGGCAATGGCTGGGTCGAGAATCTCGTTCTGGGCGTAGTTCCAGACGTTGTTAACCCACTGGGTGTCGTACAAGACCTCATTGATAGGGGTAACGGGAAGCATCTGGATGGCGGCAATCTCGCTCTTCTGGTCGCCCCAAAACAGCCAGGCACCGGACTGCCAGTCCTCGACATTGCCAATGGTGATCAGGTTTCGGAGCGCAGGCTCGGGGTAGGGGTTGTTGGGGTCGGTCTGGCTCTGCTGGGGGTACAAGTGCCAGTAGACCTGGGCACCCTGCTGCTCGGTGGCGACGAGGAGCTTGGCGTAGTTGACGTAGTCCTGAGACAGAGCGACGGTGGCCCAAAGGAGAGCACCGTAGTAGCCGTTGACAGCCTCACCGGTGGACTCCTGGTCACGGCTTCCGGCTCCGTTGGCGATTCCAGAGGCCCAAGAGTGGCCGGCGAACCAGTCACGGCATCGGGTGACGGGGAAGTAGGGGTCCTGGGGAGATGGGTTGATGATGTCTCTGTTTGTTTGTTTGTTAGGATAATGGCATCACATACTCGTCAATTGAACAAGACGTACCGTGCGAACCAGTTGATAAAGTCCTTGTGCTGGGCCAACCAGGTAGCATCGTACTTGGCAATGACGGCAGCAACAGTGAGGAAGTATCCGTAGTGGAAGTGGTGGTCGTTGTAGTATCCGTTGCCAAAGTCGATACCCGAGTTGGTAGCACCGGCCTTGTCAATAACACCGCCCCAAGAGGTCTCGTAAGCGGGAGAAGCTCCGCTGGTGGGCTGGAACCAGTTGTTGAAAGAAGCCTTGAGGTAGTTGGTGACTTGAGGGATCAGGTCAGTACGGCCAACAGACTCACTGTGAGCATAAGAGTTAGTAAATTTGTATCACAAGCAGAGAGGTGAGTGATCTTACGCAATGAGGGCAAGACGGGCAGTGGCGGCAAGGCTGCCACCCCAGTAGTAGAACTCGTTGGGAACGGGAGCGTTGGCGACGTTGAGCTGGCCAATCTCGTACTGAAGACCCTGGATAACAGAAGCGCTGCAAGAGGAGTCAAGGGCACGAGGAGGGTTCCAGGTAATGCTGCTGAGCTGGTACAGGAGCTTCCACTGGTTGCCGAGGGTAGGGTACATCCATCCCTTGGTGGTGAGGTAGCCCAGAGACGAGGTCGGGGGCGAGTTGGGGTTCTGCAGAGACAGACGGTGGTGAGGCCAGGTCAGCATCAGCAGCTGGCTGCCATCGCCAACAGTGTTGTAGTTGAAGATGAGGGTGCCAGTGGTGGTGGTGAAGGTGTAGTCCAAGCCGACCGCGGTCGGGTAGACGGTGTAGTGCTGATCTAGGAGAGTCTTGTGGCTGGCCTGGATGAGTCTGACCAGACGAAGGACGCCGTTGTAAGTGCCGCTGGCCTTGATAGTACCCTGGGCGCCGTTGGTGGCGGTGGCAGTCAGGGTGATGGAAGACAGAGCGTAGATCACGTAGGTGGTACCGGTAGAGTCGACAACGGTGAACGAAGTGCCGGTAGCAGTGACTGTGCGCCCTCTTGTTAGTCTCACACAATTATTCATTCTCGCCCGGCACGTTTCTCAACTCACCACTCTGGCCGTTGGCAAGGTTCTGGCCGTTGAAGGAAGTGATGCCGCCGTTTCGCGACGTCAGCAGAGGCGTGGCAGCCTGGTACTGGAGCGTGATGTAAGGAGATCCAGGGATCAGGGGAGAGGTCAAGGACGCGCCGCCCTGGAAGTACTGCACCGTCACCGAGTGCGTGTCAAAGGCCGTGGCCTTGTGGTTGGCAAAGTTGCCCGAGTGCTCGACGAAGCCGGCGCGCCAGTCGTTCTGCGTGGGCTGCTTGATGGATGTGCCGTCCCATTGGCGGTTGTTGCTGAAGCCAAAGTTGATGCCGAAGCCGTCGAGCTGCGACTCATACGGGAAAGGACCCGAGGCGGTGCCGTTGCCGGGAGTGGCGGCATAGGAAGCCCACCAGGAGTTGGTCGGGAACTACATCAAAGCCAGAGTAAGTTTCTAGAGCTATACACGCCTGTTTGACAATGGTGCTTTAACATACCGGAGGCTTCAGTCCAGCGAAGAAGGAGGACACGGGAGCTCCATCAGCGGCAGTAGCAGTGGTTCCGCCAGAGATGCCGGCTGGGTTGCTGGTCGCAATAGGGGCGAAGAGACCGCGTCCAGCAATGTTGCTGAGCTTTTCGCCGTTTGGCAGAGCCGCAACGCCAATCGCCGAGGCGATGACGAGGTTCACAAGAGAGGCCAGCATCCTTGAAGCTCGAGCGATGAGATGCTAAGAAGAAGACCGCTGTGCTTGACCACACCTGGAGGGATATCGCCAAGAGAGGCGGAGGGCGAGCAGCCTCCTTATACTTGTTCTGTCAACGACGAAGATGATAATGCCATTGCGTCACCCGATGATGTCCATTCTCTTGCCCAATGGCCCCTCCCCAGCGGAATCTCGCTCCGATCTAGGTCCAACCCCGGCGGTAATTGAAGCTGCGTTGCTGCCCTCTCTCGGCGGTATTTGGCATCGAGGAATGGGACCGGGGCCCGGCCACTTTGGGGCCGGAGGGTTGCTTATACCACTCTAGCAGAGGCAAAAGCTTCCGGGGTTATATTTGGCGCACAACAGGTTTAAACCTGCTCACGGCAGAGCACGACTCTTGTTTACGAACACGTCGGATGCGGTATGGCCTTTGATAATATCCACTCCGCCGATGATTCCGATCAATCTGATGTTTGCTTGCTTGCCAAGACCGGGGGGGCGTGGCATGGTCCAAGGCACTCAGCATCGGACCGAACTGTGCAAGACGTCAAAACTGTAGATTAATTCGCAAGACTCTGCATGATGAGATACTATCAGGGCGGCGAGATGCATTTCCATCAATGACATTGAGCGAAGGGTGGTGTTGATCTTTGATGAGAGGCAACGAAGCCATTGTATCTAGTATTTCGCTTTCCGCTCTGTTTGATCCTTTGCAAGGAGCTTCTGTTTTCTTCATGCGAACATGTCCATGTTCCTTGAAGCTACCGCAAGGGGCTTTTCTAATCCTAGCCAAGCTCATCTAACTCCCGAGGTCACGCGTCGCAGTAACGAGAGGCGTGGGGTTTAGCTCTCACATGCTGGTTCTACAGTACAGGCCGGCCTTGTCAACACCTGCGAGGATTATGGAGACGCCCCCTCAAGCTTGAATTAGAGAAAAGGTAAGCTTGCAGCTAGTAATTCCCTAGAACCTCCATCTCGCTCGTTTTCCCCCCTTTGGCCCTCCTCTGCCTTGTGAATCGAACAGAAAGAAAAACTTGAGCGACTCGCGCGCCAACAAGCCACGAAGTTATCCAATTGCCTAATCGGGAAACCCCCCGGCTCGGGACGGCGGGCCTGGCATTTCTGGAAGACAAGGTTGGTGGCTCGATCTACCTGGCCTAGGGCTCAAATGTGCTGTAACCATATGGCAGAGAGTCATCATTTTAAATTGCTGGGGATGTTTCACGTCCATGGTGAGACGTTGTGCAGCGTACATGTAATCTCAGCGCACGTGTGTATATATGAGAAGCCTCCTCCTCCCTAGGTATTCACCGACAGCTTCAAAGGAAGAAGCGGGTTAACACTACTAGTGCAAGAATAATTAAGAAAACGGATAGGGTTCGGCGTCCATGGTCAAAGACGGACAAGTCGTCGTGATTAGGTGAAGCGGGCGAAAGCATGGCTCGGCTCTTTTACCCTCCTCCCCCACAATCCATTGACCTTGTCAGTGCGGAGAGAATAGGCCGCACAGCACCGCGCATTTCGGCTCCGCATCTCCCCGCATTCAGTCATACCCGAGTAGTCGGGACTTGGACATGACGGGTTTGGCCTGGAGATGCGGGAGAGCACGCGTGAGCTTGTGGCTTTTGATGGTCTCGAGACTTGTGTATACACGAAACACCTCGAAGCTCGAAGTACTTCGATTGAAAGCACTGGGCCTGAGTGTATTCATCAAGCAAGAAACACGCGATAGTCTTACAAAGTCACCTCATCCCTGAGCTCTCCCTATCCTCAAGCTCCCTTGAAGCTCAATGGTAACGTGCTTTGTGCATTAACAGCCTTAATGACCGGGGAGTCGCGGCATTTATCCGCCATCCTCGCTCAGTCATGAGAAAAAATTGCCAGTGGTATCGGCCGCTCCAGTATTAATGCCGCGACGCTAACATTTTGCATCATTCCCCAAGGCCGGGGGGGTCTGGATACCCGTCGGCAATAGGCTGAGGCCATGCTCCGTATCTTGTGATGCCTCCCCCACAGGCAGGGGGGAAACTCAAAAGTCTACCAATAAGGAGAGACATGGTACTTGCTTGACGCTTGTTCAATATGGAGATGAATCCTCCAACGCCGTTGCTGCTACCTCTCACTAGCCTGGATGTTGAAGGAATCTGGTTAGCTGACAAGGCAGATCCGGAGTACGGAAAGACGGCAAGCATCACATTGGCCAAGCGCAAATACCAACAGCGCGTTGTCACTCTGAGGCAGCAGTGGAAGGCTGCCGTGACCAGTCAGGTTCCTGAAAATCGCGGGAAATCTTGTCGGCTTCGGGTTAGGCTTGGCAAGAGAACCCTCGTAGCGTAGAGACTTGGGAGCTGATGCGCGGGGCCAGGCCCCCGGCTGGTATATTGAAAGGGCCGAATTGGTATGGGGATGGACTGCTCGCATACGGGCCTACTTGGTCTTGGATGTAAACGGTGATGATTTGCTCTATAAGGGAGATTCATTGGCCGGACGTCTCTGGCTGGGCACGTGGGAAGGGTAGCAATTATTTGTCTTGGAGGGTTTGGCCATTTGCTCATCGTGGCCTATCCTGCATCGATATGCTGGAGGTGTAGATGGCTATGGCTGTCACGAAATTAAATGACATGGCGAAATGAGGCAAGACGGGTCATTGAGCATCGGCCACAAGCGAATAGCGTTACATTATCACACACCTACATCGAGGCGGCTCTTCTTTATACGATGACTTGCTGGACGGGGAGAGTCCGCCTTTGTCCCCGAATCATCACCGTTGCATGTATTGAGTGATATGTGAGGCTATACCCATGAGCTTTGCGTTGGAAATACACCGCATTCAGGTCAGAGACGTTTCATGGCACGCAGCTATGCGGCAGCCTATATCGAAACAGCGAATGCTGGCAATGCAGAGTGACCTCGAAGGAAGGGGCAGCACTCGTCCTCCCCAATGGCTTCAAAGGCTGGGTATAGCCTTGACTAACAGCTTATTAACTCTCTCATAAGAATGATAAATATAGACTCTGCACTGCTATGACGGGACATGGAGGTTGTAACAGATAGGCCGTTGTCGAAAGCATAAACTTATTTGCTCGTTTCCACTTCTGGAATCATCTCTTGATCGGGCCGTAAGCTTTCAGGTGACGAGATGTCAGTCAGTTGAGGTGGCAGCATCAGCCCCTTTTGAGATGGTTGCATTTTTTAATCACGCACGAGTACCCTATAGTTGCATGTCAATGAGAAATTGGTATAATAATGAGCTCATGGGCTGCTTCGTGGAGATACTCGATAGTGTTTCTTCTCCTGGGACGACCACAGTGGTTGTGTGCTATCCATTGGAAATAGTTTGGTCAATCCCTTGTCAACATCGGCCACAGCAATACGGTAAGCTCAATGAGTAAGGATTAAAGGCTAAACCTTGAAGTAGAGGAGAATGGCGTAAGAGGGATGTAGAAATGTCATCGTCGGTCATTGCATATCGATGAGAGCCACAGTCGGGACCGTTACACCGATTGTATGAAGATTCCTCATGATAACTGGAGCTGTCACTCTAACCAGTGAAGGTACCCGGCAAGCAAAGGTCAGAAAAGCGAGACGGCAAGATGAATAAGTGCATACGTTCAGTAATATAAGCACATCATCACTCAATCAGCTGGCCCATCAAGTAGGTAGTAATGTGGAAGGGAGCGCCTATTCAGCTGGCACCCGAATTTTACTACACAACTGTAGTAGCAGTTACTACAAAAATATAGACATAGTAGCAGGTACTGGAGACATATCCATGAGTAGATATAATAGCAGATACTTGGAGAACAGGCGTATAATTTAACACGTGGATGTTTATAATCTTCTCAGTCTCGGTTTTTCTGACCTCCTCTTGACAACTAGACATACCCTTTGTATGCAGGAACGATGCTTGGCACGAGTCGGCAGTGGTGGCATCCGGTTGTAGTGAGGAATCGGTTATTGGTGGAATCGGTAATTCGGTTACAATACCGTTGGTATAAAGTTTCCCGGCCTAACTGTATGCAAAGTAGTGCCAACTAAGCAAGCCAAACACATTTGGAATCGAGCTGTGGCTGCTGTTCGGGACGCATAACTGCTGGCCGAGGAAATTGCCACTTTGGCATGACAGAAAAGGACAAGATGAGATTAGAGCAAAGGACAAGGCGTGACGCGCCGAGGGAGAACAAAGGGAGCAAGGCGCAGCGCCGAATTAAGCTTCCAGGAGCAAGGCAGATCTGCGGTGCATGAGTCGGCCTGGATCTAACGGTCGAGGTGCCGATATTCCAGAGATCCATCCCTCGCTAAGCAACGGCTTCGGTCAAAGATGGGGACTAGAGTGAAACCGTTCCTATCAAGATCGACAATCTTGTCACCTTTGCATTTTTATGCCAGCAACAGGAAGCTAGCCTCAGTCTGTGAGATACAGGGTCGACATGAGACGATGATACGGCAAACAGGGCCGTGCGATGACGTCTCTTTCTCAACTGCCGGTGTCAGAATCAGGTTTGGGCTGGACGAGGGATTGCGTTGCACAGCCCGACACGTCGAAAAAGAGACCAGAAAAAAATAGCCGGCATCAAGTTAGGGCAGCACGAGCGCGAGCGCGAGCGCGAACGGAGACGGGGTGCAGATTTGGCTCACCGGACTTGACTCGGGGAGCGAGTGGGACCGGGCCGGAGATTTGGAGACGAAAATGCCGGAGATGCCGGACGGGCGACACGGAGATGGTTATGCGGTGAGATGGGCAGCTCTGACGTCGGTGTATGGTAGGTAGGAATTCACAAAGGAATTATTGACATTTTTTTCTGGAATTATTGTCTCTCAGTTTTGCAGGGTTGGGCACATTGTCTGCTGCTGCTCACCGGATGATGCCTGTATTAGATGGCATCTCCAACCGCACAGCCCAGCCACAAGACAAACAAGTTCCCAAGTCGCGCACAATTTCTAGAACGGCTTGACGGCATCAAGCACGTCTGCTCAAGCTACATCCAGCATAGCTCCCGGAACACGAAATACCAGCCGCATATTCTCCATTAGGTGCAGCCGTTAAATGTCGCTGATAATGACGTAGAGCGGAATTACACGTCCTTTTAAGAGCGTCTCTCACAAAGCCCAAAATTGCCGACATTCCCGCGGCTTTTCCGCAATAAACGCCTCCCGCATGGGTCTTGCAGCGGGAATGACAGCCAAACAGAGCGCATTGATTGATGGGAATCCAACAGGATTGCCACCAGTGGCGTGCTTAAGCCAACTTGAGCGGAAAAGAGAGGGAAAAAAGCAAAGAAGCAAAAGAACGAATCCACCCGCGATAAGGCTGGGGGAGAATCCAGTAAGGCTGGCCTGGATTCGAGGAACAGGTTCGTTTTTCCATGTCGCCGATTGGGCGGGTCTCGGTAGCAGCCTCCCGACTTGCAGCTTACTGGATTGCTTCCTGAATCATTCTCTCGCTTTTTTTATGGAGTTTTCCCTTTTTTTCTGTCCCAATTCCAGGATTTTTTTCTCTTTTTCTCTCTCACCAAAAGGTCTCCCCCATGTATTCCCTTTTTTTTTTCCTCAGAGGTCCCAACCAAAGCGCGCAAGTCCCGCAGCCTCACAACTTAGTTGCCTGTTCGATTCCGAATGCCGGGGAAAGGCTGAGCCGGACATGGTCACCATCTGGGGACGGATTCTACTTTTTGCATCCTAGACGGTTTTGACTGAGACAAGGCGTGGCATGAGGCTCGTACGAAACGAAATGCTCGCTGCCGGGCCTGTATGGATGGTGTTGGTTGTGGTTAGCACCATGTAAGGCGCATCAAGTGTAGCCCGTGATGGCGTCAACACGCTTCGGTGTGCATGTGTTAAAGAGGCTCGGATCCCCATGCATAAAAACGAACAGGCTAAATTGGTCCAGTGTTCTATCCGTCTCTTGGTCGTCTCTATTCAATATCCAATCTTTGATACTGTATTTTATATATATACTACAGCAATCAACTTACAGCATACTCGAGCCCTCCTCTCCCCTACAACTGCCAAAATCAGCTTGTAAAGCCCCGGCCTTCGGACCATCGGCGTCGCCTCAGCTCGGGCCGTCGGCACAAGCTGCAAAGTCGTGCATCTTGTCGCGTCTTGTCCCTGACAGGTATCTCTGGTGTCGCATGAGCTCCAATTCCCGTGCGCTGTCGGCATAATGGAGGGCGCAGGCCAGGACGAGGGTACCTACGTGTACCCACAAGTAACCGCCACGCCAAAAGTTCCCCAGCCGGTACGAGACCTCACTTCTCTCAGTTTCTCGCACGACTCCATCTTTCTTCCTGCTCTCTCTCTTCCCGTCTTGTTATCGTGGGCTCCTCGTCTCATCTAATCAATCTCTTGTCCTCCAGATCGTCGATTCCTTTGCTCTCTATCCTCCGCTGGTCCCGCATCTCTCCATCTCCAGCCCCTTGGCCCTTGGCCCTTCACCGAGTCATCCCCAGTTTTTCCGCTCGCCCTCCTCCGGCTTCTTCACTCCTCCTCATTACCTCTTCGCCACCCATTGCGACGGCTCCGAGGCCCAATCGCCCCCCTCGCTCTGCTTCTCGCCGTCCATCTCGTCCTCGCCCTTCTCCGGGTCCGCCGCCGTCATGGACCTCGACCCGCCCGCCGGCGCCGACGTGCCGCCGTATGGCCTCGCCGGATCGTCGCTCCCGGAAGCCCATCCGAGCTTCGCGAATCCCGCCGACGGCCCCGGCCTGTCGCTCGACCGCCGGCCCAAGAAGTCGTCGACGACCTGTGCCGTCTGCCGCTTCCGCAAGGTGCGCTGCAACGGCGCGCGGCCCTGCTGCGGCAATTGCCAGCGCCTCGGCTTCCCCTGCTCCTACGACGAGGCCGACGTCGATGCTTGGTCCATGTCGCTGCCGCGCCGTCGGGTCAAGCAGGCCTGTCTCAGCTGTCACGGCCGCAAGGCGCGATGCTCCGGCCATCTGCCCTCGTGCGAACGATGTCGAGTCCAGGGCATCGAGTGCGTCTACCGGCCAAACAAGCGCGCAAAGCCCTCGTCAGCCGGGGCCGGCATTGGAGACTCCAAGAGCCCCAACAGTCCAGACAGAGAGTCAGATCGAGACGGTGCTAGGGAGAACCGCGGCCAGAGAGAGAACCGGGACCAAGGACGCAACGAAAGCCCGGCCTTGACCGACGCGGCCAGCTCCGCGAGTGATCACCATGAAGGGTAAGTTCCAGCTAAGGGGAAATGTTGACGTATGCTTGCGCTGACCTTGGGGCCTCTTGTCAGTCCTCATATCGATGAAAGCTTCAACTCCATCGTCAGCCGCGCATTCGACCTCTTCTTCCGCCACGTCCACCACATGGCCATGTTTACCTTTCTGCATCGCGCCTCTCTGATGGAGCAGTACCACGCCGGCAAGGTCGAGAGAGCGCTTCTGCTGGCCATTGTCGGCATCACGTCATGCTTGACCGACATGGGGCCCGGCATGCGAGAGTACGGAAACCGCTGTATCAACGACGCCGAGGCCCTCCTGCTGGCCGACTACAGCCGTCCGTCCATTGTCAAGATCCAGGCGCTCATCTTCGTCATCAAGCATCGCATCCTCTGCAACAAATTCCCCAGCGCCTTTGTCCTCCACAGCTTCGCGTCCCGCTACGCCACCGCTCTGCGTCTCAACTATGAGGCGCCGCATCTTCGCTTCCTGGCCCAGGAGTCCCGGCGACGTCTCATGTGGGCCATGTACTGCATCGACACCAGCATCTGCGGCGGATATCCCGACTTTGTCCTTTGGAGGGCCGACCAGATCCACGTCTGTCTGCCGTGCAACGAGCGCAACTTTGAGTTTGACCTGCCGCAGCAAACGGAGAAGCTCGTGCCGGACTCGCACCAGCCGCGACCGCCGCTGGCTGAAGACGTCGGGACCTTGGCTCTTCACGCACGCATCCTCCACATCCGCCAGAAGATTATCGAATTCACAAAGGTGGCCCAGTATGACCGCGGCATGGAAGCCGCCGAGCTGCAAGGTCGCATCTTTGCGCTGGACAAGGAGCTCAACGACTTTGCCACCAACCTCCCGACCTCGTTCCAGTTCTCCGAAAACTCGCTTCGTCTCCGCGCCTACTCTCCACGGCTGTGTGTCTTTGTCATGATTCACATCTGGTGGCGCCAGTGCTACTGCGACCTCTACCGCCTTGCCCTGGCCGACATCAACGGCGGTTTGCCGCAGCCCATGCTCGACATGTTTGATCAAGGCTTCCTCGAGCACTGTCACCGACAGTGCGTTGATCACTCCCTGGCGCTGACCCTCATCTTCTCGCTCATCCAAAAGCTCGATGCGAAGCCCGTGGCCGACATCGACCTGGCCATGTGCGCGTACCAGTGCGCGCGCATGCTCATGCACCTTTTCCAGTTCAACATCTTCAGCCGTTTCGGCGTCGCGGCAGACACCGTCATGGAGCAGGCCCAGCTTTGTTTGCAAACCATAAAGGACTGCTGCGTAGGGCCTGCGGTGGACTGTATCGTAACGGATTTGGAGAGGCTGGTTAACCGCGACGCAAGGGCCGTGACGGGAGAAGGCGTCGTGTCCACCGATTTATCGCAGCAGCCAATGCCCCAAATCACAGACGCTTCGGGCGTGCTCAACGCTCCCGCCGCGGCTGGCCTGCAGGCTTTCAACCCTTCCTCAGGCGCCGCCAACAACACCGTCTCTCCGTTTACCCATCCCGTCATGACTGCTCCGTGGATGTCGGAGACGGCCTTTACGCCGGGCCTAGATCAGCAGCAAACTCTCCCTCCAGATGTCCATGCCGATCCCACCAAAGGCGGAACCCCGAACATGTCTGCGCCGCGGTCCGAGTATGGACAGTCGGAGCTGAACAATGAATACGACGGCACGTTTGCGGGACTCGGGCTGGACGATGGATTTGATTATAACATGGGAGTGGACATGAATATGTGGGCTACGAATGGGGGCAGCTGGACTGCGCCGGGATTTGGAAATACCTGGATGGGATGAAGAGGAGGAGAACATAAAGAGAAAGGGAACATGGTAGGAAATTACTCTATCAACTACGGTACACGCACATGATATATAGAGATGTGGATTCTGGAAGGTCTCATGCCCAAATGGATTGGAAAAAAATCAAGGCGAATAGAGTGGTGGGATGGCGCAATGACAGGGGGACTTGGACGAATAGGAAACCATCACGATAGATTTTAACAAGCGTGTCATTAGATTAGCTTAGTGCGAATACCCTTCTTGTTAAAACAAAACAAAAATGCCCCAAAGAAAACGCCTGATTTCCTGTAACTCCATGTTGTTCGTTAATAGCTCCACGTAAACACTTACACCCAGGTCGTCACTGTAGAAAGATTGGCGCCGCTCGCAACCGCCAACCTCCCGTTTCCTTGATCCCACAGCCCAACCTTGGTCGTCTTGGTGCCCTCGTACTTGAGCTTGCCCTCAACCTCCCCGTCCGTCGCCGCCGTCGCATCCTCCAGTATCGGCCGGATCTCCGGTCCAGCCACGAGCTGCGCGACGGCGTGCCATATGTTTCCATACAGCGACCAGTGCGTCCCCCAGAGGAACATGCCCGTCACGGCAAACACGCACGCGAGGTTCACCAGCACGAGCACGCCCACGACGATGATGCCCGTGTTGCCCACGGGGACCGACGCCTCGGCGGAAAAGACCATGGTGCTGTTGTCGCCCATGTCGAAGCCGGGCACGGCGCTCGAGTACTGCGCCTGGTAGAGCCAGAAAAAGGTCGCCTGGATGGCCTGCGCCATGCTGCCCGTCCTGCCGGCGACGGCGTGGAAGATGAGGCTGACGTACGGATGGGCCTGCCACGCCGTGTCGGTGTCGCCGAGCGCGGAGCAGACGCCGCACACGTAGACGGAGAAGTTTGTGTATCCGGGCTGCCGGGCGACGTGGAAGTCGTTGGTGATGATGCCCTTTTGGACGTCGGTGAAGAACTGGTTGGTGACGTCGGTGCTGTTCATGAAGCTGGGGTTGTAGTTGCTAGATTGGGCGTACATGTTGGTGAGCTCGTCTGTTGAGACGTCGGTCCAGGAGTTGAGGGCCATGATGCCACGAGAAGCATAGGAAGAATTGCCAGTTGTGTCCGTCATGCCGACGATTGCATCGGTGGCCCAGGTGTTGTTCCCGGCATAGTACTGGATCTCCGGGTCGAGGGAGTCGGAAGTGGAGTTGAGCGAGACGTGCTCCAGCGTCAGCGTCGAGTTGAGCAGGCAAAGCGAGGCATTGAGCATTTGCATGTCTCCAAAGTTCATGACGGTCCATTCCTGCCAGCTGCCCTGGTTCGGCAAAGGATAGTTGTTCGATTCATCGTTCATGTGGGCCAGGGCTATGGCAGCCCAGTGGACTGTATCGACGTTTGTGTTGAGCACCAGCATGAGTGCTGGGAGGGGCGCGTTCGGGTCGGAACTGTCTCCTAGCTGGTCGGCGGATTCGATGACGCAGAGAGAGGTTGGTTGGCGCGGAAGAATTGGCTTCTCGTCGTTTGTGTAGGCATATGGCAGGGAGCAGTTGAAGGCCTGCTTGCAGGTTGACCCTGCTCGCCCGCACGACAAACCATCTAAGAATGTGTGCGTTTCTTGCGATTCCCAGGTGATGTTGCCCACTATAATCGCATCCTGCATCATGTGGGATATGGCCGAAGTGGGTGGGATGTTGGTGATGAACCCATCGACAATCTTGGGACGAGTACAGGCAGCGCGAGAGGTGTAGACGGCGGAAGCTCCCTCGTATGAACGGAGATTCTTGCGGCTCTGAGTCTGGAGGGGGATCATCGATCGCTTGATGACACCCGTGTCAGTGAAGCCCTCCTTGGAACTCGGTTTTTCCAAGGTGGCCTCTCCGAAAGTAGAAAACGTCTGCAGAGGTTGCTGCCAGATCCCCGGATCGGGTCCCAGACGAGGCAGCCCGAATGGACCGACGAGCTCCGAAGAGGCCTCAATGACCGGGACATGAGTGTTGGAAGACTGCAGGACAAGAGGAATCGTGCGGAAATCGGACAGAAGAATCGTCGATGAGAACGAAATGGCCGTCGACACCAGCCAGAGGACGAGTATCAACAGCGCCGGCACAGAAGTAAACAACCGGCCCGGCGTCTTCGCGAGAGGCGTGACGAACGAAATCGGTCCTCCGTTGACGGCACGCAGGACCGAAAACGCAGCCGCATTGCTCATGTCTACTTTCCGGGCCTCAAGAACCAATGCCGCCGCGAGACCAGTGCAGACGGTCGCTTGCAGTCCGACAATGGAGCGGATGATGAGGGCGCAGACGGTGACGACCCGAGTGCCCACGCCCGAGAGGAAAATCTTTCGCCAGAGAGGCGGCGCTTTGGCTCCGTCGAATTCGGAACCCCGTCCGACCCAGAGGAAGATGAGGAAGCCAAACGTTCCGAGCTGGAGAAGCGTGCCGAGGATGACGGCGGCGCCTGCCTGGCCGCCTATCCGACCCCATGGGCCGGGCCAGGACTTTGATGGAGGAGAGGTTGAGTTGTTTTCGGCCCCTGTGTCACGGCTGGAGGTCTTGACGACGACGGGGACCGGCCGCCTTTTGATTCTCTCCATTGTGGTGTTTGTGATTTTGCCGTGTGTGTGTATTATGGCGATGAGCTGTTCATAGACAAAAGGAAACGGAAGGGAAACAATTGAATGCCAGGTTGTTGGACTATGCCACTCTTGAAATCATGATTTTCAATCTTCAGTGTTACACATACTGGTACTATACCCGGCACACGGAATAGGGAAGACCTGCGGTTATATAGCACCTGGCAAACACCAGACACATCGAAAGCCTCATCTCATCAACCCATCCCCAATAAGCGCGTATAAGTCAGTTCGGGTGGGGGCGGAGATTCTGATCCTTCGAACGACCTCTCCCTGCATGCGCCTAAACTGCTTTCAACCTCCGCTGCGACCCCCCTCGAATCCTCTTTTACACTCGAAACGCCTAGCAGGGCCGCAAGGCATCCAGTCGCGAGCCTCCAGCTGCCGCCTGAACCACAAAGATGGGGCGCTTCGATGACGGCGATGAGATTGGCGCCGTTGCATTTCGTCAATCCTTCGACAGGAGATCATCGCCCCCCCTGGGACGAAAGTAGAACAGAGCAAACTCTCCAACCGAGCAGGGCGCAATCCTCTCTCCTCGTCGCCATCATTCTGCAGCGTTGGTTGATCCCTGATCTTTTCAAACGCGGCTTGCCTTGCCTGGTCCTTTTGAGTCACTCCAGCCTCGCCCAACAGCTCAGGACGGAAGCCAAGTGCCGCAATTGATTGAGCTGGCCAATCCTTTTCGCCTAAACTGGCCGCGCAAGTTGCAACACGCCATGAATAGAACTTGAACTTGTTTCGGGGCGAGAGCACGTATTCGGCAACGCCCATGCCGACGAGGCTGCTCAGGGGAAATCCGATGTGATGCGATGCGATGCGCTCTGTGCGGGCGCACGCAGGCTTCGGTGGCGGATTGTCTTTCACTGACATGAGGTCTAATGTGAAAGATAGAACAGCAGATCAGTGCGACATTCTTTCACTGCAATTACTTACCTCTGATGAACGTCGATATTGTCCATTCCACTCATATCCATGGATGCCTGTAGTAGTTTGGACTACCTGTAACAATCCTGGCTTGGTCACGTCCTGGAACCAACAACATGTTCTCTGGAGAGCAGGTGGGATCAATATTATTGCTCACCGTCCGCGGCTAATGATACTCCAATAGTAGCATCTTTCCGGAATCCACGGATGAAGAAACTTGAAGCTATTTTGAGAACTGTTGTTGGTTCTGCTCGAGTTTGCTGGTGGAGAGCAGTCAATCAATCCACGAATGGAGTAGATTCTTCACGGTTGTTGGTTCAAGGTTCCAATCTTCTCAACTTAGTACGGAGTTCTGCACGGGTACCTGAATACTGTATGGATCAAACGCTGACGGAAGCGAACCGTTGGAGTCTCATCCATCCACAGCACCGAAAATGGCCGCCTCAGTGGATTCCAGCGCTATCCATCATTGGAACTGCTGGCTAGGGTCCCGTCTTTAGCGCTCCAGCACACCTCAATAGCGCTCAAGCTCGCCCATAGCACGGCGGCTAGCGAATCCAGGCTCGGCTGCACGCGAAGCCATCGCCAGACCAGGCTTAGCCCCGGTCCGTGGCATCGACACTCAATCTGCCTCGCTTCTTCGTTCAGTCCTCCATCTACCTCCATCTACTTGTACACCATCTACAGTAGTGCCACGCCAACACAAGGTCTTGCGAGCACTACAGCACAAGCTTCACCACCCTCGAATCATGAGGTTGCCCTATTGGCCCGCTGCCTAACATGCTTGTGCTTGGTGGCATCCAGGGACTCGGTGCGTGTCGGGACTGGCCTCATCGCCACACGCCTCAGCCGCACAGCCGCACGAAGCTGGGGATGGCACCATGGAACAGAGGAACAGGGCGAGGCTGCAGTTGAAATCGCTCAGACTGCCCATCCGTTTGCTCTCGCCTCGCTCTACATACGTCGTGAAACTGTGAAGCCTGTGAACCCTCGATTGCAGCCATCGATGGCACTGCAAACATGCGCCTGCTAGACGCCAAAACGCTGGGGCTCGTCGACATCACCGACGACAGCATCCCGCCCTACGCCATCCTGTCGCACACCTGGGGCGATGAGGAAATCACCATCCAGCAGCTGCGGCGCCTTGGTGGCTGTTCGCAGACCACGCTGGCATCTCCCCAGACCCTGGACAAGAAGCGAAGGGCCATCGTCTTGAAGAAGGGCTACATCAAGATTGCCGGCGCTGCCCAGCTTGCTGTTAGTCGAGGGCTCGATTACATATGGGTCGACACTTGCTGCATCGACAAGACCAGCAGCGCCGAGCTGTCCGAGGCCATCAACTCCATGTATCTCTGGTATGAAAAGTCTGCCGAGTGCTATGCCTATCTCTCCGACGTCGAACCAGTCATCGTTGCTGCAGATGCCGCCGCGTTCCACGACAATCTGCGCCGTAGTCGCTGGTTCACCAGAGGCTGGACGCTTCAAGAGCTCATTGCGCCCAAAGATGTCCTCTTCTATGCCAAGGATTGGAGCTTCCTTGGACAGAAACACACACCACCTGAATTCACCAAGGCCATCGGCGAAATCACCAATATCGACCAAGAGGTCCTGAATGGCAGGATAGACCCCCTCCAGTTGAGCGTGTCTGCTCGCATGGCCTGGGCGTCCCATAGAAACACTACCAGACTCGAGGATACCGCATACTGCTTGATGGGTTTGTTTCAGGTCAACATGCCACTTTTGTACGGCGAAGGACGCCGCGCATTTGCACGCCTTCAGGAGGAAATCATACAGCGCACCGACGACCAGTCGATATTTGCATGGAGCTCCTTTGACGACCAAGACGAAGATCCTGATGCCCTTTTTGGCTTGCTCGCACAATCTCCCGCTCAGTTCAAGCTTGCTGGCTCGTTGCAGGTTCTGCCGCCTTTGCCCATATATGCAAGTGCGCCCTCCAGTATGACGAACCAGGGCCTCCGCGTGCAGCTATATGTCCAACAACGTGCTTCCGAGGACCAGGGTGCAATGGAAGAGGATTATTATGCCATTTTAGATTGTGTCAAGAGGGATGGCGATGTTTATCAGTGTCCCGCTCTCTATCTGCGGCGGCTTTCCGAGGATCAGTATGGAAGATTGAGACCCAAGTCGCAGCTCTTTATGTCTCCCCCATCCGCTACATTTCTACCAATGGATGGCTATCGCTCGGTATACGTCAGGCAGCAGCCAATATATTATCATCTTCCGCAGTTTAGGCTGTCCCCTTTCAATGTGGAATCTGGGCTCGGCTCTTCCGATGGCGTTCAGTATCGCTTGTTTGACAAGTATCCCACACAGAACTGGAATTCAGCCACCATGACACTCAAGGTGCAATACTCTCGCAAGCTACAGGCCATGGGCATCTTTAGATTTCAGAGCGTTGAGAAGACGGACGACAAGGTGGATGTTGTAGTCGGCTTACGTCGCTTAAACACGATGGAATGGGAGGGGTGGTGTTTTCAACTATTGCACCGCGATGTGTCCCTCGAGCACGCTTTTCATGAGGTCAACAAAAAGATAGAGAGCATCATTACCGGATCAGGCACCATTGAAATCACATCGAAAACGCTTCGTGATTCGCTTGGACAAGACTCGTGCATGACGAGCAGCGCGACGGTCGAGGGCATCCAGCTTCAGGGGCGCCTCTACATTTCCATCCAAGTGACGCAGACGGCCGAGATTCAAACCGACAAGCAGTTGCTCACAGTGTCTTCCCCGCACATTATATTGTCTAGAGGCAACCAAATACTGAATTCTACCCCCGTCAATTCGGGTGCAAGGGCTCTAACAGAGATATACTGTCTGGCTTCGAGTTCATCATTTGCACTTGACGAGTACAAACCCCTGAATTGGGTGGTACAACCTGTCCGGTCGAGATACTCAGCATACGGGAAGGCAAATGTCCGCGGTGATTTCATGAAGCCCATTCACGAATACATCAACGTCCTCAGGCATGAAAAAGCGGCAAAGGACTTGAGCCTCACAGACCACCTAGCCTTGGCCTTATTTTCTGGTGATGCACAACAAGCTGGGATAATCCTGGGTTACAAAAAGGCAAACATTGACGTACAAACCGATGACTACCACGGGCTCACGCCGCTTCACTGGGCCGTCGTGGGCGGCTCTCGCAACTGCATCATGCTGCTCCTTAAAGAGGGCGTCAGTACCAAGAAGTTGACAAAGCGAGGCCTGTCCGCCATTCATGTCGCCGTGCTCTGCAACAATAAAGTATACGACGACCTTGCCAGGCTCAGGGGGCAGCCAGAACGCGAACAACTTGCAAACGCAAGGACAAATCACTATTCCGACACGCCATTGCACTTAGCCGCAGCTTCTACCCCGGAGAATGAGGTTGGCGTCACTTTCTTCAAGGAGTTTATGGACTGGAGCCTGGAATTTACAGGGTTGACGCCTCGGAATGCATTTGACGAAACTCCACTCCATCGTGCCGCCGCCGGAGACAGCGCAGCTGTCATTCGAGCTCTGGCCACTCGCAGCTACTACTGCTACGTGGATAACGGGGATCAGTACGGCCGAACTCCTCTCTGGCACGCGGCTGCCGCGGGCGCTCTCAAGGCTATTACAGCCCTGATTCGAGAAGGTGCCTCTGTCGACCTGACGGATGATTTGGGGAGGAGTCCGTTGCACGCAGCCTCTAGAGGAGGACACCATGAAGCCGTCTCCCTGCTTCTCGACATGGGCGCAAGAACAGATATTGAAACCAACGTCCTAAACCTGTTACCCATGGACCTCGCCGTCATGTTTGGGTTCACCGAGTGCCTGAAGCTCCTCCTTGATTCCAGATGGCGAATCGTAACCCAGGAAAATATGGACAGGACACTTCAGATAGCGGCCTCGTTTGGGTCGTATGAATGCGTCATTCTCCTTTGCCAGCATGGCGCCAACCCGTTTGTTACTTTTGAGGATTACCTGCGCTCAGAGGATGGCCATGCCGTTGTCGTCGAGGAGGAGGCCGATGCTCATGCTGCTGCGTTGGCGGAGAGAGAACTGCACATTGTCCACTTTTTTGATACCTCGGAAACCTGCAGATATCACCGGGAGCTCAGGCATCCTCCCGCAGACAACATCAGCAACAAACCTCCTGTCATGGAAAACCTGCCGGCACCGCCATCTTTCTCTGCTCCTGTCGGTGCTCCGCCTCCACCCGGTGCTGCAGCACCTGCACCCGGCGCGCTTCCGCCTGCAGCAGGATCGGCTCCGGCTTTTGTGCCAGGCAGTGGGCAGCAGTATCAATATGTGCCACAACCTCCAGCACAATCAGCGCCATCTGCCGTGCCAGTCGGCGGACAGCCATATCAGAACACGCCCTTGTACGGCAATACTCCGTCTTACGCCAGTCCGGCATATGGCAAGGTGCCTTCTTACAACAGCCCGGCGTATGGAAACACTCCCTCGTACAGCAGTCCGGCATATGGTAATACACCCTCCTACAGCAGCCCTGCATACGGAAGTACACCCTACACCGGCCGTCCAGGTATCCCTTCATCCCTGGCACCTCAGACACCTCAGCAAGGTCTCGGGAAATACCAATCTCCCAGTCGACTCCAGTCCACAAACTTGCCTGCCCGCGCAAGCGCCAACGCTTATGCCCCTATGCAACCCACGGCACCCTCACAATCCGAACGACTTCAGGAGATGGTGAATCCATACGAGCCCTACAAAGCCCAGGCTCCAAGCCAGATTCGTCCGGCTACCTATTCTTCGGCTCCTGCAGCGGACACTCCCAATCAGGATTCAAGCGTCGCTGCTCGAAACAAGTCGGTTCCAGCATACAGATCTGTGCCGTACCAATCTTCCGGGGTCCCTGTGCAGCCTGTCGTTTCGGTCTATCAGCAACAGCCGCCTTTGGGATCGGTAGTAAATGTCGTGGCTCCGCTTGCATCGCCACCAGCGTCTCCGGAGGAGAATCCTCAGAAGAGAGATTCTAAAAGGGAGTCGGCTGGGATAGTGGAGATGTTTAGGAGCAGGAGATCGTGAGGTCAGTTTGGAATATGGCCTGATTTGCCAGTAATTTCGAAACAGGGATATGTTGGATGTTTATAACGATGTTATGAAGATGTATGTTGTAATGCCTTGGGTACCCTTGATAGTTTCTTTTTCAAGTATGCGTTATTACTTTCGTGCACGTTATTGCTCATTAGTTATTTCATCACAAAGTTTGAGTTCATCATGGTCGATAGTTTCGGCTGAAATATCACACTTGCGCCTTGATACGAGCAAAATGATTGCTACATCAAGTCTTTTGATCTAAAAAATCTATGCCATCTGTTGCATCATACATGCTTTTGCTTCAACATGAAAACCCACACATTTAAACGTACAAGAAAAACAACACGCTCATTCTAAAAAGGGGCCACCGAGTTGACCTGGCCAAACACATGGCCACTAGCATCTATTCTTCAAACTAAATCGTAAATAGATCTCTATCAATTTCAACGCCAGCATCAAGATTGCTTGCTTTTTTCCTCCAAAACTTTTCATCTCGGCATGCCTCTCTCTCTCCCTTTCCCCCCAATGCCAACGATGAGCAAAACATCAGGCATGCCATGTTCTCCTCATAGATCCCAATTGATGTGCATATGCATGGCCTATTCCCTAGGCAAAACCGCCCACCAAGCCATGACTGCCATGTAACCATACTCAGGGCATCCTCGCCCAAGGCCGCAATCTATCTGCAAAAATGTAAAAAAAAAAAAAAAAAACTACATGCTCAACTTTTCAGGTGCGATTCCATTACAATGGCGATTAAGCTGTACGTGTCGATAGAAAAAGAAAAATGCACTTTTGTTGGTTGTCATAAAAAAATCAAGGCTGTACTGTCGATGCCACGAAAAACATGATGTTGATTTGGCGACTGGGGCAAAACCAAAAAAAATGCCTCTTTCAAGTTCGCCATGCTTTTTTCCCTTCCTTTTCCTTTTGGATCAATCAATTCGATGTTGTGTGCGGCAGACAAAGGCATTTCTTCGGGAATCCATTTGCGTTATCAAGTGGCTCTTCCATAAGGAGTCGGCAATTTGAACCGCAATTCTCCAAAGTTTGTGCCTCGTGCGTTTTTTGTTGCTCGTGCGAAGCAGATTCAGATACAACTCGCACCTCATTTCTTCGTTGCGTCGTCATAAGGCGATACCAGCCGATGTTTGGTAGTCGCAGCTCTTATGCTCGACGGCTTTGATGCTGTTTCCGTGATATCCGTATTCAGGATTAGAATACGACGGCGACAAGCAATGCCTAAAGCAGCCCGTCATTTCTTCAGAGCGCAGACAAGTAGCATCAATCATGCAATGAGGTTGGCCGTTGTGCAGAACATAAAGAGCGGCAAGACATGGCCAGTACTGCAAAGAGTACCACGCGGCAAGCTTGCGTTGCTCCGAAATCTGAGAATCGGCGCCAAAAAGAATGTTATACACTGGTAGGCCCCTCGACTAGTTGAAGATGGACGCAGCCTCGAGGATCTTTAGAAACGCAGAGTTTTGAATCAGGTAATCGCTCTGGCCGTTGTTCTCTAAGGAACCCTTGGAAGGTTCTCGAAACCCACAGCCTTGCATCTGGGCAATGATGTGAGCCGCAGCGTCACAGGACATGGTCTGCGGCGCGGCATCAAAGTCGACATCCCTAGGCGAAGGTGCGTTGAGGTTGCTCGAGCTCGGCGTCACAGGCCCCGTAGAGTCGTCCGAGGTGATTGTGCCGTCCGAGTCGTGGCCAGACCCCGAGGCGCTCTGCTGCATGCTGGCACTGGCCAGAACCGCCAGCTTGTCGACATGGGCGTGCTCCGGGAACAGCGTGGCCACGGTCGACGAGCGTCCCAGGGCAGCAATGGACTCGGCCGTGGCGATCTTGGCCGCGCAGTGCTCGGCCTCGCTGGCGTCCTGGCCCTTGAAGGACACCAAGAAGCTCTCCACGGCATCGACAGTCACGCCGTTGTGGGCGAGCAGCAGCCGCAGCCGCGAGTTCTCAATGGCCACCTCGCGAGCCGCCTGCTGCATCTCGAGCGTTGCGGCAACGCCTTTGGTCTCAAAGTCCTGCAGCCTCCTCTGCATGCCCTCGACGTATTCTTTCCGACGGGCCCGCGACCGACGCTGGTTTTCTCGGATGCGGACGGCTGCAGCACTGGACTTGGCCGAGTTGTCGGGTTCCTGCTACATACAATGACGGAGGTTAATTGGTGAGTTTGAGGGCAAAAAGACGCAAGAATTTGGGGGGGGGGGGGGATGCAATTGGTGAAAATTTGGTGACATGCTGCCAAAAAGAGGGCGTGGGGTTGTCAGCCAAGTGTAAAAGACAGGCCACAAACTCACCTTGGCTCTAGGCATGATGAAACAAGTCGATTCTGAGAAGAGAAAAAGAAGAAAGTAAAATAAAATAGAAAATAGAAAAGAAAGAGAGAGGAAACAACAGGATGCAAAACCAAACTTCTCCCAAGTGACACTGGTTTGGCGGGTCCAGAAGCAGAGAAGAAAAGAAGAAGAGACGGTTGGTTGAAGTTGAGCCAGAGCAAAGATTTTTGTCAGCAGTCGCGTGCGCGACCTCTTCTCTTATTACACACTGATATTATTTCGCATCGTCTGGCCACTGCACGAGCAACGACACCGAGGAAAAAAAAATCTGTCACTACTAAGTTGGCAGCTCCACCGCCGATGGCCCCAGTTACGGAGCCGCTGCGACCAAACGGGCAATAAAGTCTGCAGACTAGCTGCGTGTCATTCTTTTTGCATTTTTCACTGTTGAGAGTGAGAGGAATGGATCATCGGTAATTGGCTGTGTCTTCAAGGCTGGAGTGTAGATGTAGAGCCATTGATTGAGCCATGTGTGTGTGTGTATTGTCTTTGTCTTGTCTTGTCTTGTTCGGGCATTCTTCCATCCATCCATCCTTTCCCTCCCAGTTTCGTGCCGCTTCATCATAAAATAAGTTGGGCAAAAACCAAGACTAAACGAAGAAAAGAAAAAGAAAGAAAAAAAATCATCCATTGGCCTCGCTTTTCCCAACTCCACCACGCCGTTCCAGAAAAAAAAAGCAAAAAAGTAAAGAAAAAAAGTAAAGAAAAAAAATGAGCCGCTAGCTTGTCACCGAAACAGCCTATTCCGCGTCCTCGTCGAAAATCTCTCCACCCCGGTTCCCTGCTGGGCGTGCCACAATTGCTGCACTCCAACACCTCGGCTTTCGTGGCACAGTTTGTAACGCCTCCAGGCCTCTCGCAAGTGGTCGGGTCGCAGTGGGCCTCTGCGAAGATCAGGCTCTTCGTCGTTTTCGGCCTCGTCTGTGGATGGCGGCGGCGTTGGCTCGTCGCTCTGCTTCTCCCCAGCGGTGATCCATTCGGCCTGCACGTTTCGTGCTCCCTCGATGATTTCTCCGGCAAAGAGCTTCGCTACCGCTTTGACGGCAGTGGCCACCATCTGGGGGACTGACTGCGAGACGGTTGCATTGACCACCTGTTTTTTGGCTTGTTAGAAACACGCATCGACTTTGTCCACTCTTCCATCTCTCATAGAAACCTACCCTCTTGACAACCGCATCTGACAGCTTGGCCGCTCGCCAAAACTCATACCGATCGTACTGCAGCGGATCAAACGCCTCCACGAGCATAGCCCTCAATCTTATTTCCTCTTGCTTCTGCTCCTGTGTCCGCGCAACCGCATCCTCCAGCGCCATCTCGGCCTTGTCGTCATCCTCGTCGTCCTCCAGCTCCTTGTCGCCGCCCTGCCCGCTCGCCGTCGTCGCCGCCTTGCCCCCCACCAGGCTCGGCGTCTTCTCCGCTGCGTCGTCCCCCTTGGCGTTCTTCGCTTTCCTACCGCGCTTCTTCCTGGGGGCGCCGCTCGTCGTCGCGCTCACCACGCTGCCGCTGACGTGGGACGTGGCATCCACCGACGGCGATCGCGGATACGGCGAGCCTGCTTCTGGCGGGAACGACGTCTGCCGCAGGGGGTGAATCGGCGGCTGTGAGATGACGGAGCTCTTCCTGCGCTTGCCGGGCGGCATGTTCATGTCCATCGTCGACGCCCGTTTCTTGCTGGGAATCTGCACCGGCGACGGATAAGGAGGCGACATGGCCGATGGCGACGTGGCATAGGGAGGAGACGCCATTTTCGCGGTGGGCTGAGGTGAAGCGAAAGTGAGGCAGCGATTCCGTCAAAGGTGAAAAGTGATGCCGATAAATGCCCAACTTGCCATGACGAGGCACGCGTAGATGCGTCGGGATGTCACGTGACGGAGAGCTCCGTTGCTTAATACGGCAATCCCAATCTGAACTAGTCCATATGAGGAATAGGTGTCAAACAAACACCATTTGATGTCTCGCATATCTTCTGAGCACTGCGAGATAATCCCTGATAGTAAGACAATTATTTTACACGCTCAATCTGCTCATTGATTAGACACTCCCAGAGCCAACTACAAAGTCATCAACGATTAAGCAAAACAAAAGACTCTTTTGGTTTTATTTTTTTTCTCGCTCATCCGGCAATATTAAGCCTCCACTCCCATTCATTTTCCCCAGATACATCTCCTCTAGCAGACAAACCGCAACTAAAACTACTAATTGAATCGTAAACCCGAGAAACAAAAAAGTTGAAGAGAAAAAAAAACAATTATTTGCACACATGCGTACGCGGATTCTCGCGCCCCCAAAGTGCACCGTCTTCCTCCTTCCAAGGAGAAAAGCATTCCGTCCGGGCCCTCTTGAAATTGCGCCCATGTCGTCAAAGGAGAAAGCAGAACAAGACACGCCGCGTCCTGGTATTACAAGCATACACATAACCCTTCCCGGTTGGTACCAATTACCGAAAACTCCCAGATCCTCCCAAAAATAAAGAAGAAATTGAATATCAGGTAGAAAGAAGATATAAAGGGCTCCCAGTCATGGCATGGCACGACCAACCTCCCTTTTCTTCGTTTCTCCCGTTTCCCAAGAATCAACCAAACTACTCCCCGTCCAACATCGCATCCAACCCGTTCCTCTCGCTTTCTAATAAGTCTGCTGTGACGTTTCCGTTCGTCATCGTGGTATCCTTCTTCTTTTGATCTTCATCTTCGTCTTGATTCGTCATTTCTTTAAACATTTGGTCAACCTTGCTATCGTCGTGTTTCATGTTTTCGTCCAAGTCGGCGGGAGTCATGGACCGCCCATGTTCGCTCATGGATCTTTGTCTACTGCTCCAGACATCCGACCCCCACACCCCTTCAGCTTGGTCTCTCCCCAGCTCGGAGCGAGCAAACATTCCAAGGTCCTTGCTCTTGTCCGCATCATCTTGGCCACGCATGAACCGCTCCTCAAGTGACATGCTCGAGTCATCAGCTGCCAGGTGAGAGCTGCCTGCACGCAAGAAACTAGGATGCAAGTTGCTCTCTGCTTCAGCGGACCCAAGCTTGAGCCCGTCGTTATCCGAGGGCGATTCAGACTTCTCCTCCCCATGTCCATGTGAGTTGGCAGAGATGCTCGGAGTGGTCGAATGAGATGCGCGAGAGAAGTAAGCCTGCGGCCCGTATGCTGTATTGTGTGGGTTGGGTATGCTGGGCATGGCCGTTGGCGCTTGAGCTGCTGCCGCCGCCGCCTCCGCATTCGCCGCTTTCCGGCGCAGGCTATTTGCCTTGCCTTTTGCGTGCTCCGGGAGGTCGTCTGGATTGTCAACTCCATATTCCACCAGCATCTTCTGGAGTTTCGTGGGGCGAGGCTTGCGCGTGCTCAGGGAGACCTGCAGGATCGGCGGTGGCTCCGGCGCAACCGGGCACCACTTGTGAAGCTCCTGGCGGAAGAAGTTGGTCTCGTATGATAGCAGAATCTCTGCGCCCTCAAGTTTTCGGAGGAAAAATCGCTGGGTTTCGGCCTCGGCTTCTGTCGAAAGAAGGGGGTTGCAGTACTGGGCAATCTTGTCCCTGAAGTTTTGCGCATTGTCTATAATCTGCCGAAGAACTTCCTCCTCTTCCGGTTGGAAGGGCAAGCCTGGAATCTCGTCGGCAAGAGAAGTGAGATCCTCTAGTTTAGGTCGAGATGCGTCGCGAGGAATCTTCATCCTCCAGTCACATATCGGGCAAGTATATTTGTCATCCTCCTTTACTTTGCCACGGGCAATCTTGAGGCATTTGTAGTGGTACCTGGTCATGTTATATCAGCGCATGCTCCTTCTCTTCAATTGGGTGTGCTCCAAACTCACCATTCGTGACACAGCTCGCACTCAATCATCATGCCAGCCTCGATTTTTCTGCAGATACAAAACACCTGCCTCGATCGTGGGTCTTCCCACCGACTCCCTCCAGCCTCCGGGCTGGCTTCTCTTGAAACGGGCTCCCCTGGAAGGCGTGGGGTGTCGTGGTCCGTATCGAAGCAGTCTGTGTTCCGCTCAAGGACATGTTCTAGATGGCTTTTAAGAATATGCAACGGTGCATTGGACTTCCCAAAGAGCTTTTTGCCTCTTCGCATCCAATCCTCGTGACGCTTTCGCTCATTCTCTAGATCGACGGTGCCGGTGGGTTTCGAGTTGAGGTCATCGAGCTTCCTCGTGATCTCCAGGACTTCAGAGTACTTGGGCCGCTTTGTATAATCAGGTTCGCGGCACCGATCGGTAATGTCAATGATCTGGCGATGTGCTTCACGCTGCTTGTGGAGTATCTGGTCGACGGCAGCCAGCGTCTCGCGAGAGACGGGAAGAGCGTTGGCCTGTACCTGAGCCGTGAGAGCCTCCAACTGAGGGTAGTGGACAAACTCGGCATGGGTAAGTTCTCTGGCCTTGGCCTCCCAGGCTTGGCCAGCCTGTAATTTATCGCAGTAGTACTTCAGGTGGTCGTTGTAGCTAGGAATCTCCAGCCGCTTCCCCTCTTCAATGATTTCTTGCACTTCTGTCAACAGCAAAAATTGGCCGCGGCTGGTCCTAGCCTTCTCGTTCCAGCGCAATTCTTCAAGCCTCCGACACAGGGCCTCCAGCTCTGGAGTGTCTATGTTAAAGCCACGTCCCTCTTCGATCAACTCCTCAATGGCCTCGATGGGATGAGCGATATTTTGTTTGAGAATGGTGGTGGCATTATCCTGAAACTGCTTCACGGCGGCCGCCCGCTCTTGAAGCTGTGCTATTTCAGGGCAATCAAATCCGATATGCTCCGCTTCTGTAAGCAGGCGATGAATATTGCTCACGTGGCGCGACTCTTTGTCTTTGTCTTTGTCTTTCTGATCATTATTGGCACTTCCGCGACGTCCGTTACTTTGCCAGACTTTCTCATTCTTGCGGCGGTTCTGCTGCTTTCGGACAATGTAGTTGGTGGCTTCTTCGACCCAGTCGTTGCATTTTTCCACGAATTCCTTCAGTATGGGAAGAGAAGTAAGTT